TTAGTATTTACATGCCATATTTACTGAAAGTAATATAAATAACTATATATTCATGCATAAAGAATTTTGTAGGGCTTCGCTAGATAAGTAAATAGTTTCTCTCTATATCTCCTCCCGTTACCTATTATACAAGTACAACCTACCTAGCTTTATCTTATTTTCACTTTCTTACCTCCTCTTAGATAGACAATTAAATATGCACCTTAGATAAATTTATTTCAAATATTATATATATTGTAGCGGGGGAATTGCTTACTGCATGAAGTAGCGGTCTATGGATGATTCAGCACTCATGATGTATTTAAGACCTCTCTACTCTACGTAGAACAAGACAGACACATTCTTCTCTTCAGACCATCCCTATGTGCTCTCCTTTCCTATAGCTCTACCTCTTGTTAGGTTTGCCTATGCTCCTACTGCTATTGTCGACCCGTCTGTTTTGACCAGACTGCCATCGCGCTATCCCATTTCAATATTTAGTTTAAAGCCCTATGACCTATTAATGTCAAAATTTATTAAATACTATAAATTAAAAAGTATCTTCTACTAATTCCCTATGAAACGAGAAATAGCCGTATGAACTAATTTAGTAAAATAAAGAGAAGCTTCATATTAGTAATATTGCAGTTTAAATCTTACTTAAATATAGTAAATTAGAAATATTTTTCATTTAGTAAATAAATTCCTAGAAGGGTATTCAAAATATTTTACCAAGTACCTGGTAGTCGTATAAAACTTCTTTTACATATAGAAGTAACTTTTAATTCAGGGAATCTGTATAGTACGTTATAAAGTTCATATATCCTTAAAAATGATCATAACAATAAGTAAAGAGTAAGCTTAGAAAAGAAAGAATTAATAGAAAGAGGATAAGATCCCTCCCTAACTGACTTATCTCGTTGAATTATAACGTAATGCACTATCCAGCGGCTATCTCCAAAATACATAATAAATGCGATATTTTAGCACCTTGTATTTCAACAACCTCATTGGTGTTTTATTTGACTCTTCCCAGATAGCTATTGATAAATATTTTTACCCTATATATCAATTTAAATAATCTCAAAATTACATTGCTGAGAGCCAGAAATATGTATAATAATATCGCAGTGACAAAAGTGTAAATAAACACAATAATTCTAAATCTGTAGACCTTACATAGGACCAAAATTTGCTCAATATTTCTATATTACTTTTTACTATATAATTACTTCTTTGTAATACTAGTAGTTTATTTACAATTTAATTCACATGTTATTCTAAATGTCTCTTAATCTATGATTCAGAATGTCTATTAGTATCCTCATCTATTTCATACATAAGTAAATCACTACTTATGAACCAATATCCCTAGGTTATAACTTTTAAGATAGATAAGGTTAATCATATGTACGTACACACTACACTATTTTTCTATCACTCCAATATCTAAAAATCAGTGTAAGGTTATATATATGAGCTTCATATAGCTGAAAAAATCTTCGCAGTCTAGACAGGCCACTATTTAGACCGCCTATTAGAAATAGTATAAATAACCGTATCCAAAATTTTTGAATGTTCTTACTAGAGTGGCTATTTCTTTGAAACATAAAAAGGGCTTTATACAATACATAAAAGATAAAGGTCTTTTCATAAGAAATAAATTGAAACGCCTAGAAAAGTCCTGTTTGTTTTAAGCAGTAAAATCTAAAAAATAAGAGGTGCTTTGAATAAATTACTATTGAATAATAGGCTATATATAGGCGAGGCTATATAATATTTTATGAGATATTACTCCCTTCTAAATTCTTTTGAAATTATCAAGACAATAGATAATGCATCAGGAGTACCTATCTGGTATTGAACAATTTAATTCTACCTTTGATCACTCCTTTAACTAGAAACTCCCTTTATATTGTAGATCCAAATCTTTTAGCTAGCAAAAAGTACTCTTCTCCGTTGCTTATCGTATATAATACACTATATTTAAATTATGGCTTAGTGCTCAAATGAATAAAAAGTATATTAGATTAGACCGTAAAACTAATACTAATCCTTCCTATTTCTACGTCATATAGTAAATTTGAAAAGGTCATATAAATATAGTCCAGGTGTATATTTTGGATAAATACCAATAAAGCTTCGTAATACCTAATAGGCCTCTATTTCTCTTAATAATCAGGGGACAATTTTTCCATAGAAACAGATAAATGTACATACGTTGACTATGATCGAGAAATGATATAATTAATATCTTATATATTACCATACAATTAACAGCCCCACTATTTTTAACCTCAAGGTCAGATAAACATGAGATTACGCTAGTCTCTAGGTCTAGTAATTAAATGAGATAGAATCTAATATAAATGTATAAAATAATAATAGAGATATAGTATTATCAATAGACTAAACGCTGATTCTCAGAATCAGCGTGGGACTACTACTTAACTGCTGTCCTCACATGACATAACTAATGCATAGGAACTATGCCAGTGCCCAAAACCAGTAACAGGACCCAGTTATCCGAGTCGTATATCCGATTGAGAGGGACCGAACACCCCCAGTCAAGAGGTGATCCTAACACTAAATTAATATACTTAAGTAATTATTACAGTTCATTCTCAATGACTATATCTTATAGACTGTATATATAACATAATATTATCTAAATAACTCTAGATAATATTGACCTTTCTACCTTAATATAAGTAAGATAAGTATATATCTACTTAAGGTAGAATTAATCACAGCCCCTATCAAGCTCCCCACAGTGAAAATTTGGGTTTTGGGCTTTTAAGTATATAATGCCATAGTTATTATAGCCCAAGGTTTAGTTAGACATTGTGAAAATATCATACATTAGATGAACTCCTTATTAGTAGGTTCAATAACTCTAGGTAGATCAATATTTAATTACTACCTTATCAATATTAATTATCTCCCGTTCATTCTCTATAAAAAGCGAGATACTTTTTCGTTTTATATCAATACATAATTTGGCTTATGTATCTACGTATGCTTTTTATTCTTATAGTATACCCATCATAGTCAGCTTACGCCACCTTATCTGTACATAATAATCATACTTATAGTAATTATAGTAGCCCTTCATTCCAAAAAGCGTAGTAGCTCTCTTAATTTAGTACATTATATGATAAACCCAGCGCTATACTAAAATATATATATATTTATTCTACATCATATAATGTTCAAGGCGGTATACCAAATCTATTTTCTATATAAATCAACTGATATACTCTTAGTATTTATTTCACTATTAAAAAGTTACTTCATTTGATTATTTATCACCACCTCCGATTATATCATTTATTAACCGGCCTAATATCCTCACCCTTGCCGCATACAACTAAATTTATTATATAAAACACGCATTATCTATTGTTGATTGAATACACATCAGTATAACTAGATATATTGATATATTGATATAATCTTATATATAGAATAATCAATTAGTCATCTAGTATTTTAGCTCAATACCTACTTCTGTGTTTTAACTAACCATTTATCGACCAAGTTAAATGACCTATCATCTTAAAAGAGCACATTTTAACCATTCCACCAAAAATTAACGCTACTTGATGTATCAGGCTCATAACCCAGCATATTATAAAAGACCTTCCAAGGATACCTCTAGATATTAAGATGATTAGAATAATGAACAAAATAAAAATTTTCTTCAACTTCTTTATAATACTTGTCATAAAAGTAAGAGCTCGCCAATTAATCAAGCCTAAAGATTGAAGTGTATAATGTCTAGTAGGGATATGATTATTTATTTTCTATATAGTAACATAATTCAGTACTGAGCTATGCAGTCCGGAACACACAGTTACCGCGAGAAATTATAACTGAATAACTTACACTGTAGCTATGTTTAAGTGTTTTCAAATTTTTTAATTATCTAAATTTGTTAATATTGCGCCTTGCAGTACGTAGTTTTCGGTATCCTTTAAATTAATAATGATAGCTAGTGCCTGGCTTAATATAAGATGAGCTGTTAGCCTGCAGTCATAATTCTCAACACTACAAGCTAGTTCTTATAATAAGACTACGAGCTCTAAATATAAAGTAACTACTGTATATAGCCTGCAATAAATGAGAAGCTTAGTGCCGTACATAACAAAGTACACTAAGAGGGCGTAGAAGCACTATCTACCTCTCCCCTATCCTCATGTCCTTTTTTCTAATTCTTATGGACCCTTCCTCTACCTTGATATCCCTTTCAAATCCGGCAGCAGTAACATTATATCCCGTTCTCTCATATCCCTACTTGACACTTTAAGGTTCAAATACTATTGAATGGAAATTATCTCTCTTCTTTATTTTAAAGTAAGGACTATTTACTGAATGGTCTATAAAAGATGAAACGCTCCCAATAAGGTGCAGACCAGAAGAAACGTCTAAGTCTGACGGGTTGTTATTGTTAGATCAAGCTACTGGTAATGTATATGTATATTTTTACACATTTTAATATTTGATGGCGGTTCTGTATAATATAAGCTGATAATCATAGACATATTTAAGTGATAGAACAATTGGATGCAATTGCCTGATTCAGTATTGAAACGCCGCGTATGGCAAGTAGAATTATTCGCAAGTAGATCATAATAGCAAAGCTGTGACGGAGTTAATCCGTTACAAGAACATCTTGTTTCTTATTCACTTTACTTGGAGCTACCGCAAAGAAATTATATACAATCTCCAGCAAGAGATCTTTTTTTCGTAAATTAAGTCTCGACAAGGGTCATCTATTGTCCACGAATACTACCTGACACTGGAAGAGAACATGGAGACTAATATTTCTCGAGCCCCAGGGTCAAGAAGTAGTCTTAGCAGAAAGGAGATAAGCACCAACCAGCAGACGTGGGCGTTGGGTACTACTTATATTTACCAGCCCAAGTTGGACAAACCCAGCGCATATCTATGATCTTGTGCAGCCTGTAGCGAGCCTATCCCACGTAGACATCTAGGTATGATCATTGATTCGCTTCATTTCATAGGAAATTACCCTTGGAAAAACGCGAAGTATAATCTCCAGCTTTTTGCACCATTTCCCGGCGCTGCGCACTCGATATCTTTGAAGATATCGCCATATCCTTCTCGCGGTCAAAGGCGCGAGCACTCGGATCGTCGTCTTCTTCCTTTTGACCTTCAGAGCCTTCTAGACGACTGTTATTGCCAGTCATATCCTAGGTGCAGAGCATTAGACAGAAGGTACATAGTTCCAAGAGGCCAAGCTTACCCTATACTTCTTGATTTTGTCTTCCATCATTTTTGTCTTCGTGACAGGAGCCTGTTTTGCAGCCTGTTCCGAGGTCCCAATACCCATGACTGCATCTTGTAACCGCTTCATTCGCTCCTCCGGGGTTTCCACCCATGAAGCATCCATCTTTTTGGGCGCCGAGGCTGACTTCCCGGAATTGAACTTGCGATTCCGTAGTTGTGTAGGATCGATCTTGGAAGCCCAGTCAGATTGGGCAGGAGGGTTTAGCATCCATTGATCGCGCTGAGTTTCCTTTATCTCCACTACCTTTGGAGCCTCAGGAACTGGCATAGGTGCTGCGCCGGCAGGAGGGGGTAAACTGGGACCGAAACCATCGTCGCTATCGCTGTCACTTTCACTGGAGCTGGCAGTTGGAAGAGAAGGTCCAATGACTCTCCGCTTGGAGGCCGAGTGATCCTCGTCGAATTTGCGTTTGTCGGCCATTGATGGTGAAGGGAAGTTGGATATCTTATCTTTGATGTCATCAACCCCACCGCCCTTGGACCCCCCCCCCAACAACACTTCACCTTCACATTCACTGTCACACTTGCACATTCCCTTCTTTACATTTACCTCCCATGTGGTTTTAGCTTTCGCGTTAGCTTTCATTAGAATCTGTGTTGGCCTTCTCGTCACCGCTTTTTCAGAATTGTCCGACACCGCTTTTTCGACTCGTTGTCTCCTCGTTAACTTGAATCCCCAAATGATGTGCGCTTTCTATTAAATGCGCTGATATCAAAGTATGGTGGAGAGCTATACTGGGTCATACAAATCAGACAATGGGCCACCCAGAAGCCTGCAAAGCAGATGTGGAAACACTCACGGACGGATCAGAGTCCAGATCTATAGACCCTATATCACCTCAATACCCATCCCATGCGGATCATTCAACTTCTTTGAGTGATTCAAAACAGTCACCTGGATATTCAACTCAAACAGAGATACCCAAGCCTCGGAGATTCTTGGCCCAACCAATCGAAACTGTATCTCGAAGCTCCAAGAATCAACAGCCTGTGTCTACGGGAATAGAACCTCATACAGCCACTTCGCCAGTTGAACCCCCATTGCAAGGCCATAATGAACATCGACCAAGAAGATTTGCCCCTGAACCCATTGAAACCACCAAATCAAGCAATAGAAGATCTCATACAGCCTCCGAAGTCACCGGGGAATTCCTATCGCAACCTAAAACCACGACCCCAAGAAGGTTTAAACCTGAACTTATAGAGACCGACACACGCTCAGTCCGAACAACAGATACCAGTCAGATTCTCCGCCGACATAACACATCAGGTCCACTGGCTCACGCGAGCACCAGCCCGGGCACGACAGCTTGGTCAAACGCGGATCACCATGCCGTGTCGTTGTCACCACCTGAGTCTCGATTCTCGTATTCCAGTCTGTTGCACCGACAAGAAGGCCGCCGGCACTCATTTCGAGTTCCAGCTCTTCCATCAATACCATCCAATAGCAGCGAAGAGTCTGATAACTCCAGATCTCACTCGGCGTGCACCTCACCACTTGGGCCATCGAATAAAACAACCAAAGGTATAAAATCCAGCAAGGTATCCCGTGAAAGCTGCAGCGAAGAATTCTCCGAATTTTTGCTTTCGCTGGCCGCCCGCTCCGCACAGAAGCAGCTGAGAGAACAAGCACTGGCTGCTTTTCCCAACGAGCAGGTGTATGAGCCCGTTGATCATTTTGCCATAGATGAGGACGACAGGGACTTAGAAGAAGATGGTCCGTCCACTCACATAAAATATCGTCATATCAAATCTCGTCGACAATCCTCGGCGGATTTGTCTTGGGAACTTGAATACATGCGACACCATAAAGAGGAGGCTGAAATGAGGCTTCGGGCTATGATGGCATCTGGACAGCAGGAGTCATCTCGAAAGCAGAAGAATAACGGCCCTAGTCCACCTATGCTTGGAAGTGACATTGTTCTACCACAGAGCTTATCACCGGAGGGGACCATCTGTGAGCATCCTCACATCAATACTGCAGTGACTGGCGGACAGGACCTTTGCAACGACTGTGAAGGGCTGTGGTGCGCAGGCCCTCATAGACAGAGTGCAAAGGGCGCCGGTTTGTGGATGGGAACTTGTTGCAAAGATGAGAAGCAGGAGCAGGAGGGCCCAGGACTATTTCCGGGGATTGTGACTCCTATGGCTTGGATTGATGAAACAGGTGTCGGTGTAGGCCTCAGTCCATCTCCTTCACATATCCACCTGGATCGCCTGGCGACATCGCCAGGGAACTCTGGTCGAAAAGCTACCAGTCCAAATCTCCGGAAAGCCCTTGATGCAGAATTCCACGACGGATTTGTCACGCAGATATTCAACTACCTCTCGTTGGGATATCCTTGTCTTGCCCGTTATTATGACTACGAGCTCAGCCGAATCTCAGGGATCACAGTTGAAGAGCTCCGTCAGGATGACCTACACACTGATGCCCGGGGATATTTTGCCCTTGACAACAAAGATCTGACCAGGAAATGTACTCGATGGAACGCATTGCGCTTGTATATCCAGGAGTGGGTTAGACAGGAGCCTGGCATGGTCGAAGATGAAACCAACCTAGAAGGCTGGGGACTGCCAGAAAGAAAGGGCAGCTGGGCCATTTGATCTCACTTAATTTGTATCTTATTCAGAGCGTGCATTGGAGATAGCTGCATCTTGAACTTTTTTCAACTGGGTTACTGGCGTGTTTTGAAACTTCCTCTGTTCTCAAAGACTATCCAATTTAAAGTGATGGTTATGCTATTCGAGAATATACGGTCGACTAAATAAATGTATCTATTGATGCATGTTTCCTTTGCGAGCTCTTTCGTGGACAATGCCTGGGAAGATCTTTTGCTCTGGTAGCCCATCTGCGCCACTAACATTTCCCAAGGCTGCGCTACTAGGAGACCGAGCCAAATGAGTCGACGAAGGGGAGGTTGCCAATTGAATTGGAAGCTCACTCTGTGAAATATCTGTGCCAGCCACACTAGAACGGGACTCGGAACGTGGTTTAGTTGCAGGAGCTAGTTATGCACTGTCAGCTTGATCGTTTCTTGACATCATGGGCAATGCCTCTCAGATCATACCATTGTTCGCAGGTATAGCATCTCCTGCTTTGCTGGGCTGATTTGGAACAGAGTCTGGTGCCAGGCTCTTTTGGTCCTGGATCACATTGCTTTCAGAATGACTTTCAATCCTGAAGAGACGACAGTTAGCACCAACCGTAAATAGCTTGAATCGTTGGGCAAACACTCACAAAGACAATTCTCCAAGCAAAGTCTCATGTCGGAAAGCCTCCCGAATGTCTGGGACATTGCTCTTTGCGACATTGTTACCAGCAACTCCTGGCAACGAGCAGTTTGAACCAAGCCATCTAGCCCTCAGTGAAAGCTCAAATCCACTTTGGAGAACCGAATGCTTAGCAAGCTCGCACATGTCGACTGCGCTAAATTTGTAAATCTGCGCTGCAACCGAGTATTCCTCGATCAGGGGTTCTTTGGTAAAGGCAAACTGCAAAGGATCATCGGTGGACAATGACACATTGAGTCCTCGTTTGAAGAAACTAGCGCATGGGTTCTTGTCGTATGTGAGGAACAGCGCATTGTTACTGAGTGGTGACATGGCAATACCAATCTGATCCAGATAGTAGAGATATTGCAGAAGAGGCACCTTGCGCAGCAGAATACCATGACTGATACTATGGCAGCAGAGGAAGCCAACGGCCAAATGGTCTGGGTCGCCTGCCTCACCGCAGTGTGGTCGAAGGACAAAGGTGTTAAATCCACGACGTTTGCGCCAGTTGTTGAGCGAGGCAATGTTGGCAAACATGAAATAAAGCCAATAAGTGTAAGGCGGGTTCTGCTTGGTATTCCACTCTCGAGGAATAGGATACTTCCTGTAAAGCCGACGTTCGGCCTTGCTCTCGTCATCTACACTGTCAAATCCGACCACGCGCTGGAGGAAGATGTGAAGCTTGGGATGACTTGAGGGATCCTTGGTCACTTCAAACAAGGGCTGGAAAACATTGGTGATCACCTGCTCATAGTTCTCCATCATGCCACTGGCCTTGTACACATCATAGAGACGAGGCACCTGGATCAGCCAACGAACATTGGGCGAGAACAACTTATTGTCCACGACCCAGGCAGCAAGCTTATCCCATTCTTGAAGGGATCGACCATAGATCGAGATTCGCCATTCCACCATCTGATATTTGCTAGATTCCAAGTCTGAGATCACCTCCTTGGTGATTTCGGCCAGATAGCGACCCTTGATGTAATTGTCCGTCTTGAGGAAGATTTCACGCAGACGTGATTCACCCACTGGATTATATTTCAAATTGAATTTATCGAAGCGATGGAAAGAGTCAGTGTGTGCCTGCATGACCAGTCAGTAAGGATCGCTAGGTAGCAGGGGAGGTGGACCAAAAATGCATAATGCATGTGGAACACACAAGCAGTGGAACAAGAAGAGAGACTAACATGCATGTCCAGTGTATCAATACTGAGGTCGTAGGCAGTCAAATTGATACTTTCAAAGACCTCCCTCAAGGTCAAATGTTTCCCGTCTCGGAAGAGGACAACCTCATCTGGAGACTTTCTCATCTTACTCTTGATAAAACGAAGAAGATGCTTCTGATTCATGCAAGCAGAATGATGAACGTGAGTGTCCACCTTACGGACGTTGTAAAAGTCTCTGTGAGGGACCTTCTTGCTGTCTGCGATCTCCTGGTATTCATTGAGCAGCGTGTAAAGTTGAAACTTCCCCTCCAAATAGGAAAGCCGCTTGAAGGCAAAGCTCTTTGCAGGTCCATCTGTTGATACGTCTACAATGGCATCCAAATCCATGTAAAAATCGCGCAACGAGGGGATCTGGACGATGGGCTTCTGCCCGTCAGCGGCCGTTTCAGACTCAAAGACCTGGTACACGCTGTTTCCATCGAGTTTATACGTCCACGATGATTTCTCGGGAAGAGGCATTACTTCCTCCATGTCAAAATCTTCTCCAATGTCTTGACCCATCTTCCTCTTCTTGCCGCTAGGTTCGGAGGGTCCACCAATGTGGCCGGGTTGATATTCTTTGCCGTCGTCCCACGCTGGCTCTGGAGGAGGCGGGTAGATCTCCCAGTCTGGTTGATCCATTGGGTTCATTCCTGGACCTTGCAACGAAAGCTCCATGTATTGGGCTCGACGATCCAGGAGCTTCTTGATCTTGCGGTAAATGGAGTTCAGCTCCGACGTCACGGCATCATTGCCCGGCGCAAACCCGCTGGGCACCTGAGGTGCTCCAATGCCCGTGTTGGCGCTGTGCAGACTCTCCGCTGCTGCAAGGTATGCACCAGGTCCATGAGCCGCGCCCAAATGCGCAGCCTGGGTTTGAGCGGAGAGATTGGCGACATCCTGGTCCTCCAGGTAGTGTGCCGAGGCTTCGTGGTCCCTGGGGGACTTCAGGTGTAGTGTTGTGGGATCCGAATCCAGCACCATAGAACCCTCCTGGGAGCTCTGGGTCCACATCGAGTCCTGTTGGGGAGGCGGCAGTTCTTCGGGGTGCGAATCCGTCGCCGACCGGGCTGTAATTCCTGGGCTCGGGGGCAAGGGGTTTTCACCGCGCGAGGCTAGCTGGTGGTGCTGGTAGAATAATCTTGCCTCGGCGTGACTCAAGGACTTCTCATACGCATAGTCGTACGTCGCAGTCTTTTGCTGGCGATCTCGAGGCAGGATCTCTTCTGTTGGCTGATCTAGCGGAGAATCCACAGGCTCCTTGAGACCTGGGGACGATGCAGCAGATACATCATTTGACGAAGTGGCGGACAGGTTGACATTCCGACCGAAGCTGAAATCAGGAGGTCCCATGACTAGGTGAATATGAGGACTCACGAGCAAAGGGCGGCCAAAGTCCCCTTTCGTCTACAAAATCCCAGCAAAGTCACGGGAGTTCACACCTTTTGGGCAGGAGCAGAAGTTGGGAAAGATTTGGGAGCTCCCCACCTTTTCCGGTGAGTAAATCGGAGAAATTGCCAGTGATAGCTCCGGTCTGAACAATATATGGAGAGACATACAAGGGGTGTGTGGTAGGGGAAATATACTATAGAATATCCTAAGAATGTCCTATGAATATCCCATGAATATCCTAACTATAGAGTCTCTTAGTCTCTTTAGTCTATTTTAGGCCGTATTAGTGTTAGTTCGTATCATCCAGTTGTTCTCTTAGGCGACCACATTAATTGGGACTATTAACCTCTATTCCATTTTCTGTTTCTATACTCTACTCTACTCTACTTTACTCTCCTCTTGACTGTATATCACTATTCCTCTCGCTCTCTATTTACTCCCCCCCCCGCAAATATCCGGTCAGTGTTATGCAGCCCCACCTACGTCAACTCCCTCCCTCTTCCTCTTCCTCTCCCTATCCTTCCCTCTTCACCTCACTGACAACAAGTGAAGGATCTCACATCCACCCCCTTACCTTAAATCTGGTCACTCAATCTGCTGTCTCATAGTCATGGCTTCTCTCAATCTCTCATCCAATGGTCCCTCGATATCCAAGAGCTATCAGACCGTGGTGAATGCACCTCCCCCATCTACAGCGGGTTCGCCAACCTACGGTCAATGGGCTCTCTTTTCGGTTTCCACTCCCCTGGTCAGTGCTTTCCAGCAGGATGCAGGCAAGGAGAGTGTACTCAAGGTTCAGACCTCTGGAGGTGAGTGATCGCGCATCCCCATGGTATCGGACTCCCCATTGACATTGAATCCTGGCAGAGGGGGAATTGATCGATCTCATCGAAGAATTCTCCGAAGGAAGGGTACAGTTCGCCTATGTCAAGGTGACAGACCCCAATACAGGTCTCCCCAAGAATGTGTTGATTGCGTGGTGCGGAGAAGGTGTGCCTGAGCGGACCAAGGGCTATTTCACGAGTCACCTGGCTGCGGTCTCGAAGTTCCTTCATGTGAGGAGTCCATTATCTATGACGTACATCATGCAAGACTAATTTGATCGGTAGGGATATCATGTTCAGGTGACTGCCCGAGCAGATGGGGATCTAACCCCCGAGGGAATTGTCCAACGAGTGGCAGACTCCTCCGGCTCCAAGTATTCCGCTGGAGAGACTTCAATCCCCACCCCCGCCTCCCGTCCTCCCGTGGCCAACAAGCCTGCTTTCACACCGACAAGATCTGGAGGAATCGCTCCCAACCCCGCCCGACCACCACCCGCATCATCCAGAGCCCCCGTGGACGATGATGGATGGGGTACAGATGCCCCCCCCTGTGACCCGAACTCAGCTGGAAAAGGTCCAATCTGCCTACCAACCCACCAGAGTGAACTTGCAAGAGCTCAAGGCAAACCCAACAGCGACTCGCCAAGCCCCCGCCTCGACCTCAGACGACGCTGGCGTTGTCAAGGGTGGATACCAGCCAATTGGAAAAGTCGATATTGCTGCCATTCGGAGACAGGCCGCCGAATCTGGCCAGCTCAAAGATGAACGCCCGGCACCCGTTAAGGGGTCCTATGAGCCGATTGGTAAAGTTGATATTGCTGCTCTCAGATCCAAGGCACAGAAGCCAACTGGCGACAGTGTCTCATCGAGCCCTGCTGCCAATGAGACCCCTACAACGCTTCCTGAGCGTCCTGCTCCATCCAATGACTCGGAGCGGTTGACAAACCTGCCCAAGCCCAAGGTTGCCAATAAGTTTGGGGGCGGTCCTTCTTTCCCTGGTACTAAGCCGCCGCTCCCGACTGGCCTTGAGCCTAAGCCGAGCACGAGCGCCCCAATTGGTGTTGCAAGCCGAACATTCGCAGACGAAGGAGGAAAAACGCCTGCTCAGATCTGGGCCGAACGCAAGGCCAGGGAGCGTGGTGAGACGCCACCAGCTCAAAGCGCTGAGCCCACTCCGATTCAGAGCCAGGCCAGTGGTCAAAATGAGTGGAAGAGCTCCTACGCTGGCAAATCATGGGCCACAGTCCAAACCACCAGGGAGAAATCCCAACTTCCCGAGCCACCCGTTGACGCCAGGGCCATCGATCAAACAGAAGAATCCAATGCTAGTGTCAGTGACATCCGCGGTCAGTTTGCCAACGATACACCTGCACCACCCGCTCCTCCAGTCCCACAGGCCAGCCGCCCCGTTCCTGTGCCTGGATTATCCTCTGAACCCGAGGCTGAGCCCGAGCATGACGCTCAGCAAGTTCTCCCGACGCCCCCGCAACAGCCTCGCTCCCCAACCCCTCCAACTCCTCCTCCAGTACGTGAGAGCTCCCCCATCCGGATTGCTATGCCGGTGGGACAAAGTGTTACCGATGCCCACGAGGAGCAGCACTCCCCACCACCAGTCATTCCCGTTCAGAGTCTTCAAGAGGCTGTGCCAGATGAACGGGACCTTGAAGAAGATTCGCACGATCTTGGCCGTGCTGCGGCCGAAGCTACCGTATCAGACCAACCTCAGAGTAATCTGCGCGCTCAGGTCCAATTTGATTATGAAAAGGCCGAAGACAATGAAATTGAGTTGCGTGAGGGCGAGTTTGTGACCGACATTGAAATGGTGGATGAAGACTGGTGGGTGGGTGTCAATGCTCAGGGCGAGCGTGGTCTCTTCCCGGGCAATTATGTGGAGATTGTGGAGGACGACAAGCATGATACTTCTGCGACGCCTGCGAACCAGTACGAACCAGAGCCAGAGCCTGCTGCCGCCGTCCCTGCTCCTCCCACACCCGCCGCTGCCCCAGCACCTGCGGCTGCTGCAAGCTCCAAGGGACCTACTGCTACGGCTCTCTTTGACTACGAAGCTGCCGAGGACAACGAGATTGGCTTCCCCGAAGGCGCCAAAATCATCAATGTGGTAAGTTTACCAAGCTTTTCCCGATTTTCATCTATGCAATGCTAACCAGGTCTCAGGAGTTCCCCGATGATGATTGGTGGCTCGGTGAACACAATGGCGTACGAGGACTCTTCCCCGCGAACTATGTTGAATTGGACCAGTGATTGTATTCGGGTTTTGTTTTTCACATCCTGAACGACCGCAAGTCATGCAACCTGCATTCGCCGACCTGTCTAGTATAGGAAGCTTCATAGCAGATTCCAAATCGAGTTTCGCATTGAATATGCAAACACGCACACCACACACACTGACACACATTGCCTGAATATCAGCTTTCCACCTTGTATCTATTCCAATAGCAACCAGATCGTATATAAGAATCGAATAAGGAAAATTCCTAGTGTTTACTCTCCAAGTTAATCATCGACGTCATGGGCTGACCTAAGGGCTTAGGTCAGCATCACGTGCCCCGAAAAAGTGGCCATAAACAGCGTAACCAAGTAGTGCATGGGGAATCCGGTGACACTGCACGCGACTTGGCTTTGCGCGTCTGTTCCCTTCCTTTTGTCTTACCTTTCATATTCCTCCCTGCCGACGTCCAGCGCGTGTGTGTGCCAACTTTATATCCAAGGATCCCGCTTCAGTTCACCCTCCAATACACATCATGGCATCGCTGGGCGAGGATCTGCTTGTGACTGTGAACAAGCTCCAGGATTTGGTTTTCAACACCATTGGAAATGATTCCCTTGATTTGCCCCAAATTGTGAGTTACGTTGAATAGAGCCCTTGCAACCCTACGGGCAAACATCGTTGTGGATGCCGATTAAGCTAATCCGGATCCCCCCTTCTAGGTTGTTGTTGGCTCCCAATCCTCTGGAAAATCCTCGGTTCTCGAGAACATCGTTGGGCGGGACTTCCTACCGAGAGGCAGTGGCATTGTCACACGCCGGCCTCTGATCCTCCAGCTTATTAACGTCCCCAGTGACCGAGACGATAAACCCGAATATGATGAGGTTCACATCCCACACACGGCTGCGAGTGTTGCCGGTCAACACGAATGGGCCGAGTTTCACCATCTGCCAGGACGCAAATTTGATGACTTTGCGCAAGTGAAGCAAGAGATCGAGGCCGAAACGGCGAGAATCGCAGGAAGCAACAAAGGCATTAACAGGCAACCCATCAACCTCAAGATCTTTTCTCCTCATGTGCTCAACTTGACTCTGGTTGATCTGCCTGGACTGACCAAAGTGCCCATTGGTGACCAACCCTCCGATATTGAAAAGCAAACGCGAACCTTGATTCTGGAGTACATCGCCAAACCCAACAGTATAATTCTTGCGGTCTCACCAGCCAATGTCGACTTGGTCAACTCCGAGGCGCTGAAGCTCGCTCGCCAGGTGGATGCAATGGGCCGAAGGACGATCGGTGTTTTGTCAAAGCTGGACCTCATGGATCATGGAACTAACGCGATGGATATCCTGTCTGGGCGTGTCTATCCCTTGAAGCTCGGCTTTATCGGTGTGGTGAACCGGTCCCAGCAGGATATCCAGTCTGGTAAATCACTTTCCGATGCCTTGCGGGCAGAGTCAGAGTTCTTCCGCCACCATCCAGCCTACCGCAACATGGCTAACCGGTGCGGAACACACTTTTTGGCCAAGACCTTAAACACAACTTTGATGTCACATATTCGAGACCGGCTGCCAGACATCAAGGCTCGCCTCAACACCTTGATGGGCCAGACACAGCAGGAGTTGGCCAGTTATGGAAACAAGCAGTTTAGTGGCGAGGAACACCGCGGGTCATTGATTCTTCAGCAGATGACTAGATTCGCTGCCTCATTCATTTCCTCGATCGACGGAACTTCCTCGGAGATTTCCACCAAGGAGCTTTGTGGTGGAGCCAGGATCTACTACATCTTCAACTCGGTCTTTGGAAACTCCTTAGAAACCATTGATCCCACTCATAACCTGACCGTTTCTGATATCAGAACCGCCATTCGCAACTCGACTGGTCCTCGTCCCAGCTTGTTTGTCCCAGAATTGGCCTTTGATTTACTGGTCAAGCCTCAAATCAAGCTTCTTGAGTCACCCAGTCAGCGCTGTGTGGAGCTGGTGTATGAGGAGCTCATCAAGATCTGCCACACCTGTGGTAACCAGGAACTTCTGCGATTCCCTCGCCTTCAGGGCAAACTGATCGAGGTTGTGTCTGATCTGCTTCGTGAGCGTCTGGGACCTTGCGCGAACTATGTGGAATCTTTGATCTCAATTCAAAGGGCCTACATCAACACCAACCACCCTAACTTCCTTGGGGCTGCGGCTGCTATGTCTTCAATTATGCAAAACAAGCAGGACGAGGAGCGCAAAGCCTTGATGGCGGAGGAAAAGCGGAAGCGCGACAAAAGACGCCAAAAGGAATTGGGAACCACCAACGGTACAGCCAATCCCGATGACGAGGAACACGCCGATTCCAAACAGAATCTCCCCATCCGAAGCCAGTCTACAAAGGGTTCACGGAGCCTGTCCCCTCACGTTGGCCGCAACGGTGAGAATGGCATCGCTGCAACCTTGAACGGAGTCCATCCCAACCATGCCGCTTTCGGTGGCTCGAATACCGCCCGCGATTCGTTCCTGAACTATTTCTTTGGCAAGGAGGGTACTCACAACACGGCAATGGCCCCGCCGTCTGGAATGAACTCCAGTAGACAAGCAATTCATGCAAGTGAGCCCAGTATCAGTCAGAGTATTCGCCGCGCTGAAATGCGATCTCCCGTCATGCCGGCCGAGGAATACACAGCACCATCCGAGTATGGTGGTGAAGTTTCTGCTTTCGTTAGTGTCAAGTCCTACTATTTCCATGTGCTTTTGACTAACTTCTTCTCTCTCTTTTGCAGCCCAATGAGAATACTGAGCCTGCACTTACCGACCGTGAAATGCTTGAGACCGAGCTTATCCGCCGACTGATTTCGTCCTATTTCAACATTGTGCGCGAGAGCATTGCCGACCAGGTTCCTAAGGCTGTCATGCATCTCCTGGTCAACCACTGCAAGGACGTGGTGCAGAATAGACTTGTGAGCGAACTTTATAAGGAGGATCTTTTCAGCGAGCTGCTTTATGAAGACGATGGCATTAAAGCTGAGCGAGAGAAGTGTGAGAGGCTCTTGGAGACCTACAAAGAAGCCGCAAAGATTGTGGGCGAAGTTTTATAGATGGATCTTTTTTTTATTGCTCTAAGCTCGAGGAACCTTAGGGACATCCTGATTTATGCGCCATGCTTGATGCGTTACCTGCCGTATGGCGTGGAGGATTTGTGTTGCTCTTCACTCAATTTATGTACAATTATCGCGGCCTGCACATGATATCGATATATTTTCGACCTCTTTTGGGGGGGGTTTTTCCATCATTGAGTCTTCTTAGTCGCACTTCGTAGACGAGCACCCTCAAAGCCATACAGACCACCGCCAACAAAGACCAGTGCTGCTCCAGCCAAGACACCACCAGCCAGGTGGTTTCCAAATAGATAAATGGACAAGAGAAGGGACACCAGCTTGCGGATGTTCAAAAAGATGGTGACAGTCAACGACGACGACTTGGCGGATAAAAGGTGAACACCCCGAATGCACAAATACTGCGTCAGAGCATTCATGATCAAATAAGCCACTTGAACTGGGAGCTGTTCCAGTATAGACTGAATAGACGGGTGATGTTGGATTTGACCCAGGACCGAGAATGCAGTATTCTTCATGGAACTCGACACAGACGAGTCTAACAAGACATCACGGTTGAGATGAGACAGCACAGATGGCGAAGAAGCTACCACCTTCCACTGCAACGCCAGCTGCGAGTAGCTCGTAAGGAATATAGGCAGCGAAAGCGTGTGCGAGTAGAAGAGGGCCTCCTTCCAATGATCCCTGCCGTAAGTGGCATACAGGCGATCCGCATAGATTCCCTGGAACGCGGACAAAATCATTGCCAGAACCAGGATGGTGAAACCTTTCACAGTGGTCATCATATCGACGTCGCTATCAGACGACTCGATTGACAATCCTTTGGACTGGGCATCGGCTAATGCGGCGGCTGCCACACCCACAGTCAACATGCCCACCGAAGCGATCTGACCTCGGGAGTAGCGTTTGCCATTATAAATATAACCAATCACCATGGAAGCTACAGGCCCAGCAGACCGCAGGATGATATGCAGCGGCACGGAGATCTTGTATGCGAATGCCCAATTGTTCAAGAGGTTCACCGTCACAAAGTAGGCTGTATATACCACCCAAGACTTCAAAGGGATCGCGCGAGCACTGATGAATAGTGCCTGTGGTCCAGCCGAGAAGGAAAGAAAACTTGGGAGGGTGAATAGTGCGCAAACCACGAATTGCGCAAAAGTAATCAAAGGACCTGAGCGGAGGCAATCGAGTCAGATGGCACAAAAAGCGTTTTAAATATTCAGACGAAACTCATCTCTTACCGGCAGTAGGTTGCTCTCTGCAAGACAGGGCATTAGTATCGGTGCTGGCAAAGAAAGCCCGTGGCTTCCATCATTGGCTCGTTCACTCATCAACTGGTTTACTTACTTGATAATCGCCTCCAGCGCAAAGACCTATACACCACCCATCAGTCTGATATAACCCGTAAGTCCATGGGGACTCACATTTGCACAACAGCCACCAAATATGAGGGAGACCATTAGGATCATGGTTGTCCAACTAGGGACCGCGGCATGGGCAGCGGCAGCCGCCAGGCCAGGGATATCCTTCTTCAATTGACCATAATCGGCCTTGACCTCGAATTTCGTCTCGGGTTTCGCCGAGGGCTTCACCTCGGGCCTTTGAGGTTGAAACGCGCTGGTCGTGACCGCATTGGTATGATTCGGTGTGTTGACAGAGCCAGCGCGGGAGCGAGTGATCAGGTAGGAGTCATTGTGTCCTCTTCTCATGGGAGAGTCATTGTCATTGAGCATTCTCCCTGGTTGACAGGGCTGTATGTTGGAGAGGAATTAGCGACAGGGTTGGGAGCGGGACTCTGCTATATAACGTTATGTGTGGACAGAGGAAGGTTGACAGATCTCGGGAAACAGATCGGCGCGGACCGGCACTTTATATACTCCGCCCTGCTTCAGGAGTATAAAAGAGAAGCGAACTTATATCTATGAGTTGTAGTGCGTATTTGCGCACTTGGTATTTAATCCACTATGTCATCGTCACTTAAATACAGCTTCTCTTCTTCCTGGGGAAGCCGAGGTCCAAAGCCATTACTACTGGGCTGCTTCGACCGCCATTGTCGAGGAGATTCCTCTGCATCTTCCATGCCATCCTCACGGAGACTAACATTGGACTTGATGCTGGTTATCTTATCCAATTGCCAACTCTCTGGATCATTATGTCGGATAGTAGCCATGTAGGGCAACTGATGCAGGAGAAGATCATGGCGAGGTATCATGGTGATCACGCTCGCGAGCTTGTCTTTAGCACTTGCATTGATTGTCGCCGACTTCCCTGCCTGGAGGGTTTTCCAGGATTTGACACCAGTCAAATCATAGTTTGAGTCTGTCAAAGACTGACCGAAAGGGTCGAGTAACCGATTGGTCCATGAATCAATGAGCCCGTCGATTTCTTCAGATTCCCTCCAGAGTCGCAGAGATGCTGGATAGAACATCTTGTGGGCATCACCGACGCGGCTTCGAGCAGCCCCTGACCCAACTTTTCGCTTCACTGGGTATGGAAGCGCGAAAAGAAGGCCCCGCGCCGCAACCTGGAAGCTCATTTCCTCCTGTCGGAGTACATCAATACCGCTACTGAATGAAGTAGCTCCGGTACCGATTCCTGCGCGCGCGCCTCCTATTCGGCGGTCGGCGCTGAGAATATCGCTGTCGGAGAGTGCCTCGATGCAGCTGTTGAAAGAATCCGTAAAGTCGTTCCCGTCACAAGACGGTGGGTAGTTCTCATGAAGAGCACTGACAAAGGTTGAGATGTCTGTTCCGGTCTCATCAACCAGATCATTCACCAAGACCTGCGAGGTTTTCGGTCGGTGGAAGTGACGCAAGTAGTCTGGTGGTGGTGGAAGAATCTCGACATTGTCCTCGACGAGACTGGGGTCCATCCGCTTGTTGTATACTATCTTCCCAACGGCGTGGAACATGCCCAAACTGGCCTCTCTCTGCGTGATTATCTTGAGAGACTCTTGCTCCATCGCCGTCAGGGCGACCTCGGCTCTGGCCTTTTTTGTTTTGGCCACATTACCACCCCATCTACCGGCACCTTCTCTCTTAAGGCATAGGAATTCAAGCGATGATATTGCACTTCGAATATCTCCAATTTCAGAGATTTTATCGATCACTCCCGGGCCGGGAAGTTGTACACGATTTGATTCGCGCGCTTCTCTGTCCAGAATAGATCGTAGGGCCTTTTGCATGAATGTAGGTGCTATGGCATTGAAATCGAGAATCGTCGTCCCGGGGTGATTGTAGATGGCTGGCCCCAGTAATCGATGGACTGTCAGGTTGTCTGAGATTGAGGATGCAGACCCCAGCAGTGTTTCAGATACAATGATTACAACAGGTGGATGGGCCAAACCAGCCATGCCAAGTGTATGATCAGTGGTCGCGGCCGCCAAATAGCGCTGCAGAGACGCTCGGAAAGAAGTGATGTGCGAGGAGCCCCGAGTCAGTACTGTTGGAAACTCCTCGATGAGCAGGATTCGATGATCCCGAGACTTCTCTTGCTGGGCATCGAAACTGTCGGTACCCTCAAGGTCAAGTCCTCCAAACTTATCACCACGTCCAAGAAATTCCTCAAAGTGAGCGCTCACAGATTGATAGTCCCTGGAGCCAAAATCCAAAACGGGTGGATTCTTCCATTCGATAATATCATAACCAACTGATTCGGAAAGAAGATTGATAGTAGTGGTTTTCCCACTGCCTGCCGGACCGCGCAGGACGAGTAACCTCTGCTCATGTTAGAACCATTTAGAACCTAAGAAAACACATGGCACATGGGCTGCTGAACTGCTTGACACTCACCTCCGGCTGTCTCCCTGAAAAGGCATCTTCCAGCCAATGTTGCACGTCGGAGACCTTTTTCTTGTGGACAGCCAACTCGCCTAGATTAGCTGGGGCGAATCGTTGAGCCCATGGGCGCAGGTCAGACTCCCCAGCCAGCTGGGGGGTTACCTGCTTGTTCCGAGCTCGACTCGGTTCATCTGGTGGTAAGATGAATCGTTTTGATTGTGTCTTTTTTCGCGGTTGGGGAGGTGGTTTAGGCGCAGGAGGACGCGTCTTGGAGCCTACACTAGCCGCCAGACCCGTCCGCTCTCTGGCCAGATGTTGAGTGAATATCTCGTCGTAGGAATCATAGTCGTCTTCGATCAGATCGACATCCACGGTCTCTATGACTGGTGGGAGGGCTTGTTTCTTCTCGGGCTTCGGGGGAGCCCATCGTTGTGTTTCCGTCGCCGGGTTGAAAAAAGTATGCAAGGACTTGGACTTGGAATCTGGCTTTGGTGACGACTTGGTCTTTTTAATTGGAGAGGGCGAGGACGAGGGCAGGCGGTTTGATGCGCGCGATTCTGGTTTAGGACGAGAGGAGAGGGTGACGGGTTCAGAGGGATTTATTTCTGCAGATTTAGAAGATTTAATAGATCGAGACCGTGATACAGAAGGATCATCCTTGTCGGATTTGCGTCTCTTTGAGGGACGACTGTCCATGACCTCGGAGTTGGGAGAAGTTGAGATAAGTTATGCGATAACAGTTAAGCTATGACGCCAAGCGTGGAGACCCTTTATAGTTGCCATGTCGGTGTTTATGTCTGTTTACATTCATAGGTAAAATTACAGCAGAATGACATATTACTTGTCTGGCAGATCCAGTTATTTCACTGGTATTCATATATTATCTGATTCACTTGTTTTACAGTTATGTGCGCACATCCAGCCATGATGGGTATATTGACCAGAACCCCCCGAAACAAATCCCTCAAATCCCAAAAAAAGTTCGTATAATTTATGCGCCACCAAAGACATCATAATAATAGTCTTCATCTAGTCCATCACGGGATGGAACCTCAGGAGCCTCGCCTGCGAAGGTAGCATCGTCGAAGCGGACATTAAGCAGACGGATTTTCAACCCGTAGTTGCTGACCAGATCAATCAGCTTGGTGGTCTCGGCGGTGATGGGTTGCTGGTTTAGAAGCATCAATAGACCGTCCAGCCATTCAGATGCAATGCTGTGTGAGGAAGGCCGCAGCGTAAGTAGGACCACCTCTTTCTGGGTTGTCCTGCTGGCCGAGCGGGTATGGCCCTTGCCTTGACCATGAGAAGAAGATGGAGCATAACCGTGGATGGTGATCTTGGTTGCTGGCTGACGGGGCGTAGACTTGACTGTAGCTGTAGAAGCATGGTCTGGTGTTGTGGAAATATTGGAGACTACAGATGACACCATGGAGAGGTCAACTGTGTAAAATTGTTAGTATGAAACACACAACACGGCGAAGCAGCTCTTACTTTTCTCTGGCAGAGTATCTAGCTCTGGAGCCCCGTCACCCATGGAGTTAAATGTCCCGAAATGTAGATATCGTCGATTGTGAGAGAGTTGAGCAAACCGATGTGACCCGGTGGACTTCTGCACTGCTCCATCGGCTTTCGAGCCAGAGTCCATGGCAAACCAAGCCCCTCGAAGGAGACATCGGATTCGTTGCTCCTTGACAAACTGAAGGGCTTCGTGTTGGAGCTCCTCGCGCACCTGGCGCAGGTGCGGACCCCATGCATCCTCGTACGTAAGTTCGAGAAGTTCCATCTGTAGCCCACGCAGACGGTTATATTCAAAATCGGCCAGCTCCTCTTCCACATCCTGTACATCCTTGGTCCGAGAAGCTCCGCCGACCACGGATTCGATGAGGATCCGTATGAGCTCGATAAGCTTGTCCAAATCCTCCACTTCAGCGGCAGTCGCCTTCCACAGGCGGAAGAAGGCTTGCAACCCGGCAACATGAAGCCGGGTCCAATGTAATAGTAACGGCTGGAATAGTTTATCAAAGCCCGAGCGAGACTCCGAAATGAGATATGCCTTGGTATCATCCATCTCAGACTTGTCCACTTCGAAATGCTCGTATAGAATCGAAGTCACGGCCAGAGAAGCGCGTGCAATCGGGCACCGTTGTCGTGCCGGCTTTGTAGAATGCTCCAAAAGCATTTTTTGGAATTCATCCTGATGGCTGCGCACATAGTCCGCCAGATCCATCATCCCGAGGAAACCAACTTCGTAGAATTCCATGGCTGGGCTCTCCGTCTCGAATCCCAGCCGCCTCCACTTCTCCGGATGATGTCGTTTTGAGCGCCGTGCATCGTCGCCATTTTCAGTCGTCTCGTCGGGGCGCTTCGGCGGGTTACTGGCTAGGTGGACCCCCTTCAACGCGCGGCGATGTTCAGGCTTCTCTTGGTTGACTGGAAGGTCTCTCCATTTCCGTAACAGCACCTTTGTCAACGACTGGAATTCGAGTAATGGATGCGCTAGGTCTTGCAGGGCAGAGTCCTGCATCAGCATATAGACAGCCCTGATCACCCCCAGATCCTGGAGCTTTTGAATGAACTTGGGCCACTCGGCTTCAGAGTCGTGTGTGATCGAGTCGCGCATGAGGGAGTTGATCAATTGTAGGGCATTGGCGCACAGGGCGTGGTCGGCGGAGGAGAGTCGGCTCACTAGCATTTCCAGGAATTGAGGGTATATAGCGATGGCGGGCTTCAAGGCACGGAACCCAAAGTGGTCGACCTGGGATGCACGGTTCCCGATGTACGGATGCGAGACGACGGAGACGAGAATCGACATGGCGCCTCGAAGAATATTGACCAGGGGATGGGTGACAATCAATTCGACAATCTGTAATGATCTGCATTAGCTTCTGAGACGAAAGGCTTCACTCCAGGCCAGGCCAGGCATTGCAGCTCAGGGCAACAAGAGAGCTCACTCGTTCCACCAACTCCTGATCAACACATTCCCACCCTTTATCTACGTCGAGCAACCTGGCGAAGCTGGTCAAGCTATAGGCCAAGGTATTGCCCGTCGCATGAAGAGTTAAATAGCGTAATCGGACCAGACCCCCCTCTGCGATGAAGAGGTCCGCAAAGGACGGGTCGCCGATGTTGCTCTGAAGCTTGAAGACCGCCATCTTGCGCACGGCATCTTCATCGCTACCCAGGCGCTCGACCAATTCAGAGACATTGACATTCTCCATGACTGTAGGGGTAAGGGATTGGAGAACGCGGAGATGGAAATTCGGGAGAAAGATCAGGGGGCTGTGGGGCAATTGATCTACAAACGCCTTCAAGCGCCCTATTATGAGTGAACTTGTCTTTAGTTATAGGTTATAACTTCAACTATCCAATTCTAGGTTGTGATTTCTTGTAGGTTGTAGCCGTGTCCCGTTCACTCCCCCATCCTCTGGGTCGGAGGCCTCTATGGACGAAGCTTCGACTTCTTTTCTTTCTCATTTCTAAGTATAATAAGCCTATCACCCGCAATGATCGAAAGGGGGGCTTCTTGTGAGACTACGCTTAGTCTTCGGGAGATGGGTAAGCAAAATAGAAGCCTGATAAACAGTGTCGGAGTATAGTAAAATAGTAAATAGTCAAAGTGCCCTGAACCAGCGTGGGTCCGCAATTTAACTATCTCGCCCACGTGACTCCGGTGTATAGGATCCACTCCTGGCCTCAAACGCGTTGATTTCCGGCGTCAATCCCAAGTCCTCATGTTCTAATGGTAGTTGTAGACTGGAACTTCTAGATATCTCATGGATAGAATGAAATATAGACTGTAGAACAGAAAGATGATATTAAATTCATTTGATTATGGACATTACTTCGTTATATTCATTCCTATACTCCATACATGGGAATCTATACAGGACACAACGCCTTTTCCCCTTTCATTATGTACTTTATCGTCGCCAGCCCACGTTCCAGATCACATGAGCTATGTCTCGTGCCGTGTTCACGGTGTCCACGACGCGATCCAAGATGCTGGAGCTGGGGCTTTCATTTTCTCCTTCGGGCATGAACATGCCCGAGGCAGTCAGCCGCAACGGACGGGCTGAGGTAGGATCATCCTCGACAAACCAAGGCCGATCACGATCCGGGTAATTGCCTGTGTAGTCGAGATCGGGATCTTCATCGTCATCCAAAAGGAAGTTGGCCGAAGGTTCGGGCCGCAGAGTTTCTACAGAGGGAGAGGGGGATAATTTGGAAGCGTTCGCAGTCGGATTCGGGGTGGACCAACGACCCAGTATTGTTGGAGGACGAGGCTCGGGGGGATCGCCTCGGTATTTGAGTGTGGTAGAAGGGAGGGGAGCGATGGTTTTACCCTCGCTGAAGCTGTTGCGAGGGGTGCTGCGAGTGCTGGGGGATCGATCGGAGATCTGCCTCATCATGACCACGCCATCATCAGATGAATCATCTGCAAAGGTCGCGGGCCATTCATCGAAGCCCTTGGCTTCAACCGCAATGCATTGCACGACTTCATTGTTGAAGTGGATATGACGGCGTTCAATCGGAGATGCCATGCCAGATGAGGACGAGGTGGTGAGAGTGCCGCCCAAGGAGTAAGTTGAGCTGCCGGTCCGGTGATGTAGTTGGTCCAAATCCGTATTGGATCTTGGGAAGGGAGGACGAGCCCAGCCATTCTCGGCTTCTTGGGCCTTGAGAATGGCCCCGGCGTGCTGAAGTAACGTATGTTGGGAGAGGGACCGCTGGAGGATAGCCTCCGAGGCAGTCTTTTTCTTGAGAATCGGTTTCCGATCTAGGTAAGAGTTCGGGGTGTCCAGGCGACTAGGAGGAGGAGAAGGGGTTGCACGTTCGCCCGAACTTTTCAATGGGCCGTAAAGCCAGGTGACATCGCAATCTTTTAGCCTGTTTGGAGAGTCAGCGGGAGAGATCAAACGACCGGAATTCCAACCACGAAGATAACCCACCAATTCAGGCTTTCTGGCGAGACGGTCCTCAGATTGTGCTTGGCTTTGGCCCATGTCCGCCACGAGGCATTCTCCAACCGTACTCCATTACTGTAGTCGTTCCTCCGACTCGTCACATAGCGCCACGAGGACCAAATGTCTTCCTCTTTCCAGTCATGCGACAGGTAGTCCACATGCCTTGACGGTTCATCCTCGATTGAAGTGTCATCGACGGCAGGGGCGACCGCCCGGGTGGGATGTGAATCCGTCGAGGCGTCACTCTCATCTCCTTCTAGAGCATGGTGCATAGGTTCAGATTCGTAAGCAGGGAGGACCAGTTCATCAGGCACACTATTTAAGGGGTAGGCGAGTGGCTGCGAGACAGGCATGAAAGTCGGAGAAGGAGGAGCGGATAGAGTGGAAGGGGGAGAATCCCTCCGATACGCATCGTGCATGGGTGATTTGCTATCCAGTTCCAGGAAATATCGCTGCACGGTGGGACACCGGCGAGGATCCGGGGAAAATGAGGCTTCGCGGGGGACCAACAGCGCCGTCATGGCCGGATGATGTAATGACAAGGGGGTCACGCGGGTACAGGCAGAGGGTCATTGGCTGAGGATCCGGTGATGGAAGAGAGGCGAGAAAGAAGAAGGAGAAGAAGAAGAAGAAGGAGAAGAGGAAGAAGACCAAGAGACCAAGAAGAGGAAAGAAAAGTTATAGAAGAGAGAGAGAGAGAGAGAAGTAGACGATGCACCAAGGAAAACGGGGGTGGAGACGCGGAGAGAAAGTTGAGAAAAAGCAACGAACAGCCAACTTGATATAGAAAACGAACCAACTTCCTAACTCTTCCTAACTTCACTATTCTCGCCACTGTGTTTTGGATTTTCCCTTTTATTATTTCCTAGTTTTTCTAAGAGGCTAGACCGGACGAAAATCTAGTGCAACACGATTCTCCACATCTGCAAGTCGTCAACTATAACGGCTGGCTGTGGATCTATAGGGACCGAGAGTCTACGGGCCTGAGCACTCCCTGTTTCGCGTGTTTTCTCTCTCTATCTCGTCTCTACGTCTTTGTCGAGGTCCTGTTCTTGTTCGTGGTCGGGGTTATACCCTCGATCCGGTCTCAATCTGGCGCCCCGGTCTGATTGCGTCTAACTTTCTGGAATGCCTTTCATGACGCAAAACCAAGAATCCTGTTGGTCAACCACACGATCGACGGGCCGATGGGATCAAAGCCGAGCCCATCCAGGCGAAACACGGACGTGTGTGGACCGGAAGATAAGCGGGATCGAGATCATTCAGGATTGGGCTGATTGGAAGGTTGCATCATGTCTATTTCCAGGGTTTACCAAGTATAGGCAACGTTAGTGTGGTGGCGTATGCAAACGTCGGAACCACACACTCTCTCCCACACGCCGAAACGGGAGCTAGAGACAAGACGAGAGGAAGACCGGCAACACCAAGAGGGCGAAAAACGAGAGAAAAAAACAAGAGACGCTCGTCGAGTTGGACAGGAATTACCTTTGTCTGTGCGCTTGCATTGGTCCTGTGCATGATTGGCCTCCGACTAAACCCTCAACAGACGCCCATTGTTAATGCCAATCAACCAGTGGGATCGGGTCCTCGCTGCATGTTACCGTCCAGCGGGTTCAGGCCCTCTGGGTTGAAACTGGACTTCGTGTTCTCGGAGACATATTATCTCCCACTACTGCCGACCCCCCGGTTTTCTCCCCACGGGCCCCCCCTTACGCCTGTCACCACGACGAGCCATTATTGGTTGAGGGCGAGGGTATCAGAGTGGACTTGCTCTGCACAAGGGGTATATCGCCAACACAGCTAAGTTGACGTACACCAAGAAGTTGCTCCTCTTCCCCTGGCGCCTGGAAGCTATCTAATCAGTTTGGCGGATCCGCACACCGGGCACCAATAGACGCTATCATCGCATGATATGCAGTTTAACGGTTCAGCGCCTGCATTCTTAGCCTGGGGCCTGGGGCCCCAGGCTCCATATCCCCCATGTCTTCCCGGGGCGGGACCCAGTTGCTGGATGAGCTGTTGAGAGATAGGATCCATGGATGTCGTGATAAACAAATGTATGGATTCGTATGTCAATGCCAGTGTGTTGAGTTTGCCACTTGCATTGAACCATGTGAAGTACACCATATCTTGCGTCAATCCTCGTCCGAGGAACCAGAAGTAGATGCAGGTCGTAAATAGTCCCGACATGGCTCCTGGAGATGATCCTTACACTCGACAGCTCCGATCCATTATCGGACCTCCCTCCCACGTGATCTCCCAAAGTGGCCTAGCCGGCAGAACTGCCCCTCCGCCCCCCCGCGAATGTGTTGACTTTTGAGAGCGAAGCAGTCTAGACTACTCCGGTACCTATCTCTAGCTCTCAAACCATGGAGGAATCAGGATCAGAACCCGCAAGACAAGTGGTCTATTGTGGAGGTAAGGATCAACCCCCACCCCAGTGGCGCAGAAACCTTGGAGGAAAAATAGTGCTGACGGAATCTATTCCGATAGTTTGCACATTACCCCCAGAGGTACGATCGTTATTTCTCCCTTCCTGGATGTGAAGGTCCAGCCCCTTCCCCCGCCCTTATCATTTCCCAATGTTGCGTGGCATAGCTTGTGGCCAGAGGATAGCGCCCGCAAAGCGCAAAGCTTACCCTTCTCGACCTACCTCTACATCTGCTCTGCTTCAATGCTAACTGGCTGCGGGATAGTATTGTGAATTTGGTGGTACTGCCAAAAAATGTGAAGAATGGCTCAAGGACAATGATTCGGACCTATGGGATAAGCTATACTCCGAAGGTATGGAGCTCCTGTTGAGGGCCGTGTGTACACTTTGACATGCAGCTAGTCAAACCACAGCCCCTCCCTCCTCTCTCTCCCCCCCTCCCCACATACGTGATAACTGACTCTCCACCAGATGCTTTGAACGCCAACCTCTCTACCCTGTCAGTCTCGGCACAAGAGCGTGCCGCCAAGGATGCAGCCAAGAAGGAAGCCAAAGCTGCTGCAAGTGAGGCGCGAGATAGCGAGCGCAAGGCTGCCTCCAAGGTTATTATTAAGCGGGTGGAACGGAACAAGCGCAAATATGTGACTGTGGTCATCGGTCTAGAGGTCTTTGGTCTGGAGAACAAGAAGATTGCAAAGGATTTGGGCAAGAAGTTCGCCACTGGGTCCTCGGTGACTCGGTCCCCAGCAGGCATAGAGGAGATTACTGTCCAGGGTGATGTCAGTGATGACCTTTCCGACTGGTTACTCGAGGTGCACGGGAACAAGATTCCCGAAGCAAACATTGAGTTTGTCGAAGACAAGAAGAAGAAGAAGACCGAAGCGGCCTTGCCGTAATAACGACCAACGACTCCATTGCAGACTGGTGGGGGGGTATCATGACAGTTCAATTAAAAAACAAACAAAAGTACAAATGCAAGATTGCATCCTATGTAAAGCCTTGCAAAGCCCCCATTTCCTGTTTCCCAGAAAGTCTATCTGGAGGACAGCACAAGCAATGTCATATTTCATCCAACACTTTCAGCGGATCATGTTCTGTAGGCAAAGTATCGGGTCCGGTCCGGACCTCTGTCGAGGTAGTAGGGCCAGCCTTTGCCAGGCTCTTGCGGCGATCTGCAAGGCTGGATGGGTACGGCGAGGCCCCTGCAGCAGACCCTTTTCCTGTGCCATCTAGACCGAGGAATGAATCCCATGTATCGGACTGGAGTGGCACAGAAGATTGGTTCAACGCCGTCAGATGTGACAACAATGCGTCGGGGGACTGGAATGGTGGCCAGTTCTGGAAGACGAGAGCGAGCACAAGCACAAGAAGTGCACTAGTGGCAATGCCCCAGAAGATGCGCAGACGACGACTGGTGCGTGTTTGCCACTCAGTTTCGCGCTGTTCCCAGCTATCAATTTCATGTCGTACGGTCTCAAGTCTCTTGTCTAATTCTTCCACTCGCTGTCGGCCTGTTTTCATGCGCGCATGTAACGCGTCTGCTTTTTCAATCTGCGGTTCAAATCCTTTAAGGTCGCTGATCTGTTTTCGAATATCTTGGTCTAACCCGGCAGTTTCACGTTCAAAGTTGCCCAGGAGCGTCGAAGCCGAATCAGATAGCTCCTGAAAAGACGAGATGGTCGAGTTGAGCGCGGTGATCTTCTCAAGTAGATTGTAATAGGTGTAGTCCAGTCGACGCGTAACATCCGTCGCCAACGTTCCAATTGAAGCCAATGCAGACCGTAGATACCTGCATAGTAATTAATATATCATGCATTGCAGCCGCACCCGCAGCATAGAAAAGGATTGCGTACTCTTCCCCCTGTTTCCTACGCTTTCTTACCCTCTCCAAGTCTTCCGGCGATTGAATCTCCTGCCGTCGTATCGGGCCCAAACGCTCCTGCTCAGGCAGGTCGAACAAACTCCCTCTGCGGCTCCCATCCGGCCCGGTCGAATCCGACCCCCATCTCGATCTCGTGGTTTCCCTTGTAATCGGTCTCAACAATCCATCATCCCCATCACGGTCTTTATCCCTCCCACCAGACCACGTAGGCAAGAGTCCCCTCGCAGTGGCCGAGGACGCCAAATGGCTCATATGACGAGGAAGCCGTAGCTCTCGCGACTTGCTGTGTTTATGGGGTTGGGACCGTGAGCCATCATATCCGACGAACTCGACCGGTTGCCGAGACGGAGAGGACAGGCGGGTTCGTCGTGACGAAGACGAAGCGTGTGAAGTCGCCCCCTTGGGAGAGATTCCGCGGTCGTCTAAGCCATAGCGGCTGGGTCGGCGGGAGTGTCTGCCGGTCCTGCTTTCGCGTGTGTTGACTGCGGAGAGTTCCTCTGGGGTGGATTGTTGGTCACTCAGTTGCGTTCTTCGAGTGGAGCTTTTGGAGAGAGGAAATGTGGCTGATGTGGCTCGAGAGCTTGCAAAGGATGGGCTCTTGTGAAGAGGATCCATGGCGACTCATCGCGAAAGAGGCTTGGGGAAGCTTGTCTGAGTGGAGTTGGCGATGACGCCAAGGATCGGCGGTTAGCTTAATAAGATTGTTCGAGTCCACTGGTGATACTGCAGTGAGTTGACTACTAACTTATCACTATTAACTACTATTGATCAGTTGCATAAAGCAGGCAAATCCTCATTTTGTGGGACTGTGATTGGCCATGTGTACATTGATTGACTTGGTAGTCGAGACCTCGTCTTTTCTAGCCTCACTACTGTATACCGACAGTGCACTGCGACTAAATGTCTATCCATATGCATATTGACTATTTCCAATTAAAGCTTGCGCAGCAATCACACAGAATGTGCTCTACTCAGCTTGACTATCCAGTGATGAGTATGAATATGTAACCAAAAAGAAGCAGTTCGTTGACTCGCTATTGTAGTGACCCAGAACCCTCAGAACGCCTGAAACAGCCCATGCCATGAGTCTGTCGCCAATATCCCAAGCCGATGTAAATACACATGCAAAGTAGGGTATGGCGATATGGAAAAAAGGATCTCGATAATCGGGCTGCTCACGAGTTGAGCAACTTGTTGCGCTTCTCTCTGCGCTTGAGACGCTCCACCCGCTTGTGGTGCATCTTCTCAGCCATCTTCTCAAAGCGAAGCTTCTCCTCCTTGGCCTCACGGCGGTCCTTGATGCGTTGGATACGGGCCTGGGTCGCGACATTCTCGGTCAGTGATACCATTCTTGGAAGTTGAAGTCGGAGATAGTGCATTATTATGGAGACCACAGGAATGGGAGACAGTCACAAAAACTGCAGGGTGAGACAGCTTGGGAGCGGTAAAGCTTTACTCACCTGACGTTCGGCCTCTTTCTCCTCCTTCATCTCACGCTCCAACTCCTTGACAGCATCCTGGTGCTTGCGCAACTCTTGACGCTTAGCGTACGAGGTCAAACCGGCAGTAGGGCGGAATGCCTTCTTAGTGCCATGCCAGTTTTTGCCTGTAAGTCCGATCGGGTCAGCCGAGATGAGGAACAGCAGGGAAGTGGAGACTGGGCATGAATTCCATAATTTTTTTTCCCCTTCATTTTTTTTCACTTACCATTTTTCCGCATGCCAGTTGAGGGCACGGTCTGGGTCTCTGTAGCGGTAGACATGTCCAAGAACCTCTTGAAACAATGGTGCTCAGAGGTCAAAGTGGGAGAGAGAGAGAGGAAGGAAAGAAACGTGAAGCGGGCAGACGTCTCAGGATCCGAGTTTTTCCTTTGATTATCTCGATCTGATAAAATGTCTTGGCACGGAGGCGCTAGACAGAAAATGCCCTTCGACTCCACCTTTCACTCGTCTTCACTTTCTCCAACGGGCTTTTCCCTCTTGTTTTCCCTCGTTTGACTCGTTTTCCTCCCGACTTTGTCCTCTTTGCTTGTTCGCTTCTGTCCTGGTGGCTTGGCAAGCCTCGTAGGCCCATCAATTCCCTCACACCGCCCCCTCCCCCCACTACTCTTGACTTCGCTTTTAATCCCTCTTACAACCCCCCCGCCTCTTCCCCTCTTACCATGTCCTGTCGATAACACTCTTCACTTCTCTTGAACATACTTGATGGCGACGGAGCATGCGATCATTACTGAGCGGCCGATGGAGCTGCCGTCCCTCCCGCCCAACCAGGGCTTGGAGGCCGTGAAGGACATCATCTTTGGATCGGTAAGGAGACCTATGCTGCATGGCATGAGAGAAACAGACCACTGACAGGCTTCCAGACAGCCGGTATGGCAGGCAAACTCATTGAATACCCCTTCGATACCGTCAAGGTTCGATTACAGTCACAATCCGCACACCTCCCCCTTCGATACTCCGGCCCGCTGGACTGTTTTCGCCAATCGTTCGCTACCGATGGCTTCCGGGGACTTTACCGAGGGATCAGCGCCCCGATGACGGGGGCTGCCGTGGAGACTAGCTGTCTCTTCTTCAGTTATCGCCTGATTCAGGATACCTTGCGCGCCACCGTGTATCCTAATATGGAACATCTCCCGTTCCCGGCTCTCGTGGCGAGTGGTGCCCTTTCGGGCTCAATCACCTCATTGGCGCTTACTCCGATCGAGCTGGTGAAATGCAAGATGCAGGTACCCGCTGAGTCGGCCGCTAAACCGTCTGGTCCCATGGCCCTGGTCGCGACAATCTTCCGCCAGGAAGGACTGAAAGGATTCTGGCGCGGCCAGATGGGAACGCTTATTCGCGAGACCGGTGGCAGTGCCGCTTGGTTCGGTGGATACGAAGGTGTCTCCTCTCTCTTCCGCAAGTACAACAAGTCACAGGCACAACCGGCCTCTGACTCACTCCCCATCTACCAACAAATGATCGCTGGCGCAACCGCTGGTATCAGTTACAACTTCCTCTTCTACCCTGCCGACACCATCAAATCTCGCATGCAAACCGAGGATATTTCCCGACTCCCCGCCAGTGCCCAACGACAGACCTTCTGGAGCGTCTCCAAGGGGTTATGGCGACAGCAGGGACTCAAGGGCATGTACCGCGGGTGCGGGATCACCTGCGCGCGCTCGGCGCCCAGTTCCGCCTTTATCTTCTCTGTATATGAAGGATTACGGCAGTACTTTGGATGAAAAGAAAGACAAAAACACTGTTAGACTTTGCATATAGACTTGTGCCTTCTCCGGGGTTCTTTCGGGGGTTCCATTACTTTTTACTTCGGATTTTGCACCGCGTTATACCCCGAATACATTCGAAGACAATTCTTCAGGAGATTGGATGAAAAGAAAAGTTCATGTCATGCTATGATTTGTACATAAAAAAAAAGATCCTGCCCACAGACGTTCTTCGCTTCTTCGCTTCATCCTCCCAGCTCATCCTGATACAGCAACCAGACTGATCCCCTTATGATCCACCGTCTCAGCAGCCTGTAGAAAGCCCTCCACCGTCATGGCCAGCCCCTTCTCCGAGAGCAGATCCAGCTCCCCTTCCAACTCCCCCATCAACCACGGCCCATTCATCCCCCCATTCAGCTCCCACACCTTCCCGTCCCTCTGCACAAAGGCCACAAAATGAAACCCACAATCCTCCCGCGGCGATGGCACAATCGAGCACCCCTGCGAAGCCGCATCCATATGCGCCTCCTCCAAGAACTTGGACTGGTAGAGCAATTCGGCCCTCTCAGCGGGTTGCAGCTCAACGGCCCTTTTCACCAACGCCTGCAGCTCCGCACCCATCACATGTTTCCCCGCATCCAGATTCAACAGGACATGAAGAACAGCCATCAAGCCACACGCATGTCCAATCGTCTGCTTCATCCAGACGACGGGCTCCTCCGGCCCGCTTCCTGTATACACCGGGATAGTGGGTTCCACGGCGGCGCGAGTGGCTCGGTAAATGGGTTCATCGGCGAGGAGAATGAGCGCGTTCACGGGTCGAGGGATGTGGGATAGCATGTCGGGCGTTGTCGAGAGCACATCGTGGAACGTCAGGGTTGGAGAGATCCCCAGGTTTCTACATAGATGGGTGATGGTATCGGGGTTGTTTTCTGAACGGTGAGCTATAGTTCTCGAGTCAGGGTGCAGTGATTACCTAGTGGAATGAATGTTTTACGACCGTTGACGATCTGTACTCCTGGATGAGCCATGTCTGCTATTGGTATTTGAGATATCTGAGGCATCTGAAGCATTTGAAGCATCCAAATCAGGTGTAGAGAGAGGAGTTGAGTGAGGGGAAACAGAGATTAGTCATGTCAGCGTCAGGCTCTGAATGTTCTTCTTTCTTCTTGGACTCCCTCGATCTGTTCTTGTCCTGGTTTGTCTTCACTCTGGGCTATTCGATTTGGTCCAGGAAACATCGGCAATTCCCATCGAGAAATAACCGCGTGTGTGAAAACTGGACAGGCTAACCCCCCGGGTCCTCAGGTCTCTGGTGTGTTTTTTTACACTTCGATTTGCACTGGCGAATAGTTCCCATTCCGGAGACTGGGCTGAGACTGGACTGAGAACCAAGACGCTCATATCGAACGACTGCTCACATCCAACAAACTAGCACAAACGCCTGCAAATACCATCATGTCGATAGAACAGAATAACAGGAGTGAATATCAAACCGGGTTGAAAACCAGCTCCACTAGACTTCGCCAATCATGAAGCAGAGACAGACAGGATGCACCTCCACAAGATTCAGCCCTATGGCTAGTCTCAGCCCTATAGACCGGCACACGTACACTCATGTCAGAATGGAGCCGATGTCTTGTAGATGAGCCAGGCAGCAAGTTTGAAGTCGAGAACAGAATCCCCCCAAGGTACTCATGTCAATGGTATAAAATCACTTGGTCGTGGTTGATGGGTCTTCCACACTTCTTCAATTCAAGCCAAAAACCAGGCAAAATGGCTTTCGATCCTGACCATGTCAATCTGAACAAGGCCAGCAAGGAGGATGTCCTTTGTTACCTGGCCATCTCGGAGAACCAATACAATGGCCACCTCGGCGCTCGCATTTCGTCCATCTTTGTGATTCTCTTCGTCTCCTCCGCCTTCACGGTCTTCCCTGTACTGGCCAAGCGGATTCCCTCCTGGAGAATCCCGCAGAATGTCTATCTCTTTGCTCGCTACTTCGGCACCGGCGTGATCGTCGCTACAGCCTTTGTCCACCTACTCGACCCGGCCTACAAAAGAATCGGACCGAAGACCTGTGTCGGACAGTCAGGATACTGGGCGGAATACTCGTGGTGTGCCGGCATTGTGCTGTTCACAGTCTTTGTAATCTTCCTCCTGGATCTGGCAGCAGAGATCTACGTCGAACACAAGTATGGCATGCACAAGAACGAAGAAGCCACCAACGTCTTCATCGCCCATGAGCATCATCTCGATGTGCAGCCTGCCCCAACGCAGCCCACCATCATTTCCGACGACAAGGCAAGACGCGTCGAAACATGGTCCTCCGAGAGCGACTCCACAGCAGCAGAGCAATCCTTCCGCCAACAGATCGCAGCCTTCCTGCTTCTAGAATTTGGCATCATCTTCCACTCAGTAATCATCGGCCTAAACCTCGGCGTGACAGGCTCCGAGTTTGCAACTCTCTACCCAGTACTAGTCTTCCACCAGTCCTTCGAAGGACTCGGAATTGGAGCCCGCATGTCAGCCATCCCATTCGGAAACCACACCTGGCTGCCGTGGATTCTGTGTGCGGCGTACGGCCTAACCACTCCGATCTCCATTGCAATCGGCCTGGGACTGCGAACTACCTATGTGCCGGGCTCGAAGACGTCTCTCATTATTCAGGGTGTGTTGAATGCCATCTCGGCTGGGATCCTGATCTACACTGGACTGGTTGAGCTCCTGGCTCGTGACTTTCTGTTTGATCCCTGCCGTACTAGACGTCGGTCGAAGTTGTTGTTCATGGTGTGCTGTACCGTGTTGGGTGCTGGGATTATGGCACTGATTGGGAAATGGGCCTAAATTTGAGCAAGCTGGATTGTATCATTGGTTATGCTATGAATTACTGAAGCGATGTTGCTCCTGAGGTCTTTGAATTAACGTAGCATTTTACTTCTCTTGATCAATTTTTTACTTTGATAATTTAGTCGTGGAACTAGGTCAATCGAGGATATCGTACCAGTTCTGACATCGGTGCCTTAGACTGATTCTCTTCAAGTCCAATGGAATTGAATTGAGATTTAATGCTAAATGCACTGAGATGCCACTCGGCCGAGGAATGAAAGATCGGAGTGATAGTAATGCAGTCTGGAAGCATCTAGAGGCACGCCATTCGAAGATGAGAAATAGAGAAAAGAGAAAAGAGCCAAGAGCAAAGCATATGCTTATTCATAGGACTATATTCTGTCATCTTGTCACTTGCGAATATTTCCTGATTACTGAAAGAACAAAAGGACCGAACGGTTGGGGATTTTCTGATCAAATCATCAACTCCACCAACCTGAACTCCCCTGAATTGACTACGCTGATTGGCTCAATGGCGATTACTGATCTATATCGTATATGGAAGACAAGACTCGATATTCTGATTGATGATACTTTCATTTGAGAGTCAAGTGGCGTCACGACGGTATAAATAAGTCCCAAATCCCACGAGAGAATCATCATTCACTACTCTACTTCATCTCACAATATCAACTCAACATCGCAATGGCTTCTCCCTCTACCATTCTCATCATTGGCGCAAGCCGTGGCATTGGTCTTCAACTGGTTGAAAAAAGTGTACGCACGGCTTTCTTAATAGCAGACTGTTGCTGACAGCGATACAGCTTGCCAGACATCCCAATGCAGTGATCTATGCAACAGTCAGAGCATCTGCAACAGCTGTTGACCTTCAAAAGCTGCACCAGAATAACCCCAACCGCATCCATATCTTAGAAGCGGATGTCACCGATGCCTCGTCTATTCATCAACTGCAGGAGACCATCTCGCAGAAAACCTCAACTCTAGACCAAGTCATCTACAACGCCGGTGTCCTCAAGGGCTTCGGACCTTTGACAGCTTCCGGACTGGATGGCTTGAAAGAGAACATATCGGTCAACTTGTTCGGAGCCTACGCGAGCGCCTTGGAATTCTTCCCCTTCGTTCAGCGGTCGACTTATTCCAACAAGGTACTGACATTCATTGGAAGTAGCTTTGGATCTATCACCACGTACAAGGAGAACTTTGACCTGCACAACATGGCCTTTGGCACCAGCGGGGTGAATGTGACCGCTTCATACGACATTTCCAAGGTGTGTGAGTCTTCCGTCATTGGCAACTCCAGATGATTGACACTGTTGAAATCAAGACTGCCATGGAGCGCCTTGCCCTGGAGCTTGATCTGGAACTTCGCCCGAAGGGGGTCCCTGTCCTCCTGATTCATCCCGGTCTTCCCAAGACCGACATGAACCCCGTGGGTAACATCACTGTCGATGACAGTTCAACCGGAGTGTAAGTCCATATCTGAGCTCTTGATGGTCTGGTTTCTAATGGAAATAGCATCAATGTGATTGGAGACTATACTGCGGATCGAGAGGAAAGATTCCTCGATTATGCGGGAATGACCGTTCCTCTGTGAGAACAGAGCGCGATGAGTCGTTTAGAAATAGTCTATTGTTGATACAGTTCTGTTATCTCTAGCTAGAATATGATATAATTTGACGCACTTTCAACCCATTGCTCATCTACTTTGAGTAGTTTTAAAGGACTGGTGCTGAATTCTCGCCTTTATGCGTGGCCAACATAGCCCTCAACGTAACTATGCGTTAGAACCTTGGAAGTTAGTGAAGTTGCAGAAACAATCGTGTCGAGAGGAAAGTCTATTAGACTCATATGAGCAAGGAAAGTTAGCTTAGACATCAAAATGCCATGTTTATGGAATTCATCCGAAGTTATAATAATCCAAGTGGACGATTATTCAACATTCCACGAACCAGCCGTTTCTCTATATTTACACATATATATACTGCTTCCATCATAGTTTCTTCCACATATTTCATATTCTTCAAATACTCAATCATGAACGCCCTTGTCTTTATCACCGGAGCCACCGGCTTCATTGGCTCACAGGTTGCCCTTGCTACGCTCGAAGCAGGCTATCGTGTGCGTCTCTGTGTTCGCAAACCCGACCAAAAACAGCTTCTTGAAGAGCGGTACTCGAGATTTGCATCCAAGGTCGAAGTTGCCCTTTTGCCAGATATCACCAACACTTCTGCTTTCATCGGCTTGCTGAATGGAGTCGACTATGTCTTCCATCTGGCGTCTCCAATGCCTGGAAAAGGCTCTGATTTCCAGGCCGACTATGTCCGTCCAGCGGTAGAAGCAACCCAAGCGATTCTGCACGCTGCTTTGCGTTATCCCCAGATTCAAAAGGTCATTATCATGTCCTCGGTTCTGGCCTTGCTGCCCCCGACGGCAGCCGGCTCTCCCAGTGTTTCGGTAAAAGGTGAGCGTTCTATCTTCTCAGGAAAGGAAAGAGACCATAGGCTAACACAACACTTCCCAGACAACACCGGAGAAGTCATTCCAATCGAACTCGATATGTCATTTCCAGAAGGATTCATGGGAGAAGGAGTAAAGTATTCCGCGTCCAAAGTCCTCGCCCACCAAGCAACGCGAGACTTCCTAAAGCAATTCAAACCCCAATACACGCTCCTCACCTTCCATCCAACCTTTGTGCTAGGTGACAGTCTCATACAGGAGAGCGCCAAAGACATCGACGGCATGAATGCCTTTTTCTGGTCGTCGCTCTTTTCAGAGAAGCCAGGTCTCAAGAATGCCTGGGTTCATGTTCGGGATGTTGCTGAGGCTCATGTCAAAGCACTGCGTGTCTCTATTGAAACAGGCACTGAGTTTATTCTGTCCGCTCCTCCGGTGAGCTGGGATCAAGCTGTCGAGCTGATCAAGAGAGATTATCCTCAGGTGGGGTGTAAGATTCAGTCGCCTGTGGAGGGCGGATGGAATGTTGATACTTCGAGTGCGGACCGTCTTTTGATGATCAATTGGAGATCGATGGAAACGATTATCAAAGATGTTCTTGATCAACAATTGGGGTTTGAAGAGAGGGAGTGAGGGTTGGCTCTTTGGTATAGTTTCTTGTACAATGTGGCTTGAAAGCTGGAAAGAACATATTCTTTTGAATCATCTCTGTACAATCATTCCATTTTGTTGTCTGGGGAAGTTCTTCTTCTCTAGCTGGAAGTCAGATAATTCATGTTTATTTCAAGGTCTACGCTGCTCTACTTGTTGCTTCATTGATGAGCTCGGCAATGTCATAGTAGATTATACGATCACTCGGAGTTGGAATGATTATTCTATCAAAACTTCGGTTAGAGCCAAGGATGAAAATGATGAATAATCTGTCTGGTATTCATTCAATCCTTGGAAATAGATCACTACCTCGTATCATTTCTCATCGTCTTACAGTAGCAGACTGCAGAGCATACTCAACCATCTCCCGTCTAAATGCAGGCCCCGGACCAACACAAATAGCTTGACCGACGAGAACTAAGTTATTAGCACTTTCACATCTATAGACTATAGCTTTCTGCGACTTACTATTAATAAAAGTCGATACATCAATTTGTATCGAAGACGACACCGAATCTGAGCGAGAAGCCTCCGACGCAGCCGTATCCTCCTTCAGTCGTATACCTTTGTCACTTAGAACTTTCTGCACTCCGTAAGCATCCAGCCAATCCAGGGTGAAGTTCTCGATTGCCTGTTTGGTTGAATGTGGAACTAGTGATATAGTCGGGGGTATGAGATCCCCCGAGGCCAAGAAAGATAGAGCCTTAGCCTTATGCTGAAGACTCTCCGGATCATCTTCCAGAACTGTATTGTATAAAGATCTGGCCATCTGGCTTCGACTTGACGCAGGCGGTATGTACCCGAATATCTCTCTAGTCCGCGGGATATCTGGCAAATGGACCAAAAGTTGATATGCGGCGAGACAGCACTGGCGGACTAAACGGTGCATGAACTCCGCCTTTTCATCTAACGATGCTGTCGGAAGGAGTGGTATAGGGTGAGTTGTGGAAGGTGAGATTGGCGGGAGAGAGCAGTTGTCAATTACAGATGAGATCTGTCCACCATAACGAATCTCCGAGGGGGGTGAGAGGATAGATAGATGGTTTGTTGGCACTGAATCCTCTCTGCTGGATGTCGAGGTATCATCTTTCGATGGCTCTGTATCAGGCTGGTTGACTGGATCCTTTGCATGTGCACAGCTGGAACTATTCGAGTCTGCTTCCAAAGCCTCTTGAGAGGGATTTGATGGACTTTGCACAATCTCCGCTAGTGATAGACACTTTCGAGTCACTTCTCGCAAAGCCGAGGCCAAGTGAGGACGGCTTTGGGTCATATTTGTGTCGAGGACGAGTTTGCTGATGTCGAGGAACGCTTCATTTATTTTCTGAGCTTCATTTTCCAGCTCAGCTACCCGCTTTTTGAGTCCATTTTCTTCGTCTCGTTTTCGGTTGCGATGGGCTCTCTGGGATATGCGAAGCTGCTCACGGCGTTTCTGTGTAGTATGAGCTCGGCACACTTCTCAGCCCCAGTAGGGCTATGTGGACTTACTGTCAGCTGGGTATCTCTGTCCTGCTCTGACTGGCCCATCTTGTGCTTTCTGGTACTGGAAGATATAGAAAAGAGTCAAAGAGGTATTCTATCTCGTACACTTGGGCATGGACGTGGCCGATTATTTATCCTGGTTGATGAATAATCGGGAATTTACAAGTCCAGCGAGGACATTTTCAATCCTCTCGGCATTTTCACAATCAACTATGCAAACTATTGAATACACTTGGTTTGGAAATGAATCCTATGTTTCCATTCTCTAGTTCTTGGAAGAGCCAGATCGGGCATCATCCAGTCCTTTCAGGACAGACCGCGGTTTGCCATCATATTGGGTCTTCCTCATCCAATCCTCCAGACTCTGGATTCTAGTCGGCAGAATCTGGTCAAGACGCTGCAAGTCTCTCGTTGCACCCAGGCCTCCTCCCCAATACCTCCACCAGGCAGTGAAATTCACCTTCCAGGTCATGGTAGCTTCGTCGCGCGTCGCCTTGTCGCCTGCCGTCCAGTTCACTGGAGCATCCGCATAGGGCTCAGCGACCGCCATGTACTGATCCATTGGAATTGCTCTATGCACAGCAGGCCGTCCAGTAACACGAGTGAAGGTCTCGGCAATTTCTTGAAAGCTCACTTGGTCGGTGGCGACTTCCAGATCCAGGCCAGCAGATTGATCGATGTGGTCGAAGATCCAGAGGGTGTACTTTCCGACATCCTCAAGCGCAATCAGAGGAATTTTACCCTCTTCAGCGGGGTTTTCCCAAATGACAGTCCCATCCGAGTCGGTCCTGGGCACGAACATGCCATCCCACAGCATGTTCATGTACGGCCCAGTGGTGAAGAGGGTACTTTTCATGCCCTGCTGGCCATGCGCGAGAATCAGATCTAAGTCCGAGTTAGCCACTGCCTCCCTCTATCCACGTTGGATCTCTCATACCTCCCACTCGGCCCTTGGCATCATTGTGAGTCCGGAACCTCTCATCCCATCCAGCCTTTCGAAGTGCATAGTCACTATTGGCCCAGACAAAGTGCGTGACCTTCTCATGGCGAGCGATCTCATAGGCACGAAGTCCATAGAAGATTTCGTTTTTTTCTCCCAGAGTGAAGCCGTCGGTATTGACCCACGCTCCATAGACTCCCCGGAAGGCCGCGTGCAGATCTACCTGACTGGTCACGGCCCCTTGGAATAGAGTCACATTCTGTAAAGCCGCCAACGACTTGGCTTGAGTGGAGTGAGTGTTTCTTGTCAATACTTTGACTCGATATCTCCCACTGGTAGCCAGAGCTGCAGTTATCTTAACATTGATCTATATTCATGATTTACTACTCACCTTGAACAACTGGGGCACCTTGAGCGCCGGTGCCGCCAATAACGAGTACTTCTGGAAGGGTAGTCATGTTCAGTATTTCAGAATTAAGATATGAATTGCTTACAGATATGCTGAAATCGCGAGTCTTAAATAGCCACTCCTCTACTCTACACTTCTTCCACTTCGAAGATCAAATCATCAAATCGACTCGGCAAGTGGATCGGATGGATCGAATAATCTTTAAGTTGACCAATCAGAACTACTCTTGATTATGTATCGATTCAATTTCTCGGGGGTTGCTGGGAATATCTCGAATGCGAGTGATTATTCAAGGCTGATGGAATGCCTCCATGACGATATAACCCTAACTGTAGTGGATTTCATGTACGAGATGGTTGAGACTCTCTTAATCGGCCTCAAAATCAGGAAACTAAGAAGATCAAGGGAGAATATCGGCAAGTCTGGGCTCATGAACCATACCACGGCAGAGAACACTCAATATAAACAATTCGCTGCCAATCGAGCATTCAGACATTCCTCGACCATCGACTCAGACGATCAAAACCAACAAGAAAAGCAGATCAAGTCCGGCGGTTATCGCCGCCTATCAATGGCCGATAAAAGACTTCAACTTCAACTGCACAACTTCCCCTCCACTCCTCCCCCTCCACACATACAAACATGAGCCTCACAACTCAGGAACTGGAGATTCTGTCCACAAAGGCCATTGACGCCAAGGCAACTGCCTACTGTATGTTCTCCGTCTCTTGTATATTGACACCCGACTAACAAACAACAGGCCCATACTCGAAATTTCGCGTGGGAGCATGCATTCTCACAACATCTGGGGAATTCATCTCAGGCGCTAATGTCGAAAATGCCGCTTATCCGGTCGGGACCTGCGCCGAGCGAGTAGCCTTTGGAACCGCGATTGTATGTTGTATCCAGTAGTCCCAAGTCTTCACTTACTAACTCTCTTAGGTGGCCGGCCACAAGGACTTCAAAGCCCTGGCTGTCGCGACGGATATCACTCCTCCCGCGTCGCCCTGTGGGATGTGCAGACAGTTGTGAGTATCTCTTCTTCTTCCTATGATTCCCTGGGACTACGCTGATTCCAGTAGCATTCGCGAGTTTACTACGCCTTCGTTCCCTGTCTACATGTATGACGGCGAAGGTAAATACAAGATTATGACCATGGCCGAGGTGAGTGTCTTTTCAACCATCTCAGCAGTCTACGTACCACTGACACTGACACCTACACCAGCTACTGCCCGACTCGTTCGGCCCAGACCATCTACACAAGAATGAGTGATAACTTAACGTTATAAGTTACGTAGAACCGTAAAGTCCAAGCAATGGGCAAGTCTATTCATGATCAAATCCAACACTAGACACATCTCCCAACTCTGTCCAAGCCAAAGCAAAGCAGCGTATAGGTTATGCATACCAACAAATAAACCAAGAAAAGAAAAGCAAAGAAAAACAAGTGAAAGTCCTGGACTCGCTCATAATAAAAGTCACATCAAATCTTCCCAGACATCAAATCAAATATTCAAATCTACTCACGTCCAAGACGACAACTCCTGATGGAAGCCATTCAAGCCTCCTCCTCTTCATCAAACTCATCAGCACCAAGTAATTCATCCTCATCATCAACAACATGAGCATAATCACCACGACGCGCCGCAAACGAGCCACGCGTCGCATACGGTCGCTGATACCCGCGACCACTAGACCGGAACCAGCCCGAGACAGTGCGCGCCAGACTCGTCGCCAACAACGGCAGAGACTGAGCGACGGCCACGACGCCCGCGATGATCGCCACGGGCACAGCGACCAGGATGGAATCCCTGGACAGGAAGCTCGAGCCGACGCTGCCGCCCTCTCCCAGACGGATCTGGCCGAATTTGCCGTCCCAGTGCGTGTACACGTAGTAGCCGATAGCGGCAGCCACGGCGATGGGGGAGACGATGGCGAAGAAGAGGCCGACGCCGCTGATGCCGTGTTTCTTGTGGTATTCCTCTTCCTTGTTCGGGCAGGGGTGGGAGACGTCTTGGTCGAGGAGGAGGCCGCCTTGACAGGTGGTTTGGGGGATGCGGCGGTAGCCGGTTGGCTCCCAGTACTCGACCATTTCGGAATCGGACTTGCACTGGGCGCTGTGGTCTGGCTTGGGGAGGCCCGGGACTAGACCGCAGCTGCCGTCGCTTTGGATCTCGTAGTTGTAGTCGCATTCGAAGTCGGCGCGGGTGCAGGTGCAGTTCCGGCCGATGCTGTAGATATGGGGCGTGCGCCAGGGGTTCCAGCACTCGGCGGTGGGTTTCTTGCGGTGGTACTGCTCGACGTGGCCGAACAGACAGTTCTCTTCCTGGAGGGGGTGACTCGGGGTCCAGATTTCAAAGTCGTTCTCGTCGTCCTTGCAGTCGCGGCTCCAGATGGGGCTGAAGTCGAGAGGAATCGACACGCGTTTGCCCGAGGTTTTCGGGTCGGTACCCCAGAGCAAGAAGTTCTTCGATGTGTCAGAGGGCACGGTGGAGATGTCGTCGATGACCATTTCGGTGTCCGAGAACTGGAACTCGGTCCAGGTGGCGCCCTCGTCCAGGGAGTAATGCACGACCTTGGTGGCCTGGAGGTCTTTGACGAGCACGATCACAGACCCGGCGGCACCGTATTCCCACTGGTACCGTCCATTGCTGACTTGGGACCAGGTGATACCGCCATCTCTGGTGAGGAAAGTGTCACTTTCATCTTTCTTGCCGAGATATTCGCCCACGTTGCCTTGGGCGAGCATCAGGCCGATCGCAGAGCCGGAATCCAAAGTATCACGGTCATCGCGACGCTCTGTGTAAAGGTGGAGGTGGAGCGCACACTTGTCGGTGCCCTTGCCCTCCGTGACGGAACAGCCAAACTTCTTGCCATCAACACCCTTGGAAGGAGGAGCCAGCAGCATCCACTGACCACCGTCGTTGTGGGTGATCAGAGTTCGCACCTTCTTGCCTGCTCCCTTGCCCTTCACCTCATCCTTGTTGGCCACAGCGTTGGCAAGGAGCACGCCCTCCAGTCCCTCCATCTTTTCAAAGTCGGCATTGCCTCTGTCATTAACGTTGACAGCCTCAAGACTCGAAACAAAGTAGGTACCGTTGCTGTTACTCTTGACCAAGGACCCGAAGCTGCGTCCTTCAGCCTTGAAGACCTCCACGATCAGGAACAGTGCGTGCGGGGAGCTGGGGAGGATGGTGTATGAGGGAACATCAACGTTGAAGGGGAAATGGGCTTCGGCGAATGTGCGGCCATCCACGCTGACACTGGCATTCAGATACATGTTCTGGTTTCCGCTGTACCAAGCCGTGACAATAAACTTGTCCTTGGTTCCGTAATGAGCGATGTTGTTGAAGAGGGTTTCTTTTGTAGAGAAATTGTCGTCACTGATCACCAGTTGGCGGTTGTTGGCCGTTTCTTCTTTCTCGTATTGTTCACAGAGAATGAGCTTGGTGCTGTTCTCCCGGCCTTCTTGGTATGCAAAGTCGCATTTACCGACGCCAATAAGCATTGGGTCCCAACTGGCACCCCGTTTATCGGTGATGAATGCCTCTGAGCGACAGTTCTTGCCATCGCAGCTCTCATTTCCAATCCAGATAAGGGTGTCTTGGTACTTCTCATTGAATCTGAGAGGGATGAGGGGCTCCTTGGTTGGTGTCGAAGGTGCGTCGAAAGAGTGGAAAGATGTTCCATGGTTGATGGTATAGTAAATCTTCTTTTTATCGGTGAGGAAAAATGCGGCATCACTGAAGTAAGGATGCTGAACCATCTCCATAATTTTAACGTCGTGGTCCTTGATAGCTTTCTCCCAGGTCCGGCCATGGTCGTGTGATTTGAAAAGCTCAAACTTATCCGTTAGCATCATAAGAGTCTCATCGTCTCCGCTGTTGCTGGCTTGGCGCTCAAGGTAGAAGTAAACGGTCTCCTTGGCGGAGATTGAATGCGGCTTTCCAGCACGAGGCTTGCCATCGGCGACAATCGGAGCGGTAACATTCGAGCATGAGCGCTCAATTTCGCGATCGAAATCTTCACCACCCTCGCGGATACATGCGTTGCCGGGAATGAGGCGCCATCCTGAAGGACCCATATACTTCTCATCGGATTCCTTGCACTTGCCAGCTGGGGGCGTCAGGGAGACAGCCGGGACACATTCTTTGCGGTCTTCGCTACGGACAAAGTTGTAATCACATTCAAAGTCCTCCGCAGTACACTTGCAAGGCTTGAATTCGGGGGCAGAAATGGTGAACTCCTTCTTGATGAAGCAATCCGCGTTGGCCTTGCGGCGGTAGTAGAACTGCTTGTGGCCCATCAAGCAATCTGCTTCTCCCTTTTCATCCAGACGGGCAGTCCACTCTTCAAGGTCTCCTGATCCACACTGGCGCTCGTGGAGGTCATCGAAATCAATAGAATACATGAGGATATTGTCATCGGCCGAGATACCAACCAAAACGAACTTCAAGCTGGTCGAATCAGGTGTCGTGATCAGATACAGAGGCCTGATCTCATGCTCCAGTTTGAAGGACTCCCATTCTTTACCATGATCAATCGAGAATTTGACCTCCTTGGTCTTGGTCCCGTCAGCAACTGCCACAATCACGCCTCCCTGGTCACCGAATTCAAACCGATGCGGACCCTTGAGTGCGTGGCGCCAAGTGAGACCCGCGGTGTCCGATACATAGAGATCGCCCTCGGAGTATTCCTTGAGGTGGCCTCCAGTGTTACCGACACCCATGACCAAGCCAGGGGCCGGACTAGAGAACATCCGATGATCGGGCATGGGCATCTCGCGCAGCGCGACATAGGTAGTCATTGAGTGGATATGCAGGTCGTCGCCGTCGGCCTTGAGAGACTGGAAAGTTCTCGCATCGTCAAAGCTGATACTACTGACAAGCTTCTTCTCCTTGGAATCGGATTTCGAGGCTTCCTCCCAGTTCTTGACAGTGTTGACAATCGTGATACCCTGAATGTCTGTGACTCGCTCAAAGTCCACCAAGCCGTTCAGATCCTGGTTTGTGTGTTCGATGTTCTGCGTGAAGTAGGTACCGTTGGAGTTGGAAGACCACAGGCTACCCATGCGGTTGTCGTGCCACGTGGTTTGCACGTCAATCTGAATGCTGTAGTTGGTGCTTTCCAACAAGGTGTAGGCATCCTCCTCGATGCGGTGTTTTCCAAACTCAGCCCGGTGCCACACATTTGTATCATCACTAATATACAGAGCCTGCTCTGCAGTGCCGGCAGACTGAAGACGCGCAACCAAGTACTTTGTGACGGAGCGGATCTGCACACTGGCGCCGCTCAATGGCTGACCATCGCTCAATTTCGAGGTGGTGCCCTCCGGGCTGTCATGGAAGAAGTTGTCGGAATGAATCAGGACTTCCCTGATCTTATGATCAAAGTGTCCTGTCAATGCCGGCACCACGCACAGGACGCGATCGCCCATCGAATCCGGCATCTCCAAATCCAACGCGAACTGCGGGCGGCTTGCAGCCCACATGCATTGGAACGCAGGTTCCCGCAATGGCTTGACAGTTTTAAAGTCATCGACGGTGTAGTAGGCCACAGGCATACAACCAAGCAGAGAGCAATCGCCCAGGCCCATGAAGATGACCTTCTTGGGGTCCCAGCCATTGAACTCGAGCGGAAAAGACCGCATCGACGCGATGGGCGCGACATCTACCTTAAAGGAGCTCCAAGTCTTAGCCTGGTCGGTCGTGATCCAGTGCTTTCCACCTTGGCCGAGGATGTAAGCGCGGTTCTTATCGTACGGGTGCTTCCAGATCAGCTCGGCTTTGCCTGCCATGGCATCACCTTCACCCTTGATTGTGTCCCATTTCTCGCCGCCATCGAAGGAGACATGTGGGGTTCTCGTCTTAATATCGCGGTATAGGATCGTGTTCGTGCCGTGGAAGTAGAACAGGTCGGCGGGCGCACTGTCCAGTTTATGAGAGATGACCTTGGGTTTGTTCGCTTCCGCCGCTACTGGCTGACAGGTCAATGCCAGCAGCAGGCTCACTACGAGCAGCAGCCACCGAGGGATCATGATCGGTGCTGTGTAGGCATCTGATGGGTATGCGGGATGGATGTTCGGGCGGACCGATCCGGGGAAACGGGTTCAGTCGATAGGGATGGTATACAAAGTCGTAAAAGAAGGGATTGAAGCTGAGCTTCTAGAGAGAAGAACAATTAAGAGTGTGAATGGAGTTGAAGATGATGACGGAGCTGCGTGGCCTCTGCCTGGAGAGCTCCTTGTCACGTGCCTTATCACTATATCAATTGACCCGCAAGGCGGAATATCTACAAACTATGCCGGTAAGACCGGTATGAAGCATCAAGTAGAGAGAAGAAGGTACAGTGAAGAACTGCAGATAATATGTACAACTGCGAATCGAATAGATACATATGGGGGGGGAACAATTCAACTCCCCCAGGGATCGAAAATCCCCCCAAGACGCCATTAACTGATCAAAATGTCCCAGGCAACAATCGCACGCCAAACAAACGACAACACCGTGGTGCTTCAAAGAAGGGGAATAGGAATTAAACGAATGAAGTATGTCAATCAAGGCAATTAAACGTGACGTCGAAGTTTGCGCCACATCTTTCTCATCATGCCTTGATCCTCCAGGTCGGAGTCCCAGATCGACTGAGGGCGATCCGCAGGGGGAAGCTCAGCCAGTCGCAAGGGATCTTCCTTGGAGGATTGAGATGGAGTAGGAGAGTCGGTCCGGAGATCAGGCCGAGTGAGAGTCATTTTCAATGTCATCTCGCGGTTCCCTGGGAGTCGCTGTGGAACTCCCTTGGCGCCAGGTAGCCATGATTGGCGTCGTTGCATGAGAGATGATTCTACCGACGGTCGAGGTGCCTCTCGCGGTGATGGGATCGAAGTAGGAGAAGGTAATGCATCATGGACTGAACCTCCTGGGCTCCCCACCATCGTGCCATCGTCGTCTTCGAAGAATGTGCCAAAGTCCTGATCGACCAGAGTCGGTCTGGGGGAGTTCTCCGGGGCCACATTTTCCTCCTTCTTTTGTTCCAATGACGGGAATCCAAACTCAATGGCTTCATCGAACTTTTGTGGGGATGCGAGATATACTCGCAATTTCAAGCGCGCATCAGGGTCTTGGTAATATTGCGCCGATGGATCGATGCTCGATGTGGAGGATTTGGGCTCATGTTGGAAAGGCCGGTGTCGGGACGCTGGACGGGATTCTGAACGGTTGGAGAGAGGAGTCAAGGGTTGAGATTGGCTGACTAGAGGCAGTCCACGCGCAGAGATGGGGATGATGGGTTCTAGTTGTTTGCGGCGCAACTGATTGCTGAAGGATAAGGAGCGGCGGAACGAGGGACGACGGGATTTCTTGCGTGTGGCGGCGTCTGCAACATGCGCATGATACTCATCCAGCGACAAGTCGAGGTCACCGTCTTCATCGAGCCACCGGAAGTTGTCGTAAAAGGTGGGATCCATGTTGGGATCTGTCTCTTCGTCTGACTCGGAGTCGGAATCCCAAAAGGCCGTGGATGTCTGCGCAATGGAGACACTCTCTGAGGGGGGACTGGCAGTGGAGGAACAGCCGATGGAGGTCCAGGGACGCGCCAGGTCTCGACGATAGGCAACGTCGGCTGCGTCGTAAATGAGACTGTGCCGATAGGCCTTTCGGAGACGCCGTTGCTCGTCGGGTGAGAAAAGCCTTTGTTGGATCTTAGCGGGGAGAGCGTGGAAGCATTGCGAGTCAGCTTGGGCGGCCAAGTAGGCTAATTGAAGAGATCCTGGCTTGCGTAGTTTCTTAGGAGACGGAGAACGTTTCTCAAGACCGCGTCTCCTCGAACCTTGCCTGCGAGAGTAGCCAAGGCGAGCATTGGGTCGAGCTCGGCCATAGTTCGTGGAGAATGCAGGAGAACCGTGATCGCTCTGCCCTAACCGAATGCGCAAACGCTCGACATTCGAGAAGAACTGTTTGGATTAGCGATGAACAGCAATTGGTGGGGGGGTTAGTGGAGTCATCAACATGGCCTACACCAATCTGCAGGCGTCGTGAGAGGCGCCACAGACGATAGTGCGGATGGAGAGTCTCCACCGAGGGTTCAGGGGCAAATGCAAGGATGAGAAAGGGGAAATCCAACGCTCGGGCTAACTCGTATCGCACTCGGCCTTTAGGACGATGATCCCACTAGTGACGCTATGGAGGTATAGTAGTGTGATAGTGTGATAGGATGTTATGGATAACGGGAAGATCTTGGGGATATGGAGGACAGTGGTGATAGTGGTAATAGTGGTGATAGAACAGGAATTGAACATCATGATCAAGATCTGATCAAGATTAAGATCAGGAATGCAATAAAGATGCCCTTACCTTTCGTCTCACAGCAGGTGGTAGTGACTCAAAATCCTCCTCACAGTATGCAGACATGATTCAAGCTCCAACACTCGACAAATCAATGTAGGGATATCTCTCCGAAGTGACTGGCGTATTCACATAGAGTAGAAGGTAAAAGTGAGAGAATTGACCAGACGTGCAGGAAGACCACTAAATATCAGTCCGATCTTCCCCCAGTCTACTGTATACACATACATACATTAGCGCTCAGCACGGACGGTGTGATTACTTCTATTTCGAGACCTGTCACTTTTCGTGGCCCTTCTATGATCTATCATGAACCCCTCGATGACGCTACTGCAAACACCTTCAGCGAACGCTTGATCGGTTTCAAACCTATAGATGCGATCATGCACCGATTGGAATCCCCTTCAAAATCTGCGAGACACCAGAAACGACGTCAAATTTACTGTACAGTCGCAGCCCCCCGCGTATCGCTGTGATTAGCCTTAGCTCCACCGATCATCCCCCTTGAAAGGGGCCAAGTCTTGAAACATACATGCTAGTCTCGGGGCCGTAAATGAAAAGGCGCCTTGCATGCGGAGAATTCAGAAGAAACGAAAAAGAAAAATAGAAAAACATGGTGAAGGCGTCCTCAAATCAAGATACTATTGGATTGTCTCTCAACGGTCAAAATAGCAATAGAAAATAGCAATGGAAAATACGAGAAACACCACACCAAGATGATCTATCAGCTGTGGGAACCCGTCACAAAGGCCAACAGTACAGTACAGTACCGACAATGTGTGTTCATCGATGATTTGGTCAACGGTCGATCTTCGGCCGGAGATCCCCACTTGGCTACGTCGACGAGTCTTGCAAACAAAGAAAACGTTGGCGCTTGGAGGTTAGTGCCATGCTAGTGTCTCCGATTCCCTTTAGGCTCCCTGCGATAGCTCATATTATCGGACTACTTTACTGTACTAGATTAGACCTTGGGAATGAACCCAAGTGATCTATACTAAACTCAACTAGATTGAATGACTACGGCCTGAGGCCAAGGCCCAGACCTGAACCAAGTTCCTGGGAATGCAGCTCTGGCGTTCTCTGGGATTTACTGTGTTGCACTTGTGCAGGGGAGGTTCCTGTCTTAAAATGGACGTCAAGATACGGTGTACTAGTAATGCACGATCCAAGAGAGACACCGTTGTCTGAAAGGACCACAGGGAAGCCCATGGTCCAAATGACAATCCGTTGTGCAGGATTCAGTTTCAAGCCCTGTGCGTTCTGTCAACGTTTGACTGTACAGTACTCTCTCCACTGGAATCCACTTGGGTGGCTTGATTCACATAAATGGCAACACGATGCGAGGCGATGAGCCCAAAACATCGCCGTACAGGAAACAATCTGACCTTGGTGTGTCCCACTTCAGCCCTCGTACCAGGTCGGGTATCGACCGACCAGGGTATGCGTGGTTCCTTTTATTGATTTGAATCTTGGTCAAGGGTAATTTCGTACATGAGGCTCGGAGATTGCATGCAACCAAATCAAGATAAATAAATGGGCTGAGCATTCTGGGTAGAATTGAGTGTAGATGTATATCGACAGATGGGCCAATTTCTCTCATCACATGGTCTTGTGGCGTAGTGGTTACCGCGTCCGGTTTTGATTCCATTCCACTTATTGGATGAACATGTCCGGAAGGTCGCCGGTTCGATCCCGGCCAGGACCTTGTCTTTTTGTTCCTATGAGTTTCATCAATGGTTGGTTGCTTTTTGTGCCATTCATTGATACGATTGATTACTTCTTTTTACAATTTAGTATTCACAATTAAGATGTATACAGCAGGTGTCCAGATAAATGGTTTCATTGATAGAAACATTCAATCTGATAGTTCCAATATATATATCAACACGCAGAATTGGAAGGAACATTATACTATGCTGTTGGCTGTTTTCAGAAGGAACCAACAAATAGAAAACACGCACTATGCTTATAGTAATTCCACTAACCACCAAAGAGATAGATCTATCTAATTAGTGGTGATTCTGATGGGTTAGATTTACTACCAAGTTGATTCTCTAGACCCCCAACCCTTAACTTAACTAGTTATCAAGGTATTAACCACACAACTCAGACAAGGCCAATCATGTATTTCCAAAGCTAATCAATCAATTGCCAAAAAATGAAAAAATCAGACAGACCGCTGCATAGCAAATACAAAGAAGAAAAAAAAGATAAATATAAGAGGTCCTACCCGGGTTCGAACCGGGGTTGCCGGTAAGCGGCCTGTTAAACAGGGTAAACTCAAAAACCGGAGGGATAACCACTACCCCATAAGACCTGGGATGAAGTAAAGGGATTATATTATGTATAAGTCCGTACCATTTAGTATTAACGGCCATGCTACCACCTAGGTAAACAAACCTCTTTACCATTGAAATGGGAGATGCTCGATGGCAGTCTGGTCAAAACAGACGGGTCGACAAATGGTGGCAAGAAAACCCAACAACAAGTCAGGTTAGGAACTCTAGGCAAATGAGTCTTAACAGTGATAACCGGATGCTATATCAAGGAGCATCATGTTCATAAATCTTGAATCAGGAAATGAGTGGCATTGTTGTAACTGTCTATCCTTCTCTACAGTCGTAGATTGCCCATATCCTTTCCTTGAGGACATCACTGCCTGAGGCAGTAATCATACAAATCTCGTGATTTCCCCACTACACCACATAATTTATAAACCTCGAGTAAATACAAGAAAAACATATCCCAGTCCGTTCTTTTATTAGCGCACAAAAATCTAAAATATCGAGTCATAGTCAAACAACTGTCGTTTGTAAACCACTTCAATTTCATAGGCTAAATCCAGTTTATAAAATATGAATATCCCGATATGACAATATAACCAAATCACGCAAAATGCAAATGTAAACTACAGTAAAATCACCAAGCCAAGACTTCCTTCTGAGCCCCACAAGCAAGAGAAGCACAGATGGCCTCGTCCTTGTCACTCACGTCCGTGTCACAAGGCACTTTAGCCTTCGCCGGCCAGATCTCTCTCCCCACCTTCTTCTCACGCTCAAAGTGCTCCGTGACTACATCTCGGACTGTGCTTTGGAAGAAAAGCGGTGCCTTTTCGTATTTCGGATGGAGCTGGCCGTTGGTGAAGACACCTCGGTCGAGGTTCCTTTGGGCATTGTTGCAGAGGACTTTGTCTTCGCCCATTACGCGGGCGTACATGTCACTGATCAGTCGGAAATCTTCCTCGGATGAGTTTCTGTTGCGGTAGATCTCATAGGCCATCTTGGAGTTGTCGTGGCTCTTTGGTAGGAATTTCTGGACCATGATGAAATGTGGTCTGTATATATATTATATATTAGAATTTTGGTTGCATGTCATATCTCTGTTCTGGGCAACTTACGAAACGACCATGGCAGACATGGGGAAGTAATAGGTGCTGGCAGTATAAAGACCCTTGGCCTTTTGCTCGTCCGTAGACTCGCAATGGTGCTGAATGTGTCCATCCTTGAGGTCACTGTCGAAAGACTCGAGGTTGAGGAAAGCAGGAATGTCGGCATGTGTCGTTGGGCAGTGGTAGCATTCATTGAAGTTATCAGCCAGAATCTTCCAATTGTAGTGGCCTTCTAGCTCATAGTCGTGGTCCAGATCGTAGTTGTTAAAGTCGTAGGCCTTGTAACGGTCCTGCTTGTCGACGTCGCGGAAGTGATCTTCCCATGAAACCTCCGGGGTTTCATTTGCATCCAGATTGACCCAGATAAAGCCATTGACATCAACCTTGACATGGATTCCAAACAGATTGTTCTTGTCCTTGTCAAACCCATCTAGTTCCTGATATCCGGGGGCTTTGGCTAGTTTGCCATTCAGTCCATAGGACCAGCCATGGTATCTGCAGGAGATGATCTTGGAATTGCCCGAGCCCTCTTTTTCAATGACAGGATAGGCACGGTGTCTGCAAACATTATGGAATGCATTGACGTTGCCCTGTCGGTCCCGAGTGATGATAAAGTCATAACCCGCGATCTCATATCGAAGCCAGTCACCCGTGTTCTTGACTCGCATGCTGTGGGTGAGGAAGAGCCATCTCTTGGAGAAGATCGCACGGCGTTCCAATTCATACATCTCGGGAGAAGTATACCACGAAGCAGGTAACGCCCGAATGGGAGTCTCTTTCGCAGGCTCCTTAGCGACAGGAGCATCCTTGCCGAAGCCGAGATAGTGCATCATTGAGGTAGCCATGATGAGTTCCAAAGAAGAGTGAGCCATAGAACAATGCAATTCCGATCAACTTATACGTTTGTCCATTTGATATCCAACTGCTTGCAATCCGATCACCTGACCTCTATAGTTCCGATCTGGCAACCAAACCCCCACGCCAAGCGGGTCAATCCCCCAAGAACAGACATCGAACCCGCCGCACCTTTAGAACCCGCCACTTTGAACAACTGAGCTTCATATTGATAACACACTATTGGAAAACCCGCGACATACTCAGGCATATCTGCCACCAACGCTGCCCAACCTGACAGAACCCGATTGCTGTGACCAATCGAGTTTCCTACATTTGAAGGAAGATCCACATCCCCAGGGGTAGCAGAGCCCCAGGTTTCGACCATGATGCCGATGAGGAGATGATGTAAAGGTAGATCCTACTGTTACATGGCGCTCGGTTCCGAGCCGGATTGAACCCAGCCTGTCTTTGAACATATCTGCGACACAACGAACTGAATATCAAGTGAAACAACCCTGTACTGTACAGCTCGATCATGTTTGCGGAACTCGGCTTATCATGAGCGTGTGACTTATCGTGCATATTGTACAGCAAACAAGTACAGTGCATATCTACAGTCAAGTGCTGTAAGCGAGGGCAAACGAGGCGCAACAATGCCGCGAATGGATAACGTTTATACCGAGAACGATGACCACGCGACTTTGCTGAAAGATAAAGTTCCCAACCATGCATCAGATGCCGAACCAATAGATGCCGAACCAATAGTAAGAACGGAATATCTTGTGACCTTCTATCGCCTCGAAAGTATAGAAAATATGGAAAGTAAAGATAAAACATGCAGAGTCATTAGGTAAATGCTATGGTCTATATATAAACGCCAATCATGCAAGATCTATATCTATATCCAGCCATCTTGGGCAGCGGCGGCTTTCTCCCCATCCCGAGATTGAGGTTGAGACTGAGATTGAGATTGAGGACGGGCAGGCTTCTTCCCAGCCTGCACCTTCGTCAAGGTCAACTTCCGCCCCAATCCCCGTCCAACCTCTCCAGCCTGCGTATCAAGCGGAATGACATCATCATCCATCGAGGAGCGTCGACTATCCTGCTCAAGACTGAGAAGAACCTCTACAGCCTGTCGATCTTCGATAACCTTTGGGTGGCGCTGGGCAAAGTATCGAGCATACTTGTAGAGAGACCAGTAGCAGCTGAAGACATTGATGAACGTCAAGGCGATCTTATAGAAAGTGTAGTAGAAGAACAAGACCTTCCAGTCGATGCGCTCTTTCTTGAGACGGAGGTGAATTTCGTTGAAGAGGATTGTGTTGATCAGGTACATGGCGATCGTGACGCCCAACAGCATACCGCAGAAACCAGGGCGCACAATGAAAGAAATGGGGAGGACAAAGGGGGCGAGGAGGTAGATGAGTGTTTCGTACACCTGAGCAATATTAGTAGCTGATCAGGATATAGTCTCGAGGGAAAAAAAAAGAAATCCCATAACTCACCTCTTGGAACACGCAAAGCTTCGCACCGAGTTCCCACCAGCCAAGCTTCCAGCTGGTGAAGATATACTTGAGATCATAATATATACCAATGACAAAGAAGAAATTCCACCGCTTGAATCTCTGCGAGAAGATAGTCATCTCGCCGAATCCGCCCCGACTACCACTGCCGCTGATGAAAACCGACGAGGGCGTTTCAGTCTCCACAAACACCTGCGAACACATCGTAATGCGTCCACCAAGACGGCGACATGCATCGCCGAAGAACCAATCCTCCGAGACCGAGAAACCAGGATGTTCATGGAAAGTAGCTTTCAAGAATTCCACATTCCAAAGCGAGATAGCGCCATGAGGGAAAGTAGCACTGCCGCATTTTCCAAAAAAGTCTCGTTGGAGACCGGACATTTTATATTCGAGATCTTGCGCCTGCTGGCAGTATGTTCCCTTGGAAGAGTTTGGGCCAACACTCTTGATGGTATAGCCGATACAGCGAACGCGTCCGGTTAGACGATCGCTGACGATTGGGAAATTGGGCGGCAAAAGACAATCGTCGTCGATGAGGACGGCGTTCTCAAAATCCTTGGCGGCGTAGCAGCCCACGAACTGGGCGACGATTTTCGATCCAATAGGGACCCAGAGGTGGTTCACGCCGTATGGTTTGCAGATTTCTTCGGTATTGTCCAGAGGGGTTTGGGAGTTTCCGTTTGCAATGACGAAGATGTTTTCTTTGGGGAAGATTTTCAAGGCGGCGTCCAAGGTCGGGCCGATGATGGTGGCTGATTTATAGCAGGGAATAAGGAGGGCTGTGGATTTGACATTATCGGAGTTTCGCTCGAGATCTTGTTCTTCGACGGCGGGCGGTTGGGGGTCTTTCTCGAATAGAATGAGAAGAGGACAGAAGGCATATCTGGGACTGGTTAGGGCAGGGACTCGACGATAACTTATAAATAGGCGACTCACAGTGCGGCCAAGCCAATTACAATTGCATATCCTCCTTGGATAACGAATTTGTTTTGGACAACCCAATATAACCACCACACTGCACCCCGCCATAGAGGCATACCAACTAGAACGAAATAGACGAACAGCACGAGGAGCACATAGATGCTCCATTCGAATAAGAGCCGGACCCAGTGTTTGCGTTGGATAGCGATGCCTCTTAATTTGGCCTTTTCATAAACCTCCTGTAGACTGCTGTCGCCACTGGATTTCGATTGAGAGCTGGCCCTGCTGAGTGGCTGAGGGCTCAGCTTTGCACTTGGAGGTGGTGAGACTGCCTCGGTTTCGAGGATTGGGGTTGCGGGCTCGAAGGCCGGTTTATCAAAGTAATCAAATAGACCCTCTAAGAACAGTTAGATGGTGGTAATTTATAGATTGGATAATTGTTTATAAATACCCTGAAAGGCCGGGGGATCACTGCGTCCACGGGGACGAATTGCAGATCGTGGTCTTGCTACAGATCGTAGAGCGGATAGACTGAGAGGACGACTGGCGCTGGTCCGACTTGGTGTGGGATATGAAATACGGTTGTTGTCGGGGAGAGACTGTTCCCATCGAGCCAATTCCCAAGGCGAATTGAATCTGGCGGTGGTGAGCAGTTCTTTCGGGATGAAGACATCTTCCACGATAGAGCTTCTCTGGCTCTTTTGCTCAGCCATTGGAAAGATATATTAAAGTGCCCGCTATAAGTTAATGCCGGGTAACATGAATAAAGGAATAATAACCTCAAGGAACGGACGGTACTGCGAGGGCACCTCGTCAAATGGTAATGATCTCGGCCAGGCCCAGGGCCCAGGGCATCTACATCCTTTATTCCAACCCGTCAAGCCCTCTCCGGAGTAAATCTCTTGCCTCAGCCTGTGGGCCATGGACCGGCTTCCTAGTCCATCGCCCCATTTATTCTCAAGGTTAGGTTTAGAGATGGGGCCGAGGAAGAGGAACAGATGAGCCTCTAGAGCTCCAGTCCAGAACGGACCAAAATTAGGGTCAGGAACCAGGCACAGACCCTGAGTCGTCCCAGAAACTGGATAGTCCCATGGTCTTGATCGAATACCCTTACCGAGTTACAAAACCACGGTTCCTGCAGACTTCACCTCGCACGATATAGTTAGTTACTACAGAGCGTACCTGGGGCTAGCGTTTCCTTGGACAGTGGGGGCAGTCTGCCTCACTCATTGGGGTCCACAGCCTGGCTCTGATCGGGGGGCCAGCATACTGCCTTCTAGATACGACTAGCGCAAGAAACATAAAGGTACAGTATGCTGTGTATGGAGACCCTAAGAATAGTCCCCATGAAAACCACCGGACAGACATTGATTATGTTCGGCTACCACGGACTGGCTGAGTCACTCGGATCCACTTGCTTCTGAGGTGCTCTAGATACGACGAGACGCATTGAACCGTTCTAAATGATAAAAACATCGATGCCCGACAGGATAACTCATATTCTCCAGTCGGTGTGAGTTCATGAGATTTTACGCAATTGCATGGACTCACACTACTGCACGCACTTGGATTCGCAGTGGGTACTTGTGAGAAAAATCGAACGCAGCCTTATGGACCAGTGGTTGGGCGCGCGGAAAAGCAACCCGAAAGATCTGGTCCGCTGATCGACATTGCCATTACCTGATCCAACTGAGCTAAAAGTAGGTGCATGGCAGTCGACGCTGGCCATAGCTTGATGTCGTAGGGGGCCGACGTAATGGCGGGACCCGAGCCGCGAAGCGACTACCGGCCTTTGTATGAATCTACGATCTAGGATAGGTGCTCGGAGGTGTACATTATACTACTGTATATATTTATTGTATACAATATGATGTTTTAAATCTAAACTCATGCTGACTTCCCCCTGAAATGTCTGGTTGGAAGAAAAACTCCAAGTTTAAGCTTTCGGGCCGGACGCCTCAACGCCTGCCGCAACTGCCGGTTTCTGAAAATGTGGCTGCAGAATGAAATGAGCTGTTGATTCTTTGCCCAAGTTCAGATTCAATGTTGTTTTCATTTTAAATATCCACTTCTCGGTCTCGGTTGGAAATGATCGGTCTTCCGGCTCTATGGAACTCCGGGGTGAAAGCCTAGACAATGGAGGGCAGGCAGCAGGTACAGTACTATATGGACCGGCAGTGATGCAAGGCCATGCATGTACAGTGTAAAAGCTGACAGCCTTGTTTATTGACGAGCAAAACCTGATTTTAGATTGCAATGCAATATAAACGAGCCCACGGGCTTTCGGTTCCGTGGTACTGAGCTCAAATTCAGGTGGAAGGGCAGACTGGTGGGTCGGTAGTCTTGCATTCCGGCATTCTTTGACCATTTTTCCTCGGAGCCAAGGCAAGACATTTGGTGCTCGGATGTGACCCTTGACCGGATTTCGTGGGCTTTGTTCCATGGTCAGTCTACTCTACAGTGGGGAGTGAGGATTTTTCTCAAGGGGAAAGATCAAAACAAGATTGACAGAGCCTCGGTATAGTACCGAGAGGCGAATTACTTATGTGGATTGATTGATTCTGGTGCAGAAGGTCCAATTGATTCCCCTGGCGTTGGGAAGTTATATGGGTAAGGCTCTGTGCTTGGTTATAGTCAGGAGCGAAATGTGCTCAAAATTGTCTATAGTCTCTCGATATCAATAGGCTACGCTAATGGACGAGAAGAACATTTGTATAACTCTTTGCAAAAGACAAGCTTTTTCAAGAAACCAATTAAAAGCTAGTTTGATTGACTTAATAACTAAAAATGGCTACTGCATTAACTTATATTCTGCGTCTTGACTACATCATATCAAGGAGATTCAATTCTTCAAGAACAAGAGCCGGAATCTGCACGTCTTATGCCTCGGAGTAATAATCATTGAGCATCAATATACTAAAAAAGGATCGCCTACATTGATGAACAAAGTTTCTGATACATCCCTTTCATTCTAATGATTCTAGTTTCGACTCCACGTCCCAAGCTCACACGAAAGCAAATCGTCTCATCCAATTGAGTCCGACTCAAATGATACAGCACCGAAGCAGATCCACACCGTCATAATACGCATCATACTATTGCGCAATGACAGCCAACCTGGCATCGCGCACCACCACCATTATCGAGCCCTGCGCCCACACTACCGCCTGACCTAGATCAAACCAAGTGAATGACAAGTTCATAGAGGACTCAAGCTCCAATTGATCACTACGACTCCTAGAAGTGCTGATTCTCACCACCAACGGTTTTCATTTTGCTATTCAACTTTTTTTTTAGGTTATCGAATAGAGCTAAACCGAGTTCCCAAACACTGCAGGACATTGCAAAGATCTCCATGAAAGATATCATCCACCAAGACATCCGCGGGTCAACCGACACAAAGCTGTTCCACGTTCAACAAAGTCCTCTCTCACCCCCAACATCTCAAGTCAGTGGCAGCGGGGCAATATCATAAAAGTTATCACAGTTATCCTTTTGATTCAGGTCCACCCACGCCGAAGTCGCGCCTGGCAATATCGTTTGTTGCACATAGCCGTTTCCAATGCCGGCATTGTTGGTGTTCAAGGTTCCGCCGCCACTGGCACAGGTTCCGCAATTGAGGGCTCCTCCAGCGTTCAGCTGAATGAGGCGGACATTGAAGGATTTGTTCGGGGTTCCTCCTAACAGGACCGGCACGGCGACCAGTTGATTCCCAACTCGGCTCAGTTCGACGGTGCCAAAGGTCTGTGTCTGTGGTGATCCAATCACCGAGCCGTCACAGTTGCGGTTTGTCTTTGTCAGAGCCCCGTTTTTGAAGGATATCAGGGCCGCAGTCGCGGGGGAGGTTGCAGCCAGTAGGCCGAGCAGGACCAGGCATCCCTTCATTCTGTTCTTTGGTCTTGTTCTTGGTCTTGTATATTGACGGTGTCGCAATAGCCGAAACTGACCCGTGATGCGGTGGGCAATGGACGCCTTTTTGTGCTTGAGACGCCAGGGCAGCTCGAGACGTCATCTATGATAACAGCCAAGCTCATACGAGCTTCATCCATTTCCTGCTCAAGGACGACAACAGTCCAGACCTTCCCCAGATTGGCTCATGACCATATGATCTCACGCGTGTGATTGAGTTCGCGGCTGTTCCCAAGTGAAGTTGCGAAGAACACGAACTCCTCGTGTTTATGCTTTTAGTCCATCTCTGGGGTCCACGGGGAGCTTAACTGCTTGACTGCTTAACTGCGTTAAGGTGTCCACGGCCCCGCTCACGGTTGGTTATTCGGGCATGGATTGGACTGATATTGGACCCGTTGAAGTTCAAGAACCGTGAACCCTTCGCTTGCCCGGAAAGCGTATTTAAACCTCTCCCATGTTCTTCTTCTGGGCTATTTTCAAGGAAACGATGGGAAACTTCCAAATGCGGCAGAAACCCAAACTCCCGTTAAGCTCCCGTCGCGATCTACTGGCAGCCAATGAGATCAGGAACCGCTGCTCGCTGGTGGCGTATCTTACCTGTTCCCTGTTACCGCGAGTTGGTTCATCCGATTTGGAATCTCTTCAAGAATCCAATTGGCTCGGGTACCTACAGGGTTTTGATTTCCCTAATGCGTTCAAGTCGCCCGAAGAATCCTCTCGATTCGGCCATTCTGGCCTGTGATCTCTTAAATAGTTATGGCCCAAGAATAACGCAAGGCCACTTCTTGCCACCTTGCAGCCTGTGCATCGAAACAGCATATCAAGCTATCATCGGCTTCGTGCTCTATAATACAGGTCCTCAATACTAGATGTAGAAATCGAGACTAGCACAGGTCTTGAAATCAGAATCACTATCATACCATATAACCAACCTGAACCCCTCCATGTAATTGTCTATCTTGTGTCTCGTGTATATGTCCATGTCTCCACCCACGTATAGCGAGGGCATCCACTTTTACGCAGACTCTCAAATCGACGGACTGTAATTGGTCTCTGCGTTCCAAAATGAATGAATATTCAACCTGGCTAGTTATAACGCCTAAAGATAGCAAATGTCAAGTCGATCGTTTGTAACACGCTTTGGCCGCCCAACCTCCTGGTTGAATATCAAAGAACCAAAACGCCCTTGATAATACTGACTTCGATCTAAAGGCTGAGACTGGGATGCATTTCCACAATAATTAAGCCAAAAAGAGATAACCAGTCTTAAATAATACTCAGCCTATGCAATCCTAGCACTTCTCACTTCTCGCTCTTCGACTATTAACCAACCAATATAAACTCGGCCTTCGAGATATCCCTAACCCAACCCTAACCAAGTATTCGCGTCTTTGGAAACTCCATAGCGTCTGGAAAGAAGACCATCACCATGGAGAATTCCACCTCCACCGTGAACATGAATCATTAGTTCGCATTAGCCCAAATCACATTTCAGTCGGCGACCCCAGTGCCATTCCCATCATCTATGGTCTAACCAAAGGATTCACCAAAGTATGCACACCATCTATATATCCAACCCCAAAGAACAAAAGATAACAACAGCAAATAGACAGCATTCTTCCCTCTACAGTCAATATCCTGGAACAAAAAGCCCCAAACGAACCTCTTCTCACCTCCCTCCTAGACCTAGAACCCGCAGTCGACTCCACCACATCCATCTTCATCTCCCAACTCACCCAGTTCGCCAGCCGCCAAACCCCACTCAACCTCGCCATCTGGCTTCAATACTACGCATTCGACGTCATCGGCTTTCTCACATTCGCCAAAAAGCCAGGCTTCCTCCATGCAGGCCATGGCATCGACGGCAATCCTATTTCCTATCGGGAATCCCTGGCTCAGCTTTCATACTTGGGTGCTGTTCTTAAAGAGGCGTTGAGGCTTCATCCGCGGGGAGGTGTCGATGCCGGACGTGACGATCTGTGGGAAGTTCATTCTTCATTCCGGCGGGAACGACTGTTGGGATCAATGCTTGGGTGGTGAATAGGGATAGTCGGGTGTTTTATGATGCAGGGTCGTTTATCCCGGAGCGGTGGGTGGATAGTCTGTCGGAGAAGCTGAGGGAGATGGAGTAGAGGGTTCTTACTTTTGGGGCTGGGGCGCGGACTTGCGTTGGGAGGAATATCTCGTTGATTGAGATGTATAAGATTGTGCTGCAGGTATTACGGGAATTCGATATTCGGTTGTGTGGCTTGGAGGGATGCAGGACGAGGGATGTATGGTTTGTGCAGCAAGATGGGATGGTGTGTAATCTTGTACGGAGGACTAGGATATAGATTCAGAGAAGGGAGAGAAGACTTCCAGTTTAGTTCGTGTGTCAAGAGTCAATTAACTTATCCCATGTATTCAGTCTCATGACGCCAGTCTATATTCCTATCCCCTGATCAAATAGCCCGCTCCAAACTAGAAAGAACAAAAAAAAAGAAACACAGGGTATAAGACAGCCTCACAGGGCATTAAGAACCGACTGCATAGCAAAAGTATTCGAGTCTTCGCGACGCGAAACATAAGCCCGCACGTCCTGCACACTCAACTTGCCCTCCTGGTTAGGACCAGAGCCCCGGCCAGCAGCACCTGGCCCACCAGTCGTGCCGCTAGCAGCACCACCGCGGATGCGCTCACGCAATGCCTCGACGCCGATTACGAACAGACTGCCCACTTCCAGTAGCACGTCCAGCGCGCCACCCGGGCCCTTGGTCTCTTCTTCGATATCCCAGGACTTGAGAAGGTCGGTGTACTGTGTCATGTCCTTGGTGACCATGAGACCACCGGGGCCACTGATGGAGAACCGTTTGAAGTGCTCTAGAAGGAGACCACGGATGCCGAGAGCGATCTCGGTGAGGACTTGGCGGATATTGGCTCCACTAGAGGGGAGAGATGTCCGGGCGATGTTGTGGAGGCGGGTGAGGAATGCACAGATTGATGCGCAGGTCTATGGGGTGTTAGTCGGAGTAAGAGGGGTTATGATGGAGCAGGAACTCACCGGAGTTTGTAACATCTCGAGCCATGCAGCATTATCGCTTTCCCTGGGACGGAAGTCATTCTTCTTTTGTCCGGATAGGAGCCTGCTGACCCAGGCGAATGTGGCATCGATGGTCTTCTGTTCGATGGTGTTGACCTTGTCTTCAATGCGTGACGTGGTCTGGTTGGTCCGTTTCTCCATATCCCGGCGCGTGGTGATGCTGCCGGTGGACAAGGGAAGGAGAACGGCATGCACGCACATTACCATGAGAGTAGTGATACTGATAGTTGTGCGGACGGAGAGAAGGTATGTAAAGTCCGGCTCTGCCTTGCCCGACTCCTGTGCTGTGGCTGCCTCCAGCGCGGCATCTAGGCAGACGTCGACGTATCCGTCACCCATGGTGACAAGCAGGAGGTTCAACAACGCAGACACATCTTTGGGCGTGTCACTGTTGACACTGAGCTCCAGGCCTCGACCCACAGCTTCAGCCAGCCACTTCAACATTCGCTTTGCATCGCTGAGATTCGGCTGCCCGTCTTCCTCTGTTAGCTTGATTTCCGTCAACCGTACGGCCTCCGGTAGATCATTTAACTTGGCAATGTGGAGCAGCACTCTTCGCTGGGTGGGTGAGACCTCAGGCGAATCCAAGCGATTGATGAATGCGTCTCTGGTGGCCGAAAGAAGCTCCGTTCCCGCTCGGGAGAGCGAGGCCATAAAAGTAGTTGCCGCCTTCTTGCGCCGGGCATGATAAGACGTAAATCTGAACAGCAGAGAGTTGAGGAGTTCTTCCAAAGTCCGCTTCTCGCGTTCAATGTATGAAGATCCAACGAAATAGGGAACAAATAATTCTTCCAACTGCTGGTCCAGCAGAACTGCAATCTGCGACGAGACAGGATCCGGGTGCTCAGTCAGCCCATGCGCTTTCAAGTCTTCGATCAATGCACTGATATAGCCACGTGAACTCTGTAGACAACGCAGGAAGGCGAGGGATGATGCGCCGCTGGCCTTCTCCAAGACCATTTCAAGGCGTTGCTGGATCGATTGTTGGAACACGCGCTGTAAGAACTTGCCCAGGACCTGATCGTGGTAAGGGAATGCTCTCTTGATAATGGCAGACTCTTCCTGCACCACGACCTTGACCTCATCGATCAATGACTGCAGACTGGACTCGACACCAGGGAGCTCGGCATCGGGGTCTGCCAATTTCTCCCAGGACTCCGGATCACCCCCAACTTCTTCAGTGACCAGCTGACTGCGGTCAATGAAGAACTGATGCTGATTCACAAACAGCGCAATGACACTCGCACCACCATTGAAATCCTGCAGCACAGTCGCACAATCCTTCATTCCATCGAAGTTGGCCTTGCGGTAGAAATCATCAAACTGCTTCAGCAGATCCTTCTCCAGCGTCTCCGAGAACTTCTCAATAATCTCCCTTGTGTTCCGCCGCGGGGTACTGCTCTCGCTCAGGTCCTCCGACGAGGAACTTCCCCCGTAGCTTCCCTTTGCCCGGGCCGGATGTTCCTGCCAGCTCTGCGGGTCCAATCGTTGACTGATGCGCAATAGCTGTCGCGCGATATGTGCCGAACGCACCGCGGCCTCGCCGGTACCAGACCGTCGCAGGTTCTCCAGCAGTGAGATCTCGCCGCGGTTGGACACGCCGTCCCAGCATTCGATGAGGAAATGAGCATCTAAAGCCCGTCGACGCTGTCGGTCCAGCTCTTCCAGTCGTTTTCCGGTCTCCACGGCCATGTTCCCTGTTCCTCCCGCATTCTCAAGTCCACCACCATTGAGCGACGTGTCGAGTTGTTGGAATGATTCAATTGTATGGCGGAGCTTCTTGCCCAAGGTCGTCAGGTTCTGGGAATGCTGCGCTTCGGCGCGTCGGACTGCGGCGGACAGTTCATTCTCCCGGATCTCGAGGTCCCCGGAGAGCTCACCCAGGCGTCGCTGGGCGCCCTCGAATGCGCGGATGAGGGGCTTCGGATCGAAGGGTTGATTGGCGCCGGCTGTTCCAGCTACCGAGCGACGAGTCGAGATTGCTGTGTCGGAGAGAGCTTCAATGAACTCCTTGACAATGAAGTCACGACTGGAGAAGTCCTCGAGAGTGAAGCTCGGCCCTTGGGGGAACACGGTGCGCGGGTTCGTAGTATAGACGGATGCATTGTCCATCATGATGATAGACAGACATGGGTTGTCTGCGATCAAGAAATTGTAAAGGAATCCGGGGAAGAGAGGGGAGGAAGATGCCAAGTTATAGGAGCCGCAACGATGAATAACTACACGATGGCTTTAGCTGGACTGATTTTGGATTGTATGAACATTGTAGTTTCTCTTGATTTAATTGTGAATTCTGAGGATATTCTTCGAATACTTAATAAATTATAGGTATAAAATGTATATCCAAGTTAGATATACTATTCACTGCCCAGTCTTTAGGCAGCCGTTCTGAACAACTGGCAAGATCGAAGACAATAACCTCATATTTATACCTTGACAGCCTCTGCAGTCTTTTAGCCCATCTTTCCTTTCAATCCCAATTGGACCAGTTGTGAATAGCGGGCAGACCGCATACTGTATAGTTGTGCACACTCAACATTCTACTCTCTCCCCACTCCCAAACCTCACCTCCCAACCCTTCTAAACCGCCCAAACCTCCCAAAAGATGGTCTCCCAACGAGACCGCAATCTCCTGAGAGATGAGCTCCGGCAACGAGGACCCAAATTGAGCAAAGCAGACCGCGAACAACTCCTAAATTCTTACCTCCCCAATCCCGCCGAGCTGCCCACCCGATCCAGAGCCTCGACCGCAACCTCGGAGCGTCGCAAGACGCGCAAGAAGCCCCTCCGCTCCTTTCTCAAGTCTCAGCTACATCGTATCGTCTATGCCGTGACGCATATCATCTTTGGCATCATCGTGCGCTTGCTGCAGGCCTACCATGCTGTCGTGGATCGCATTTTCGCCATCGTCTACCACCACCACCGCACCCCGGAACTGATCCGCAAGGACGTCCGAGGATTGAAGCGCTTGCCGCAGCACCTGAGCACGATCCTGACCCTGCGCAAGGAAGATGATGCGTTGGCTGTTCTGATGGATGAGGTGGCCGAGCTGGCTGCTTGGAGTTCTTGCGCTGGCATTCCCCAGTTGAGCATTTACGAAAAGACCGGTAAGAAGCAGGAAGAGTCAACACGACATCCCTGATGTCCTGCCGATGGTCGTTGAAACATGTATACTGACTCCTCCAGGCGTCCTCAAATCCTGCCTCCCAGCCCTCCACCAAATAATAGTCACCAAACTGGCCTCCTACTACGGCACACCCTCTCAACAACCAAGCCTCCAGCTCTACGCCCCCCACCACCCAGTCCACGGCAAACCCGCCTCTCCAGATAGCGAAACCGGCTCCCTCACCATCCTCCTCCTATCCTCTACAGACGGCCGCGAAACCCTAGTCGACCTTACCAAGACCCTAGCCGAGATGTCCCAGAACGGAAAGCTCTCGCCAGACGATATCACGCCCGAATTGGTCGACGCTGAGATCAGCGAGATCACCACTCAGCCATTGGCGGCTGATCCGGCGTTCAGTGAGACTGTTTTGAAGCCCGAGCCGGACCTGTTACTTGTTTTTGGCCCGTTCCTTAAGCTGGATGGGTACCCGCCTTGGCAGATTCGTCTGACGGAGATGTACTGTACTGGGAATCGGAGTCATGGACTGAATGGCGATGGTGAGGCTGTTGAGTACCAGGGGTATATGCGTGGACTGTGGCACTTTGCCGGCGCGCAGATGAGATTTGGTCGGTAGGTTAGATGTTTTTGACCTGATCTTGGAGTTGAGTAATTGAGTGAGGAGATTTGCATGTTCTTTTCTTTTTCTTTTTCTTTTGGTTATACCCTCTTCTCTAATATGCATTGCATCAAGAATAGAACAATTTACCTGCATAGCCCAAATTCTGTTCTATCTACACTCTCTGCCTCCCCATTACTTAGATATCTGATAATCATTATATAGTCAATTCTGGTTCTGGTATCACTATGCCATGTCTGAAAACCAGTCAAATCAAATCAGTTCGCCATGCCCAAGTTCACATAAATAAGAGACCCAATAATCCACCGCCGGGTCCAGTCCAATCGTCCAACTCCAAATAGTCGCAATCAAAAGTAGCAGAAAAAAAGCCCCAAGAAGTGATGAAGGGGAAAGTAAGTGATTATCATATAGTCGTTTTTGTCGTTTTTGTCGTTTTCGGTCCGTCGACGGAGATCAAGTATCATCCCGTCATATCCTCATGTCTCAAATCGTCCAAAGTCCACGCAGAAGGAATACTCCGAGCAGACCAGGCAGCATGTGAACGGGACTGTTCCCGCATGCAATCGAGACAGCGAACAATCTCGGCGCCAGTTTCCGTGACGTCCTCGACCGCACAGCTGGAGCAGATTTTACGACGGGATGGAGCCTCCCCGCCGGCGTCGTAGCCGTTTAAACTGTTGATATCTGCATCGTGCATGCCATCCGCCAGACCAAAGGTTCCTCCGCAATTGACGGTATCGCATTGTCGGAGACAGATGAAACATGCCCGCTCGTGGCACAGGTCGCAGTCTGCGTAGGCGTCGAGAACCTGTCTAGTTGTTGGGCGTCGGTGGCAGATGTGACAGGGGCGTAGGGCGGACGGGGATGCAGAGGCTTGAGTCTGGCCTGGGTATTTGAGGGGGACGAGGGTCCGCGGTGAGACTGGGGGCGAGTAGGGGTCGATGTTGGGGGCGTAGACGTTTGGGGAGAGATGTGTTGATTGTTGTTGATGTTGGAGACTCAGGTAGGGACTCTGGACGTTTCTCCGCTTGCGTGGGAGGCAGCGTGGTCGGAAGGAAATGTCAGCCCCCTCGGGGTGTCGTGATAGAGGATGTGAGCAGCCGTCGAATTCGGGGCGGTCTACTCGAAAGGCGGCTGGGGTGAAGGTTGTTCTGTATACTTGTTAGGTCAACTGATCCAGAAGTGAGAGAGCTATGGTCTGACTTACGGACGAGCTAGAGTCACTGTCTCTTCATGGTCCCGCTTGCGCTTCTTCCATGTTGCCGTTATCGAGTCGGTGTCGGGCGAAAGGCCTGGCATTGGGGTATCACGGTAGTCAAACCAGGTCATGTAGAGGTTGGATGCCTGGTATTTTGACAGTGGTCAAATATCAAAGGTCAAAGATCAGCTATCAAAGAGGAGTGATGAAGACTTGAAACTCGGGGTTGACCAAACAAAAGAACTGAGGGCGGTGAGAGCGATAACCGTATCAGCCCACGGTTTACGGTCGAGTTCTAACTTATACAGAATGGAGTAGAATAGAGCAGAATTCTTGTTATTTTACTATTGGATTTAAATGGCAGGCCCTAAGCCATCCAGACGAGCTTGGATGGTCTTCTCATCAAAGGACCCATTCTCACCGACGTAGTTCCGTAGAACTTCATAGGTCATCAATCGCCGAGGTGCTTTGCGGCCAGTCATCAGCTCGAACTGGGCAATGCCTTGTTCAGTCACATTCTCCAGTCCATCTGATAGGACCCAGGGTCGTCCAGTCTCACTACGGACTCGACGCATTTGTCGAAGAAGTGGTGTATCAAGGGGTTTGTAGGCCAACTAGATCGCAGTTAGTATAGATACGCTATAACAGAGATGGATATCATCTTACCTCGAGAATGACACCCCCCGTGGGACTCCCAAGCCATTGAACTGGCATTTCAAAGTTCGCCGGGGGTTCATCTCGGTCCGGGTCTGCCGGTACACAGGATGCAACGAGACTAGGCTGCGTGGCATCTGCAGGCCAATCTTGTTGCAGGGAGTGCAGGACACGAACCACCTCAGCAGAGCCGACCTGCGAGGAAGCCCAGGAGTTGAAATGGCGAGCGACCTCCTCAGCCCGGGACTGGGTGCGGTTGTAGATGAAGATCTTTCGACAGCCCAGACGGAGCATGGCGTAGATGGCGGCCCGCGCCATACCACCAGCACCAATGACCAGACCTGTTGTCTTCGCGCTAATTGCATTGCGCGGGGAGAGATGGCGCGTGATGCAGGTCATGATGCCGACCCAGTCTGTGTTCTCGCCGTACCAGCCCAACACGCGGCCAGCCTGGTTGCGACGCCGGGCTTGTTCTTGCAGTGGGTACATGGTACCGTCGGCGTGGCCGCGGAGTGGCATGATAGTGTTGATGGCACCGATTGCTTCGGCGTGTCGACTCTTGGAGGCGAGTTTCTGATATACTTGAACTCGCCACGGCTGGACCACACTCGACCCTCCAAAGTGCGGGTCCCGGCCCAGCCGGTCTAACACTGCCAGTGAAGGCGAGTCAGGGATGGTGTAGGTATGGCCCATGCCACAGTGCTGGTGTGCAGCATTGTGCATGGCGGGGGATAGACTGTATGCTACATTCTCTCCGGAAATGTAGAATTTCAAGGGATCGAGCATATAGGTCTGGAAGAGGGCGCGTACAGCATCACGCGAGGTCATTTGAGGATCATGTTCATTCTCTGCTGACCGGGTGATGGCCGGGTGTGTGACCCCGGTGAGAATTGAGTTGAAGACTTGCGATGTGCGGCCCAAAGCTCCAATATTGTAGGCGATGAGCGGAGGGTGGTCGCCTGGAAGCGCGTTGATCTTGTTCGAAAACTCGATCACAGCTGCGTTGTCCTCGCGCTTCGTTGCAACGCGCAGAAGGCGGACCAACTGACAACCGAGCTTTTCAGCGTCGTGATAGAGGGCGACACAGCCCTCACTGTCCCATGTGATTGGAGAAGATGGGCTAAAGACCTGCTGGCCGATGATCTTGGTATTTCCACGACCACGAATGATCCCAGCCAGCCGGGATTGGTTCTCGGACAGGTCTACGACGAGGTATTCCACTCCCAAGCGTAGACCATGTTCGAGGATCTCAAAGTAGGTTCGAGCAGTGGTGGTTTCGTTCGAGCCGATCCCAGTGGCGGAGGTGTCCACAGACAGAACCACCGGAACTCGCGCACTTCGACGCAAGTCCGACACCTGTTTACTGGTGACAGCTGCCATTTCTGGGCCCCAGCGGTCCACACAGAGTTCGATAGCATCTCCACCGGATTCGAGCTCCGTCAGTTTCACTGCGTCGGCTATCAGGTCTGAGGACCGTACAAGGATAGCATGTGTGAAAGAGCGGAGTTCTGGTGGCGTCTCCAGCAGCACAAAAGGCGAGTCATAGCTGGAGTAATTGACGTCCAGTCCAGTGATAAATTGCACGAACCGAGTGAAATCTTCCTTTGCTCCCTGCAATTTGAACGAGTAATCGACCGATCGACGATCTGGGCTGCCATCGTCCGCCGCGCCTGTCCGGTCTTCCAGGTTGTAAAATTCAAAGTTGGAACACATCCGATGCATGGGGTCTCCCTCACGGAACAGACGCACCGCCTGGTCCTCCAGCCCGAGCAATTGCTGAATGCGATCAATATCGCGCAGTAGATGAACCACGGGATTAGTCCGGGCATAGCGACGCAGATGTTCCTGAACCGGTCGCGTCAGACTACCCAATCCACACTCCATGACACAACCCGTGCGATGATTATCCAGCATCATCTTCAGCACTTCCATGTCCCGGCGCTGAAACTCCTGGCTGCCATAGGTCTTGAGGTAGTCCTGTCGCGTGACCCCTGTGACTTCTCGGAAGTAGTGGTCTTCGGTGATAAATCGTCGCTTGAGCGCGGTAGCTGCGACAAAGCCCAGGGAGCGTTTCCCGCAGCCGCGAATGCCGACTAGAACGAGGGATGCATCGGGAGCAAAAGTTCGTGGGGCCGGGTCGCGGGGCACGGTCTGAGGGATGGATCCGACGACGGGGACATCGGAGGGCCTCACGGTAGGTGGAATTGAGGGCTTATAGTCGAGCATGGCGGCAACAGATCGAGGGGAGGTCTATGTTGCGGCGAGAACTAAGTCGAGGCGAGTGCCATATTCACTGGCGCACAGTAGAGTGGTCAAAGGTAGATGTGCCGAGTGTCAAGAGATGCGAGAGCGAGGGATAATAACCACGCACATACCCGAGTTATGAGACTGTCGGTGCAATGGCGTGTAAGTTAAGTGTCCAGGTGTGTCCATGTGAAGATCCCAAGTCTTCATATTTCCCCGGATGAGAAACTGCCGCCTGGGGTCAAGCGGCAGAATCCTTTTCCCCAGCTGAGTCATACACCGAGATTCTGTCTTGGAGGTCCTCGGCTGAAGTTCGTTCTGCACGTTCAGTTAGTGTCAGGATGTCCGGATGTGTTTGGTCTCATTCAGCACTGAATATCCACTTGGCGGAATCTATTCCGGCTCTCCAGTTCCCTCTCATAGTTCAATAGTAGCAGACTCCTGTATCGTATACTCAATAGCACCCTTGGATATCTGGAAGCCTGATTCATCCTGAGTCAGCTCTTACGTAGTCCTTGAAACTGCCGATGCTCGGCAGTTTCCACGGAGCCATCGGAGAGTTCGGCTTTCGAGTCGTAGCGTACATCCGGTCTCTTAGTGATGTTTTCGAAATTCTGAATTGGAAAGTCTAAGTCTAGGAAAATAAGTATAGGATAGAGGATAGAAAATAGAAAATATGGTATATATATAGCACATAATCCAGAGGGGACATATGGTCATCGCCCTTCATACATCACGGAAGCCTACTTAAATCGTGGAGACGTGGGGAAACCCCGAAGCCGACCTCTGGCCCGAAGATCCCAACTCCCGATATCTTCCTCCAGCGTCTTTGCCGTGGCCGAGATCGAGAGTCCACTCTTTTGACTTCTGGAAATATTGAATTCCTGGGACTTTCTCTTCCGGATTGCCGCATTCCTCCTCTACAGGAACATGACCACCGCGGAAACCACCTAACGTCACGTTCTACAGACCACTTTCAACTTGACACCTCTATATGGGAACCTGAGGAATTCCACCCTCCATGGACGAGGGCTCAGACAAGGCCCCGCGGCGCAAGAGGGTCTCGCGAGCCTGCGATCGCTGTCGCAGCAAAAAAGTAAGTCACATGCGCCTGCTTTCCCCCCCCTACTTTCGCCTGGTTCTGACACGCTCTGCTACCAGGACAAATGTGACGGGATTCGTCCTGCATGTTCCGCCTGTCGAGCATCCGGCCAAGCCTGCTCGTACGATCCTCATGCGAAGAAACGCGGATTACCCGAGGGCTACGTCCGGGGTCTGGAGAAGCTGTGGGCACTGTCGATCTGCAACATTGACGGGTTCGAGGACACCATGCTGGCCATGTTGGGAACGGCCGAGTCGGCGGGCCACCGCGACAGACTGATGTCGGTGTGGTCGGATGACGGTTCGTCGGAAAGCTTACACGAATCCTGGAAGACGAGCCGATTATATGGGGCGCTGGAGAAGATGCTCTCCAATTCCGATGCGCCACAAGGAGTGGTGACGGGGAAGAGGCTGCGAAACCTGCAAGACGATGCGAACGGTCAGTGGCTTCGAGTCGCTCGCAGCTCAACACCTCTCGGTCCGGATGCGCCGCGCGTGGTGGGGCCTTCTCCGTCGTCTCCGGGGGTCAAACGAGCACGATTGTCGCAAATCCCGGAGACTCGGGCGGATGCGACGAGCCTCCACACGTTACAGCTGCCTCCGCACACCTCGCAGCTACTCGATATCTATTTCGCCGTTACCCATTCGTGGTTCCCTATAATCGCGAAACATAACATCCTGCGCGCTTCGTACCTCTATGCCAACTCGCCTGTCTCGGTTACGACGACATCTCCGGGATCTGGAGATCATGCTGCGCTATGGGCTATCCTAAGTTATACCATCACTCAATCTCGAACCAATTCACGGGCCGGCCCCGCAGGAAATGTGACTCTCGCGAAAGAATACTATGCGGTGTCACGAAGCCTCATTCCTACGGAGAAAGACCGCTATGAACTTAACCATATTCAGGCATTGCTGCTCCTCTCCCTGGTCAATATGGGCCTGGAAGACTGGACGGCAGCTTGGCTGCTGAGCGGCCAAGCAGTGCGCATGGCTCTTGCAATGGGTCTGGGCACTTCCACCGACAGTCGGCGGTCTGATGAACGCAGACAAGGCAAGGCAGTCTTTTTGGGATGCTTTGTCATTGATTCAATGCTCTCTTTCCGACTATCGCGATGTCCGGCCATGCCTCCGGGCGACCTATCCTCTGTTGGTCTCTTGGAGGAAGATGGGCTGGAGGAATGGAACTCCTGGGTTGATGTTTTACCACCCACAGGTGCTTCAAAAACCAGCAAGCATCCTCCGCGCCGAGGGCCACTGATGGCTTTGAGTTGCTTCAATCGCTTGGTCGAATTGGCGACTGTTCTCAATAACATATCCAGGAACATGCACTCAGGCTTGAACATGGCCCATTTTGCCCAGCAACTAGTGATGGAGCTAAAACGATGGGATGATCTTCTACCACTCGGTTGTCGCCTGATTGGGCCAGAAAGCATCTATCCAGAACGTCATTCGGCTTTGCTTCCCCATCAAAGCTACCTCGGGCTGACTTATGTGGCCACGCTACTTTGGCTTTATCTGCAGCTGATTGCAGGAGAACAGGGTTTACACCGTTCTCAGCGCCCAGCCACGGAAGGAGCCAAGAAGCTTCTGTACCGAGGCTTGTCCATGCTCACCCAACACCTCGAGAACTTCCCCGTTTGTGGACTCCCACCGTTGTTTGAATTGAGTCTTCGCACAATCACCGAGCAGGCATTCGCGTTGCGGCAGACTACCGACTCAGCCGACACTTTCCCCTTCGCCAGATGGGCAGAGGAGTTCAAGCTCAAAACAGCTGGATTCAGCTCGACCTGGCCAGCCTACAGCTCTTTAGTCTCTGTCATGGAAAGGTGGCAGCAGTCTAAAGACGCCACTGGCCAATCTACTTTCTCAGAGCAAGCCGGTAATGCACCAGTATTCCCCTTCCAAGGAAGTTCATCCGCTCCTGGCTCAATGCAACCGCCAAATGGAGTTCGTGGCTTAATACCCAATGGTGAAAGCGATTACAGCTCATCTATTCTCGGTATCAGCATGCCAGTCGATGCTCAGTCCATAACACCCAAAGACTCAGTCATGGAGAACGCAGATATGACCATGATGGACGTTCCCATGCCTCGGCCGATAGAAGCCCAACAAGTCATACCTGACCCATCAGTCCCGCGCAGTGACCCAGAATCCATGTATAATCCAAATACCACACCAGGCAAACAAACACAACAGCCTCAAACGCCCGACTCAACAACCTCGAGCTTGATGATGCCCGGGAATGCTGCATCTATGGGCGACATCGATGCCATCTTCAAGGATCTTGCATACCTTGATACCACGGAATGGGCCACCAACCGCGAAGCTGGCTTGAAGGATTTCGGCTTCTTGGATGATACCACCTTCCAAGCATTCTGTCATGACCCCGATCGACTGGTTGGATCACAACCTCTGGTCCATCCACCTTCCATTGCAGATATCTGGCCACCTCCAGGATTCTTCCCAGAGACTTTCCAAGAAGTCCCCGAGGAATCCATGGCTGGCTGAAGAACTTCAATTTTCAGTTTGCCTTTAGGATTGACTCATTATGTGTAGTCTACTCTACCCTTCTTCAAGACGCCTATCTGCCCGCACCTCGTCGGCATTCGTGATTCATCACGAGAAATTCAATCCAGGAGATCGACATTCTGGCCAACATGAGCACAGTGATCTCCTAATCCAACCACACCCATCCTCACAATCAAGTTGATATGGCTCCACCTCGACTTCGCCATACTCCATAACTCTATGAGAGACAGCATCTAAACCAACCATACCATCCACCTCAACATGCGAAGAACAAGAGATTCTTCCTCGGAACAAACAGTTCCACGAATCCATGTATATATACCCGCGTACTGGAACAAGTCCAGCGCATTTGCAAAAGCCTTTCTTTCCGTTCGGAATAGATGACCCTGAGCATCCTGTAGTTTTACATTTATATCATTCTATTCGTCATTCAAGAACGACTACAATCTATTCTTGATATATGCGTAGCTCAGTAGAGTAGAGGTGATCTCGAACCGTGAAGATCCTCCATCGAGTTTACGACAGATGTCTGTTTTCTTCGATCTCGAGTGTCATCTGAAGGACAAAGTTGAACAGAAAGACGACTAAAATTACTGACTGGTATGATTGATTACTGAAATAAAGCCGATTCAAGGTCTACTTCTAGTGACATTTCACAATTCGCATCAAAAACCGTGTGGTCATGAAATTTGAAGTATTGAACGATTCGAAAATCTGGTATCGCTGAAAAATCAATATAGAATGACAATAAGGTGGAACAGAAATAAAATGACCCAAGGATCAGTGTCGTATTTTGTCTGCCCGGCAGACGATATCAGAACTGCGCCGTTGTATAACGCCTTGCCAATGAATTCCCATCGCACGAAAGTGTCCACGTGAGTACATGCAAAGGAGAGCATAAAAAAGAAAAAGAAAAAGAAAGGAAAAGAGAGATGAAGAACGACAGGAATGTGTATATATATACAAGAAGAAACCACAGAAAGGAAAAGAAAAAAAGGCCAATGTAAATGCCATCAGACGTAGATGTATTGAACCTCAGCACACGAATGCTGGAAGGATCTCAGAAGCTTCTGCACGCGAGAACCCATCCAGCCGGAATGGGTGCCGTTCTTAGCGACACCTGCAAAGGTGGTCGGGGCATGTTTGCAGACGCGATCTTCTTCACTGAAGGTGTACTGCAAGCACTCCTGATTGCGAGCACAGACTTCCGCACAAATATCAGCAGTAGGGATGACACCGGCAGCAAAGTCGATCTTGGCGCCGGAGAGGTTATCCCAATCATCACGGACGGTGAAGGAGTCATCGTAGATCAGTTTCTGGTAGACGTCGGCGTGTAGCATGAGGGCGTTTTTGCCGCTGGCGAAGAATCCACGGTCGAATTTCCACATTTCCTCGATATCCTGGGGCTGCATGTGGTGGTAGGAGATGACTGGGTAGCACCAGGGCTGGCGACCGTAGCCTTCGGAGAAGTGGTCGATCTCCCACGGGCGTGAGGTCATCATCATCGGCCAAGCCCAGGTCAAGTCCACGTTCACATCGCGCAGAGCCCGTGCCAGGGCACAGTCTCCGGCCCATTCGTTGGCGGTCATTACTTCCAGGTCTGCTTGGGCGCGGGCGCGGTAGCTGCTTAGGCGTTGCATGGTTTGGCTGGATAGAACGATGCCTGCTCCGCCGTATCCGAACAGGGTTTCGCCAATTTGCATTGGGCTGCCGAGGTAGTACTGGCGGGTGTGGTCGAGGTGGGATAGCCAGTTGACTAGGTTCGGCCATACCATGTACGTGTCGGCTTCTAGGAAGACGTACCACTTTGCATCTGGCATGACCTCCAGGGCCTGGTCGATCATGGGGAGGAATTTCCACTTGTCCAGCTTCCATCCAGGGTTGTTGACTTTGCCTAACGGTCCGTTTGTGTCGTCGCCCCACTCGTCGTCGGTCAGGCCTTCACGGCCGACTTCTTGGAGGCGGCGGTAGATGTTGAATTCGGGTTCTTTTTGCATGGTTGCGTCGCTGACGTTGCGGAGGACGTCATAGGTACGGATTCCGTTGTTTGTTTCTTCGTAGTCGGAGAAAATGGCAAAGTGTGGGACACATTGGAAAGTAGTGGCGAGGTGAATGGGCACTTTTTCGAGGGATTCGGTAGCTCCGGTCTTCAGGACGACCATGACATTGTCGAGGCCGTGTAGCAAATGACCACATTTGTCCTGGAGATTCTCTGATGTTTTCTCGGCGGCAATATTTGTCTCGGGCTTTTCCTCTCCTACCACGATGGTTTCTGCACCAGATGAAGATAATGGCTCGGAATCCGTGACTGGTATGGGGTTGGATTCAGGCAGTCGAAAGAGGTAATAAATCAAACAAAATGTAAGGAGTGGAAAGACGACGAACATCCATCGTCGTGGAGAATTGAACATGATCGCCGATTGTCGCCAATTGAAAGACAATGAATGATAATTTAGGTAAGAATTGAAAAGGATGAGGCCATCCAGCTAACGAGAGGAAGTCGAGGACTGAAGAAGGGATCATGCAAGCGCCGGGGCAGAAAAAAAGGGACAGTGATCGCCTGGAGAGCAAACCAGTTCACCTCGGCGCGTAGGACGATCCATGGGCCGGGAGAACAGGCACCCCCCATTGCATTCGGTAGCAGCGCTCCCTCGATGAGCTTGATAGGCCAAGTGCCAAGTTCATTGGGGAACGATCAGCAACCACGCGGCCCATGGGCCAACGAGGCTGTGGCGTCTCGCAGGGCCTGTCCGCTGCCCCACGGGAAGCGTCATCGCTTGCGGCACTTAGGCTCATGTCAAGGCAATGATCGACTTGGACTGCAGTGGGGGACATTCAGGAGGTTGAAGATCGTAAGATTAGGGGTTCAACGTTTCGAATTACATATTGACGCCATACTGTGAAGAAATGACCAAAGTGACCAAAGTGATCCAAGTCAAGCTTCTCGTTTGGAGTTGAAGCTTGAAGTGAGTGACAGGCGCCCTGAAACCGGATCACCGGCTGAGATCGACGCCCGATCGATCAGGCATGAAGTCACGGGTGTTTCAGGTCTGTTTTGTCTGTTTGTCTGGTTTACGCTGTTTGCCGGCAGGTTAAGGGGTTCGCCGTTCTCTTGTGGAGCCCTAATTCAAACTCCAATCAAACTTTCAATATTCCACTTCTTTGCCATGTCACTGGATATGGGTTTGAGGTTTTGGCTAATTTATTTGAAACGTCTGAACTGTGTAAAGTATGACCCATGCTAGGTAGAATAGAATAAATATACGGCATCAGTAGCAAGGTATATTCCCGTAAATTTGTACGTTATGTAGCTATGAGAGAATATTCAATAGACTCATACTGTACAAATAGCCAATATTTGAGTTCTGGGGCGGGCTAGATGTGGGGTTTGACCCGAAAAGGAGGTGAACTATAGATTCAATTGCGAAAGACCCCTATAAAGCTATTGCCTCGGATATACGTATATGACTGGAAGAAAGAGGATCCGACCTCGTGTCGTTGGTGTGTTTCAGTTTGAGTATGTCGAGAAAAATACAGTAAGAGCTTAACAATCTAAACATGCCATAATACATGCAATATACGTATTCAAGCTATTCTGGCTACTTCTGACCCCACATCCAACTCCCATTTCATGTTTGTGAAGCCTCCACTTTGGGGGACAGGTACTGGCATGTTCATAACTTCGTCATCTTTGAGTAGACTGAACTCCGATCCCATGAATTGCATTGGAGCGGTAAGTAGCAACTTGAATGTACAACCTTGCCCTGATTTTTCTTGTAGTTTTCTTTGTCTGTGTGCTAGTCTGATTAAGCATCGAACCAAGATCTGCGTGTGCTCGGATGTCTGCTCACTGAAAAGATAGAATGGCAGATTATCCACAATACAAAAGACAACGGCTGTCGAGTGGAGAAGTTTCAAGGCAGTTTTGAATCGCCGCAAGACATCATCTAGACTGTTATTTTCGAAATCACCGAGAGCGACCAGACGCTCCAGATTGGTGTCCTTGAATGAAGAAAGCAGCTGCGCAAGCAGATTATTGATAATCGCGGTTGCGGAATTCATAGTATCCTCGCGATCCGTGTGCTCACCACAGAAGAAATGCACAGCTGCAACTTGATGTTTGCCCTTGGAATTTCTCTCTCGTAGCAAATCCAGTGTATAAACAAGTCTGGCAGACAAGAAGCTCAGTGGGGAGTGAAGCTGTGCGCTGTCCATGTTCCCGTTGATGACCAGGATGCGGGAAGCTGGAGATGTGATCCATGAGGCCAGGTCGCTTGAGGACAGTGCGTACACACAGCAATCTTGCTCGCTCAAAAGTAATGTGTAACCGTGCTCGTAGTTCTCTTCGACGTCAAGTTGAATCCGTTTCGCGTTGAAATCAAGCCTTGACAGGATTATATGGTGCAAGTCACTTTGGGTATATTCTAAAACCAATGATGAGATTTGCAAAAGTGGCAAAGACAGAATTCGTGCTATATCTTACTTTGACCTGTCGCCTCTGGTGCATTGGCAGATAAACACATCAGAGGGACATATGCCGCATCATATGGTTGGTCTTGATGTAGACGTGTTAGATTCAGTTGGACGTCATAAAAGTTGGATACTTACTCCTTGCCCAGGCTTCTCTTATTACCAATGGCATACTCTTCAGTGCTCCATACAGTTCATTCAGTATGAAAAGCATTGATTCATCTCTTTCTTCCTTGCGCTTATTGCTTTCACGCGCCCATAGAGCTTCTTCTCGAAGGAACTGCTGCGACCTAATCTGCTCTTTGTGCGTCAATAGCATGAAGACTTTCATACTGTCAATTTCTTCCTTGATGTCTCTGGTACCACTGCTGGTTTCTTGCAGCATGCTCTCACAACTTTCTTGCATCTCCAAAGCGCAAATCCTGGCCTCTTCATTGAAGGCGTCTCGACATTTTCGCATGTCACCCAATTTTCCCATGAGATCTTCTTCGAAGCTGGACTGTTTGAATAATGCCTCTATAGCTCGCTTTGTGGACTTCCGGCTGATGTAATGCAGTAAATGGCCTAAGGTTGTTAGAGTCGCCGCGTAAAGCGCATCACTCAGATCTATAAGTCGCTGAGAGGATCTGTATATTCCAAGAACTCGTTGCGCTCCATTTAATAAGACTGGAATATCGTGGAGCCCGCTGAGAGTGGCTTCCTGGATGCTTTTCATTCTCTCAGCAGCCTAGTTGCGTCAGGATTAGGGCTTGGGTGACTAAGGGACGTGACCCGGGATCATGGGCGTACCTTGAGAATCAATTTGATCCCTCCACAGACAACAGACATATACTGGGACTCAGTTGGTAGCAGTCCTAGCCACTGCTCGACGGCTGCTCCGTTCTCGCCTAATCCCCCGAACGCTTTTCGGACTCGACCCCAGACCCCAGCTTTCTTTCCTTTCTCGTAGTCGTCGACTGCTGTATCAAGCATTTCCCACACATCGGCCAATGTGTGTATTTCATCAATTTTGACGCCGGTTCTGTACTTTGGTTTTGCATCTTTCTCATAGTCCCGTAGCGCCTGAATAAACTTTTGTTCTTCTTCAGTAACCACAGCCTGCCGTTGAGAGATTTTCTCACTAAATATTTTATGAGCACTTTAGCTTGAAATATTTGGGAAATATTCCACTCGTCTCACATGTCCTTTATTTTAGATTCAAACTTAGCGGCGACGAATTGTTGCGACTTGGGGTCAAACTGCGCCAGGGACGCCGGTAGACCAAGCCCATGTTCTTCTTCCGAAGTGTATCTTCTAGTGATACCCTCTATGGTGGATTGAATGCGCTGATTTTCTTTCAGCATGAGCTGGATACTTTGCCCCGGAGAGTGTATTGGAGAAAAGTCTGGCGGTAATTCTGGCATCGCTCCCTTTGTATGACGAGCGCGAGCTATAAATGTGGTTGTCTTTTATGAGATATTTAGCGTAGTCTGTTCTCGCTGTCAAACTAATCTTTAGAGAATGGCGGGGCTAGCCCGCGAGGCGGTCTTTAGCCCGATAGATGGATTGGTTCGCTTCGGATAATCCAATAATCTTGTGGCTACGGCGGTTGGAATGCGGCTGGGTGAGATTTCAGCTGCTAACGCTGCAGCCATAAGCCATGCGAGAGCAACGTGTACACGCTATAGCTTGTTTCTCTCATATGATGGGCTCGAATGCGTTATTTCTGTCGGAACCGCCGGGAATTGCATTTTTGTGGATTATCAAACCCCTCTATTGGTCTTTATTGCTGCTTGGGCATGCCTTCATTCTGCAAAGAGATTGAAATAGTAAATACCCCTCCCTCATTCGAGTGAGTTTCCTGTGTTGAGAATTAAGATGAAAGCGGAAATATTGACGACTGAAAGAGGGTAAAATAAAGATAATCTTTTGAATAGATCACTGAGTTGTTTAAGTCTGAGGATTCTCACCAGTGAGGACCCTGTATATAGCCAAATTATTTCCCTCATTTTAGTCCTAATTAGATTCCTCAAGTGATGAATCACAACAGCGGTTTTGACATGTCATATTCTGACATGGATCATTCCTGCCGCCAAAATTCTCAACATCATGTTGGGCAAACATAACGAGCCGTTCCGCTCCTGCAAGAGGGCAACATAAAATGTGCCGGATGAGATAAAATAGCACGAGACCTATCAGATTCTTGCCATTGTGTCAGATTTCATTCTTCTCAAGGTCAAAGTTTGATCTCCTGGCACCCATTCCAATAGACGTCCAGCTTTCAGTTACAATGTCGCTCCTAGCGACCGAAACCAGCACAGGGGAACCCCCCACGCTTGCCAGTGAAAACACAGACGTCCATATTGTTGAGAAGGAGGCAGTCCAAAATGAGCGCCTGACCTTTACATTGAACGAGGAACAAACAGAGATAGGTAAATATAAGGCTCCTGCAGCAGCAGAAAATCCATATTCAGAAGCCTCGTCCGAGGAAAAGGGTCAGTAAAGTATCATTGACGAAGAGGTGGAAGTTTGAAAGCCTTGCGTATCGCTAACACCAACCAGATACGGAGAATAGCGATGATGATGAAGTTGTCGTATGTAGAAAGAGAGCAAAAAGAGAAAAGGGGATCCTGAAAAAGTACAAGGAAGCATCCAAGCACTTCCGGTCCCGCGCAGGTATCACCTATGTGTCCGACAAGCTATGGAAAAAATACGAGAACCTTGCTGTCAATAGCCATATCTATGTGGGAACGACAGACAATTCTGGGGCAACAGATCAGATGGCAGGCTCGCCATCAAACTATGCCGGAGATTCAGCGATCGAGAAGAAGGTCACACTACCTGCTCGGATTTGTCTGATGAATTACAAGCTTCGCAACGAAATGTCAAGAGTCTGTGGAATAGAAGATCTTAATCTTTATCATGTCGCGCCGTTTCGAGCCATCGTTCCGTTTGAACAACAATTTCGAGCACGACTGAAAGAACTTGAAAAGGAATTCTTGGAAAAGGCAGATCTTCATCCAGACAAACCTGCCATCACACGTTCCAGAGTGTGGCTACCATATGTTTTTTCAGTCGGAACTGATTTGAGCTCTGATGCCGATGGCTCAATTATTCCTGGCAAGATACGAGACATTTTTGATGATCTGGATGAGTTCCGAGCCATTTTAGATGGATTCAGAGCCTTGATCTATTTATTTGACAATGACCTGGCGCATGTAGTGCGAACATATCATCAGGCACGCCAGGGAACCTTAACAACTATTCCCTTCTCGCACCTCTGGTATATATTCTGGCCAGGACAGGAAATCGTCAGCCACCAGAACTATCGTCAGGTTTATCGCGTCCTGCAAGTCTGCGGTGGACGCCGATCCCTTGATCCCAAGAGCCGAACAAGCCACACCGCCGGTTCTAACCTTGTCATCAGCTGTTTCCATCTTGACTATGATGGTATAGAAGTGGGCCCTCTTCGTGTCATTTTCCACATCAGACCCTATGTTGGGGAGCTCTCCGTCAGTGCGTTAGATGTCTTCCCCTTGGAGTACCTTGGCCAGTCCGCCACACTGAACATCACCTTACGTGGTCGAAATTTTGTTGAAATTGCCCAAGTATCTCACAGACACTACAAGGGGCTTAACCTAAGGACTGATAAGTTCCATAAGCTGGAAGAGGTTCGTAATTAGCTCTCTTCAAACGCTACCTGCAAAGGGTTCTCAAACTAACCAAAGCCTTCAAAGATCGATAGTGATGTTGTCATTGATTATAAAATGGCCTTACGCAGTGAACAGCCAGGCATTGAGAAGCCTGATCTTTTCAGAAAGTTGTCCTCCAGTCAATTGAGGATGATCCAGATGAGACAAGGGAGAACGAATACCAATACGATAATGTAGATTATGAGCAAGCTGAGTATCTAAAGTTTATTCAGGAGACCTCGTTGCTTGAGTTTCGCTTCCCCGAGGAGCTTAAGGAAGATCATCTGATTCTTCTCCCGGCCAGAGTATATGGATATGTCTTTTTCAGTCGCAAATGGTGTATGTGTTCTTTCAAGTCTAATAACTTGGTCAAATCGGCTGATGAAATTTAGACCCATTGAACGTCGAATTATTGACCGAGGTCCAAAGCATCAAAGAGGGAGAATATGATGCCTTTGATGACCTGGTTCTGCCCAAAAGGCATCGAAACATTATCAGAGCATTGGTTAAAACACATGCCCGCGCAAAACCAGCCTCAAAAGCAGGGCTAGCAAAGGCTTCCACTCAACGGGAATTTGATATTGTTAGAGGCAAGGGCAAAGGCCTTATTATTCTCTTACACGGAGCACCTGGCGTTGGGAAGACGTCAACGGCTGAATGTGTCGCCGCCCACACTGGTCGACCGTTGTTCCCGATCACTTGTGGTGATATTGGGGGAAATACTGCACAAGAGGTTGAGAAAAACCTGGAGCGGTTCTTTGAGCTTGCCATGGCATGGGGTTGTGTGCTTTTGCTTGACGAGGCTGATGTTTTCCTGGGCGAGCGTATCAGAGGGAATATTCATCAGAACAGTCTGGTTTCAGGTGAGTTGCATATCCAGTGATACCCCTTGAGATACATCCCTAACTAGATTAGTCTTCCTTCGAGTACTCGAGTATTATTCTGGGATCCTGATCCTGACAACAAACCGCGTTGGGCAATTCGACGAAGCAGCTACTTCCCGAATTCACTGTGCCCTATACTATCCGCCATTCAACCAAGAAAAAGCCCTTCAAGTCTGGCAGAAGAACGTGGAGCGACTGGAACGTGCAAACGAGACCTCCGGAGTCTCTATCATACTGGATAAGAAGAAAATCATGAAATTCGCCAAGCTGCAATGGAAAGCCGGCACTCGCTGGAACGGCCGCCAGATCAAAAACGCATTTCAAACAGCTGTCGTACTTGCAGACTGGGACAGCTTGAAAAAACCCGAAGAAGAGCCATCGGCTACTAGGCTGCGGATCAAACACTTCAAGGCTGTAGTCAAGACCAGTAATCATTTCGAGTCGTATCTGACGTCTGTACGAAAGTCTGACCAGGAGCGCGCGAGGACCTACATGCTACGGAGAGACGATGTAAATCAGAGCTTCGTGGACCCTGATAGCCTGGAACAGATCTCGAAAAAGGCTGCTCGTCCGAAATGGCCGGGTGCGGAAGACTCTGATGATTCCGCGGATAGCGACGATGATCTGGTATCTGAAGAAGATGAGAGTGAGAGTAGTGACAGTGAAAGCGATTCTGAGCCCTCCAAGAAAAAGGCAACCAAGAAATCTAAAAAGAACCAAAAGAAGAAGGATAAGGAGAAAGAGAAGAAGACGAAGAAGAAGTCTAAGAAAGCACCAGAGTCATCTGAGTCCTCCAGTTCATCTGATAGTGAGAGTGACAAGTCATGAGGATAAATAGTTGGCCCAGCAGTTTGATCTGGTATTCTATAAATGTCAACTTTACTTTGATTGCGAGTTTCCTGACACCTGGTTTCATATTTTGTCGGACAATACAACATTAAAAATTTGCAGAGCTACTATCTTATTCAATACATGAACTGGAAGTCTCTCCAAATATATATTCCAGGGACTCTCTATACTGAAAATCAAACTAACAATTGACTTCTGCGGGCCTTGTTTATTATTCAATCATGAAGTGTGATGATATAAAAATTAAAAAAATATAGAACATATACAGAGAAAATACATACAAAGCACCTCGTATCACTCATATACAATCATTTGCCCAATAATTATGCTTCTTGAGCTTGCATGCGCCTCTTGCGCTCCCACAGGAAAACAGGAGTAATTGTCAAGACAATAGCGACACATAAAACAGCAGCCTGAATTCCAAAGACCAAGCCGAGTCCATTGCGTATGATCCAGGCTGGCTGGAAGTATCCCACTGCGAATCCGCCGCAGGTACGCCACATGTTCAGAATCGCTGAGACACAGGTCGATTGCTCGGGGTATTTCTCTAATGCATAGGCAGAAATGGCACTTTTAAATCGGGCAATGATTAGTCCACTACTTCAAGTCAAGAGAATGTGATTGTCAACTCACACAATAGTCGCTACCATGCCGATATTCACCATGATCCAGCCGAATGCCAAACCTATCCAGTGCTTGCCGAAGTGCATGGTGAGTCCGTATGTCAAGAGACCACAAGCCATGCTGGCAATTGGGAACCAAACACCGTGGAGACGAAGCTCTGTTCGCCAGGTATTGCTGTGTCGTTTGAAGATCCAGCCATTGAAGAAGTGACCAAAGGCCCACCCTGAGATCCGTGAGAAATTATTTTTCCAAGGAGAGGAGTGTCACATACCACAGAGAGCCCCGATGACACCAGCAAATCGCATAGATGACGCTTCAATGGTGTCAAAGAGATAAGGCGGGCTGTGCAAGAAACTATCGATAGTGGTTGTAATTCCTGGAGAATTAGCATAGAGAACACCTTAAGATAAAATGTAACTCACCAATGGGCCATGTAAATGTCACCAATATGGCGAAGCCTACCACTCGTGATTAGCAAGTACTATCGAATCAGATTTTTAAGCCTTACCAGTCATCAGCAATGGAAACTTGAAGATATAGACCACAACCATTCGACACCAGTATGTCAACGTCGATACCTTGGGGAGTGTAGTATTTCCGATGCCAAAGTAAGAAGCAAGGCGCGACGGACTGCCTCTTTGATCATGCCTATAATATGTTTCATAACCAAATAAGATGACCATAGCCGTGGACACGCCATAGATCGCTGTAAGTACACCAAAGGAGGTGCGCCAATCTGTTCCAGCACCGATGTATCCTGCTATGGCAGGACCGAGGAAGGGGCCGACTAGAAAGGTAGTTCCCCTATACCGGTCAGTGTCAAAGTATCAGCGTGGCATAAGACATCCTACCAGATATTGATCATACGCGGCCATTCTGCAATGAGATTAGTATGAATAAGTAAGTGGATGAATTGACATACCAGCCGAGGTGTACATATCATGAATGATAGGCAACCCAATAACCTGAGGTACAGTTCCAAACAGACCTTGCAGGGATCGGAAGGTCGTGAAAGTAGACCAATCATTGGAAAGAGTCGCGCCCAAAACCATGAACATGGTGATCACCTGAGGCCATAGCCAGATCGGCAGACTACGTGCAGCTGTCAGTGGGACTAGTCCCGCGATAAAACAAGGCTGATCGCGCTTGAGCCTAAGCAGAAGAGTAAGCCACTCACCGACCATAGGCTTCAATAAGAGGCACCGCAAAGATACCCCCAAAGCCCTGGAGCAGGATGCCGTAGTTCATACTTGTCGCTGAATGGGTGATACTAATGTCCCAATCCATGGCTTGCTCCGTGATCAGAGTCGAGCCCCAGACCATTGCGCTGCAATTCCTCTCCGTCAGAATCCAAATTCTCATGCCTAAGCGGGAAGTTGTGAGACAAAGATTGCATACCCATCTGCCAGCAATGAACTGGTCATTAATGATATGAAGAGCAACGTTTTCCTCGATGAGCTCCAGTTCCTGGGATTCAGGGGATCTTTGGACTCAGACTCATCCTTGAGATCTCGAGCCTCCAGGGACTGCAACGAAGTGGCATTCTCCATTTCGCGCATACTTGCGATCGTGAACGGTTTCTCCATAGTGTCGTCGTACTATGCACACTACCTATACCAAGAATAGATCCGAATCCAGGAAGATAATTCCGAACAATCGATAGTCCAGCAAGGAGGTGGAAGAAGGAATGAAGATCTTTCTTTTTGCTCTGTGTGACGGGCAGTGAAGGTTTTATGCATGGGCGGGTTTTGGATTCCACACATGGAAATCTCGCGTGGCTTTTGTCGCGCAGTTGAAATCAAGATGAAAACCGCAGGAGACTGGCAGACCGGAGGAATGGCGTCGGAGAGATCAAAGGGGATGATCCATCGTGTCTGAGATCTGTTGGATCAGAAAGTATACGAAAGTATCCAGGAATGAATCTATCACATCCCGGGCCCTAATAAAAACCGCACTAGTCGATCCTTGCAGTAACGCCATACAATAATCTTATTTTGAACAATTTAACTCTTGGGTTGGACTTTCAGATTCTCGGCTCTACTTGGCCGATCAGGCTTTTGTGACGCCCCTTGCTTGCGCATAACGCCCCGACTGCTTTCCTCCAGTAACACACAACCAGGAATTCTTCTGTGCATAGTGGGATAAGGGAGGCCCATAATGAGCTAGTAGCAAGCGCAAGATACAGAAATCAAGCCCCTCTTGGGTTTCTGTACATTCGGAATTCTAGCCGGTGCGCAGATCTGTATACTTCGTAGCTCATAGATAGAAAGCCATCCAAACTCCATATAATAAGATTTACTTCCATAAACTCCTCACCAATCTCAGCCATCACCATGTCTCTCCTAACTCGTATTGCCAGTCTGTTGGGCCTATCCCCCCCCTGCCCCAGTTGCGCCGCCCGGTGCTGCGCTCGCAGCAACGGTCACCGTGGTAAGTGTAACCATATCTCGGGCGTGTTTAGCATCTAACTCGATCGCAGCCTGCTTCATTGGGATTTGTACCGGTTGCGATTCATTTTGATCTGTTTGATATTCTCGTGACTCTTGGTACTTCGGCGACTGCCGAGGAGGTGACGACGACCTGCAATGCACGCATCAAAGCCCGAAACAACAATGAGCCAGAGCTGAGTACGTGTTTGATGCCTGTTGGCTGGTCTGCTAATTCTGCATTTCTCATCCTGTTATTGCCGAGATTGGGACTTTGATACTGACAAGGGCTCTCTCTAGGTATCAGATTAGCCTGTAGGCCCAGCCCGTATGTATAGTATAGACACGACTATCTACTGACATACTTTTCTGCAGCGGATACACTCTACATCATGGCCGGACTGGGTTTTGTCGAACGCGTGGATGAGGACAGGTTCAATGCAAATGCCATCACAAAGCACATGGTCGCCATGCCCTCTGCCCAGCATGGCGCCCTGCACTTGTTTGTCTCCCCTCCCCCTGCATAGACGCCATTGGCAGAAGGCTAACGACCATAGCACCACCGAGGGCTTGATGGCTGGAGCATTCCTGATGAAGAAGCTCCAGGACACGAACTTTGCTTACCCCTTCGCGGATGCAGACGGGCCCTTGCAATACGCGTATCAGCTTATGGGCCAGCCAGAACTGGCCGCCCAGCACACGTACTCCATCATGGAGACCCAAGGGCGCATGGACAGCTTCAACCATTTTATGGTGGGTAAGTTCCTCAAATTCGGCACATTTCCCGAGCGGGTCAAGGCCATGGGATACGATCTGGACAGTGCATTGGCTGTGGAGGGTGACTCGGGCTCGGCTGCAATGGTCGACATTGGTGGCGGTCGAGGCGAGCTCCTGCTTGAAGTCCAGGCTGTGTATCCGCAGCTGAAGGCAAGTGAGCTTATCGTGCAGGAGTTCAATACCGAGATTGACTGTGTGCCTGGTGTGCGCCTCATGGAGTGGAATTACAAGGAGTCAAGCGAGCAGCCTATCCGCGGGGCGCGCGTTTACTCCCTGCAGCATATCCTGCATAACTTGCCTGATTTGGATGCTGTGGCGTTGTTGCAGAAGATTTCTAAGGCGATGGCGCCTGGGTCGCGGATCCTCATCATTGAGTACGCGAAGAATTTGACTTATACCTCGCTTCATGCGAGTATGATTGCCCTGTATGGTGGACGGGAACGCAGTGCAGCTGAGTGGCGACAGATGGCGAGTTTGACGGGACTCAAGGTGACCTTTGAAGCGTATATCCAGGCTGGGGAGTCGTTGGTGGAGATGAGGCGAGATATTTCTTAGTTCATAATTTAGTTCATAGTTTAGTTTATGGTTCGGAGCTCATACTGTAGTTAGTGGGTGAGAATTAAGCCTCGGTCGTGGCAATACCATCTCCTCCGTGTTTCTATCACTCGATGCATCATCTCGACTCGTCACATTGATCACCCGGGGCTTACTCTTCAAGCGACCGACAAGTGATCAGCGCTTCATAGTTCGCGCCAACGCTGATCTGAAGGTCTGAGAGTGAGATTCCCAGATCTACGATGCAACTGTTTTCATCTACATCGACTTTCTATAGATCTACAGAGGGGCAACAACCCATTGTGTTACAGTTGTTTTCAAATATGACTACAGCATCGCGTTTGTTGTCCCATTTCCACGTCGTTGGGTTGCGCTATTGAAATGAAGTCTGACATCCCTTGCTGATACAGCATGGCTATTGCATACGCTCTGGAATGTCATCCGTATCACGCCTCCACATGGTCCCTGGGGATGGACTGGGCGCGTTTCCAGTCAAAGTGCAAATAATGTGATCAAAAGCTAAAGAAGAAAAAAGGTTTCCCAAGCTCGGATTGGGCTGGACGTGCATGAACTCTTCCGGATCACGGAGCAATCTCCCTTTCCATAGGAGATCAGTTCCTGAATCAATAGTGTCAATCTGTGTGTGGCGGACCCTGATTTCCATCCCTTGTTTAGACCCTGTCCTTTCTTCGGCTCTCTCCGACCGCAGTCCTAGTGTCTTGAATCTGGTCCAGCTTCTGACCTATAGATCCATTAGCGAGAGAGCGTCGGCATGAACTTCATTCCCAGAACCTTCAATGCAAACCTTGTGCCAGTCTGGTTCTGATATATCTGATCTCTATGCGCATCCATGCGCGCCCACCTTATTCCCTCACTACTGCGTTGTACTGTATTTGTGCAATGAGGAGTATTTGAATTGGCTGCTCGCGCTGCAAGATCTCGACGACCTCTTTGACACTGACATTTGACACTTGATACGTCTCGCCCTTGCGTTTCACCTTCATCATGGAAATTCCAAGGCCTGTTGAAGGGGATATTGATATTGGTATGTTTCATGGCGTCATGGCTGTGGATATCGACTGATGTTCTATAGGAACGGGAACGTTCGAGGCCTGCTGGGTATGTTATGAATGCTTGGCTCTATAGCGTAACTGCTAAAGTGACTGCTAACTTGCCTAGGTCCTGACGACCGTAGTCGGGGTGGCATTGTTGTTCCGCTATGCTATCAAAATCTGGGTTCGCTGGGCTTTGCCTCAGGTTACTGCGCCCGGGCGAGTCTGGGGCATTGAAGATCTATTCTTCCTTGTCGCGTATGGATTCGACGTAACTCATATGGCCTTCATTCAGAAGAGGTGGGCTTTCAATCTCACTACCTCGCTGCTAGTACTGACTCATCTTAGCGCTAATTGGGGCCTTGGTCGCCATTTCTTCTACTTGACAAACGAAGAAAGATCCCATGCTATGAGATGGGACTTTCTGTCTCAACCGTTGGCTGTCAGCTCAGCCATGATCTCCCGAACAGGCATGATGTGGTTTCTGTTGACTTGCTTTGCTGCAAGTGACAAAAAGATCCGCATTTCGATCATTGTCTGTGCCATTGTACAGGTTGTAGCCAATATGATCACTATTGTTCAGATTGTAGTGCAGTGCGGTCCAAACCCATACTATGTGGTTCGTATTCTTCATTCCGCTGTCTGCGTCAAACTAACGTTGTCTAGACGAATCGAGTACAATACTTCCATTACATGTGGACTCCCCTTCCAGAAGATGGCTCAGTCCAGTGCCAGTCACCCTCTGTCCAAACTACTATTGGCTTTGTGCAAGGAGGTAAGTTCTCAAATCTATCCGATCAAACTTCTTTCACTGACCAATCCAAGGATTCAACACCGTCATTGATTACTTCCTTGCAATTCTTGCAGCTGTAGAACTATGGCAGTTCTTCCTACGAACTCTTCACCGCAACCCTAACCTATCCTTCTGGTCCCAGTTTGGCAGGATCAGTGGCACTGTTCGATCCCGTCGTATCTGGCAAACCCTCACTCTCAGCGGACCACTACTTCTCTCTGGCTGTGCTTCTATTGTGAAGACATATGTAAGAGCCATACATCCAACGAATGATACAGCAGCTGATCCACCCCACTAGAAACTCAAGTCCCTCGGCGACAGAGCAGACTTCACCTACAACATTGTATCATTTATTCTGTGGGTAAAGTGAGTGTCCTCTGACCACCCAAACCATCAACGTCGACCCTATACTAAACCCCTCCCAGAATCGAAAACTACAGCATCCTACTCGCCTCTTGCGCTCCAGTAGCACGTCTCTTCCTCCGTTCGTTCGTGGACCACCGACGTGAAGGCCGCTCACACGGCTATTGGTCACGTTCTCGCTCCTCGGAAAACAAAGACCAAGACACAGAGTTAAAACGCCGTCGAGCTCGCGCCAAGGATCAGTGGCTCGACTCGTCGATGACGGGGACGAACATCGCGAATGACGAGGAAAACCCTGCTACTCAATGGGAGGGACATGATTATGAACGCTCTGAGAGTCGTGTTTCCAGGGCCAAAATGCCCGAGCATCTTGATGATGGGTGTGTTACGGTGAAAACTGATATTGTTGTTCAAGTTGATGATGGGAGGTCTACTTCTTCTGGTGGAGCGAGGTTATTACCTGATGGTGGCGAGGGGCAATCAGATCGATATCATTGATGTTTATGGATATGGATATGGATGTGGTTCTGTGGTATATATGTAGACCTTTTATAATTTAATACTGGATGAACAATGTTGGACAACATGCGATATATCCAGACTGGCAATGCAAGTAAGCCATGTGAAAATCCACAGCCTCAAGGTCTCGTATTAAAAAGTAGTTTGCAGTTCTTCATCCAGGTTCGCGATCGGGAATTCGGAGTTCTGGGTGAGTGTTGATGGAAAGCAACTTGATGGCACAGAAGCATTCCACTATCTCTAGATATAGTTGTTTGCCCGGAGTCGTTATCCATGAGGAAACACACTCTCTTCATCCATTTCACTCCTCGAAGCAAGTCATACGTGGAAACTTTTTTGACATAGCGTTTCAAATGAGACAGGACCTCCTGGATACATACGAGTAAGTGAATGTATCGCGGCAGCATAACTGACTCTGGGGGGATTCTTACTTTCACGTGAGAGATCTGAAAGATCTGACGTCGACACAGACCTTGGTCGGTCTAGATCAGCCATCTCGGGTCAGATTCCAGGGGGCTGAACTAAGGATACGAACTGTCATCGGAGCTATGAGAAAAGAAGAAGAATGGAAGATGGAAGAAAGAGAAAAGGATAGCAGAGAGGAGTGAGGAAAGGGAAGGGAAATGAAGAATGAGATCACAGCGATTGAAGTATATACATAGGTTAACTTTATCTCTCTCCTTAGATTCTTAGGTTTAAGTCACCGAGTCACTTTAATCAGTCTCGTTTAACGTTAATACTCAAGCCTCCATTTCAACGTATCAGAACAGTTTGCATATAATAATGTGATTACAGACACATTTTGACACTCGTTACTTAGTGAAAATAAAGGAGTACTTGACTATATCGCAACCAAGAGAACCAACATAAACATAAACAAAATGGCGCAGCCGACAAGCACAGCTGATGCAGATCAGCCTGGACATCTCCATCGGCTTGCCGATCTTTGACGAAACGCTGCAGCCTCACCAATAATCATCATCCGTCACACACATCCGGCTGTGTCAACGCTGTCAGATTCTTGGCAAATGACCTGGACAATTATAGCACACTTGTACCTCGTAGTCACTCAAAAAGAATTCGATCCAGGATTAGAGGCTGAGATATAAAGACCACAATTTGCTCTCACGAAGATCTCACAATAAAGTCACAGCATACTGAACTCCTGCAACCATGAACCGACCTAAACCACGCAAGCGCTTCTATACAGACCTAGCAACAGTCCTCATCCTCCTCTCGACCTTTGCTGGCGCTGTGACCCTCCAAACACAATTCGCTCTACCAGACACATGCAACGGCTCTCGCGCCCGGGCCCTGGTCGCCTACTCGTCGCAGTTCTTTCTCACGAGCCCGATAGCCGTCTTTGCGATTTTCATGTGTTTGCATGGCTATGACGATGATCAGATCATCGAGGCCGGGCGACACGAGTTTATTCAGTGCCAATTTGGATTGACCGGGATCATGATTATTGCAGGATTTCTGCTGTTGGATATTGCGACGCTTTTTACTGGTGCCAATTATTTGGGACCGGCTGGGACGGCGCTCATGGGTGTTTTTGTCCTGGGAACGGTGGCTTGGGGTATTGAGGATCATTTGCCCAAGGTCAGGGTTGGGAGAGATGATACGGAGGCTGTGCCTTTGCGGTCTGTCGATGAAACGGACTCTTTGAGGATATTCTTAGGATTAGACAAGTCTCAACCTATTCCTAAGGTTCGACTTGTGTCTCGATGGTCGATCTGTGGACTGGTGGTTCTGGAGGCAGTTGGCATTCTGACATTGTTTGGGCTGGGCATCGCCCAAACAGTGACAGCGTCGCCAGATGGCTGCGAGTTAATGTGAAATGAAGATAGACATGAATTTATGATACTAATGAGAAGTGAACTTGACTTGTAACTCATAGTTAAGTTAAAAAGTATCCTGGAAAGCGATGACATAACCATCACGTGCATTCATAAAGAGACGCGCAATCGACAGCTTCACACTTCAACAATGCCATCCAAGAGCTATCCTTATCGCCGGAGTTCAAATGCCTCGGAAGATGATTTCTTCGATATCCCCGACGAACCAGTTCTGTCAATAGCCAAGCGACAGCTCCGTCGCATTCGAACATGGGTCACACTCGCCATCCTGGTCCTGTTTATCATGTGGCTGCGCCGTGAACCACCTCCGCCACCACCTTTACCCCATATTCATTACGATGAGGTGGACTGGACACGTTATGCATATACCCAGTATGCCACCTCCGAGGTCTACATGTGCAATTGCTTGATGGTGTTTGAGGCATTGCATCGACTCGGGAGTAAAGCCGATCGCGTCCTGTTTTATCCTGAAGAGTGGGATCTCATTGTTGAAAGCGATACGGATCGCGTGAGCCAGCTATTGTTGGAGGCCAAACTTGAGTACAATGTGATACTCATCCCTACCAAGATCGAGGGGATCAAGGACCCATCTGGTGCGTTGGAATTGAAATTGGAATTGGAGATGCGCTTGCTCACTCCATGAAACACTCGTACTAACCATTCATTGAACAGGCGCTGGATCCGAGTCCTCATGGGATACCAGTAACACCAAGCTCCTGGCTTTTGGCGAATCCCAATACGAGCGAGTCATCCACCTCGACTCCGACGTGCTCCTGCTGCAAACCATGGACGAGCTCTTCTTCCTCCCTCCCACCACCGTCGCAATGCCTCGCGCCCACTGGCTCCTCCCAGAAGCCAAGATCCTCTCATCTCTCCTAGTCGTCATCCAGCCTTCCTATCACGAATACCTTATTGTAGCTGGTGCCGCGGAACCCGCACTGAACGGTCAAGTCAAGATGAATCTGACCGATCATCGGTATGACATGGAGCTATTGAATGAACTATACGGAGACTCGGCGATGGTTCTCCCGCACCGGCAATATGGGTTGCTCTCGGGCGAGTTCCGCGCCAAAGATCATACTCGATTCCTGGGAAATGACCACGAGCAGTGGGATCCCGATCGCGCGTTGGCAGAGGCCAAGTTTGTTCACTTCTCAGATTGGCCTATTCCCAAACCTTGGATCATGTGGCCGCAGGACATGCTGGCGCGGGAACAGCCCAAGTGCGACGAGAACCCTGGGACCGCGTCGGAGAGTGGATGTCGAGATCGTGAGGTCTGGAAGATGCTCTATGATAAGTATCGGAGGAATCGAAAGGTATGTCAATATGTCAACCCAAGGAGTTCGTCCGTCCTATGCTAATGCCTCACAGGAGATCTGTAAATTGCTCAGCTATCCCGCGCCGGTCTGAGCAAACCCTATTGTAAGAATATGAACTGGCATTTCTATATGATGTACAGTGCAAAATATAAATGACTTGATGATTCCAATGAAATAAACCAAAATGAAGGGATATCACAGAACATAACAGTAACGTACACCGAACCCATGCAATAAAAAAACATGCAAAGCATCACGCATACCCCATACCCCTCCTCCACCAATGCCACACTCCCCTCTTAGCCATAATACTACCAAACTCCTTAACACTGTCCACCTCATCAAGACCAAGCGCAATGCCAGTGCCAATCCCTGAGTCGTCATCTTTGTCTTTCTTATTGCCAATCTTAAGATCCCCCTCCCTTCCACTGGATGTATTTTCCCCGGAATCCGTTTCCACTCCCAAGACATCAGGCCTAGTAGCCAATTGAAAGTCCTTGTATCGCAACTTTCTCACCACATCCACCCACATCTCCACGCGATCCTTCCCCACACCCTCGACATACATGATGCCCGGACACCCGCCGGACCGGAGGAGCACGGCGCATTGGTGGGTGTCCGCGGCGCGTTTGAGGGCGGCGACCTTTTTGCGGGAGGTGATGTGGTGGGTGCGAATGAGGGCGTTGTAGAGCATTGAGAGGTATGCGCAGGTGCAGGAGTAGGAGTAGGAGTAGGTGTGAAGAAGTTGGGAGTGCGGAGCTGGAGCTCAAGCTCGAGCTCGGGAGAGGCTAATCCAGATTGGGAAGTGGGTATACCTACAGTATGCAAATGTCTTCTCCTTCTTCTTCTTGTCTTTTCAGTTCTTTTGATGCTATCAGTCTAAAGAGTCTAGATAGTCTATGAATCTAAATTCATGTAATCATATGATGCTCATATAATTTCTATTTCCATGTTCTCTTTGTCTTGAACAAGAGATACAATGCACTAGGCGAGGTCCACGTATCTGGTCATGGACCACTAGCATCAGCTTCACAGCCTATGATGTCTCGAACTGCCTGATATAATATCTTTTCTTAGCATCTATAAAACCCTACAAATGGCCAGATGAAGCCCTTCAAGCCAGCGAAGTATGGAACTAGACGCTAAACTACTTTGGGGGAAGTGCACAAAAGTACGCGGCCGTGCGTGGAATGAAGTCCGCGAAATGCGCGGGAGGCGCAACTTATGATCTTTTCGCTCAGTGTCTTCCGTACTGTACATGTACAGTAGACCAACCCCAACCCTAACCTTGGCCAGGAACGAGTCTAGTTACCCTGGCCAAGCCCTATGCAAGGCCTCGTCGGTGGAGCTGCAGAGTGCCTTTGCAGTGCGGGGGGACTGGCGAACAGGCTCGAGACTCGGACTATTGTTGAGTCGAGACTATATGTATGAGACGCTAACGTCATGTCCATAAGCCTTAGGGTTTTAGGGCTTACAATTGCTTCCTCTCCTAGGGCTGTACAGTACACTATAGTATGAGTCAGCCCCAATAATATCAAAGACAATAAACACCCAGCCCTAACTAGATCAAGAATCTAGACTCCATACAACTCAGTCCCGTAGAAACAAAAGTACACGAGTTAGCCGCACAAAATCAAAGTAAAGCTTGGTTCCGATCCGAGGTTTCGCCAATGAACAACCAGATTTAGAGTGGACTGTGGCCGACGGACTGGTGGATCATCCTCTCCTCTTGGCTTCCCTTTTTTGCTAAACTATCGCGCGGTGGCCGCGGAATCCGCCAAAACCAAAGTCCAGTGCCATGTTTTCGCCATATATCTGCCAAACTCGGGGAAAAGATTGAAGACCCTCGTGGACACGCCCCCAGACCAACATATGATTGGTGCTATTACGTCCGAGGTGCATCAGATCTGCCTGCTGGGTCCATAGACGTTCTTTTTGCTTTTTTCAGCTCCGTTCGGATTGGCCCATGTTGCTGGTCTTAGTTCCGTGAAGGCGTCGCAGCTTGGCTGCCATTTTGGTCGGATGAGACACTCGGGGATTTGTTCTTATAAATATCATTCTTCGCTATTTCGCTGCTCTTGCAATAACTTCAATAAACATATCATGTTGTGGTTGGAGACTCTAACTTGCTTGTTATAACATTCATCCAAGGGTCGATATGCCCGCGCCTCTTCACCCTCACCCGCAACCGAAGCATACGGCTTCCTTTGCTTCTAGTTCTGCTAACAATGGCCCATCGAGAGTGCAGGTCTCACATGAAGATGAGGACGCCATTGCGGATATTCATCAGACCTTGACAGAGAAGAGTCTTTCACATCCACAGTACCCAGAACCGCATTCCTCCTTCGACAAGTTCCTCGAGGAACAAGTTCAGGGCAGGAAACGTTCCAACCTTGGTGTTTGCTTCCAGTCTCTCTCAACGTGGGGCGAGGGAGATAGCCATGTCGATATCAAGACGCTCGGTACCGCACTCTGGCGGACTTTGACGATGCAAGATATCTACGAGTGGACTCTGCAGCCGTGGATCACGAAGAAGAATCCCGTCGATGGAAGACAACTAATCCGTGATTTTTCCGGTGTGGTCGAAAGTGGCGAAATCATGCTGCAAGTCTCCAACCATCTGATAAGTTAATCAACAAAGCTAACCAGCGTACAGTGTCCTCGGACGACCCGGTGCAGGCTGTTCGACATTTCTTCGCACCATCGCCGGCCACCACTCCTCCTTCCTGGGTGTGACCGGTTCAATCGACTACTCCGGTCTCAGTCCGGAAGAGGTCCGAAAGCACTACCGCGGTGCGGTAGCATACGTCCCCGAAGACGATGTGCATTTCCCAACGCTGACAGTGCGTCAGACTCTCGAGTTCGCCTTGCAGAGTAAAACACCGAAGCGGTACCGAGACCGCATCCCCCGGTATCTCGAGATCTACGGCCGCGTCTTTGGAATGACGCATACCATGAACACGTTGGTGGGCAATGAGTATATCCGCGGTGTGTCTGGTGGAGAGCGCAAGCGGATCTCCATTATTGAATCGCTGGCAAGCGATTCCTCGGTGGCATGCTGGGATAACTCGACTCGAGGATTGGATGCGTCTTCTGCGCTGGATTATGCCCGCAGTTTGCGCATCATGACCGATACCTGTGGAAAGGCGACCTTGCTCACTCTCTACCAAGCGTCTGATGCTATCTACGAGCTGGTCGACAAGGTGCTTCTCATTGATGAAGGGCGCATGCTTTACCAGGGTCCGGCCAATGAGGCAAAGCGCTATTTCGAAGATCTTGGCTATGAATGCGCGGATATGCAGACGACCTCGGACTTTTTGACTAGCATTACTCTCCCGGAGCGTCGACGCTTCCGTTCTGGGTGGGAAGATCGTGCCCCGAAAGGTCCGATCGAGCTCGAGGCTACGTTCCGTCAGAGTACTGCATTCGCCAAGATCGAGACTGCAGTGACAAGCTATGAAGATCAGAAGTGTGGTAGAGCCTCTGGTGCATCGGACTCGGAGTGTGGTAGTATCGAAGAATTCAAGAAGAATGTACAGAGTGACAAGTCACGCTTTGTTTCTTCCAATTCGCCGTATACCATTTCCTTGTTCCGGCAAGTTGTGCTTTGTGCGAAACGGCAGATGTGGCAGTTGAAAGGACATCTCAGTCCGCTATACATCAAGTTGATCTCGTGTGTCGTCTACGGGTTGTTAATTGGGTCCATGTTCTACAACTTGCCTCAAACAACCGAGGGTATGTATGCCCGAGGAGGTGTGCTATTCTATTCATCTATCTTGCTCGCCTGGTTGCAGATGTCGGAACTGGAGGAAGCTATGCAAGGTCGAGATATTCTCAGCCGACAGAAGAAACTCGCTTTTGTTCGACCCAGTGCTGTCTGTTTAGCTCGAGTTCTTTCCGATATGGTTATTTCTGCTCTTCTCACCTTCTTGTACCTGATTGTGATGTACTTTTTGGCCGGTCTTCAATCAAACGTGAGTGTCAAACGGTTTGCTAAAGAATATCCCACTAACAGCGGTACAGGCCGGTGCATTTTTCATCGATTTCCTCCTCATCTACATGTGCACGATCTGTCTTACTGCGCAATTCCGCGTTTTCGCCGCATTGTCCCAGAACTTCGAAGTCGCTCTTCGCTACTGCGGCGTCTCTGTGTTGTTCTGCATCGTTTTCGGTGGCTATGTTCTGTCAGTCGATAAAATGATTCAAGACGTACCCTGGGTCGGATGGATCGCGTATACGACTCCCGCTCTATACACCTACGAGGCTGTTATGGCTGCTGAATTCCACAATATCAATTTCACCTGTGCCACTGGGTCTATTGTTCCAGCAGGTTCTGAATATACTAATCTTGCGTATCAGACTTGTGCATATGCTGGCAGTCAGATTGGCAGTACTGTCGTCAATGGTGATGACTACCTAGCTGTCAAGTATGGATTTTACTACAGCAATGTTTGGCGCAACTTTGGAATTCTCTGTCTTTTCACCATTGTTTTCATTGGTCTCACTTGCTGGTTGAGTGAAGTTCTTGAATGGGAATTGGACAGTGCCGGACCGATTCAATACAAGGGGTCGCCGAAGCTGCTTAAGCGGAAGAACAGCACCCAGTCTGACGAAGAGAAGACTCCTGTCTCGGTCGATCCCAGGGCGCCCCCTGCGGGTTATGACAGCAAGCCTGAGCAGACCATCACAGCCACAGAATCTACCTTTACCTGGTCTGATCTTGAGCTCAATGTTCAAATCGGGAAAGAAAGCCGGAAGTTACTGGATGGTGTGAATGGTTACTGCAAGCCAGGGACTTTGACTGCTCTCGTTGGTGCCTCGGGAGCAGGCAAGTCGACATGTAAGACCTTCTCCGAATGACTTGAAACACAGTAACTAACCACTTCCAGTGTTGACTGCACTCACCCAAAGAGAAAGCCCCGGGACCTTGTCTGGATCATTGTTCGTGGATAACCACCCAATCAACCAATCGTTCAATCGACAAATCGGATATTGCCAACAAATGGATATCCACGACGAAAGCAGTACTATCCGCGAAGCATTTGAATTCTCTGCCCATCTCCGTCAAAGTAGTGAAGTTGCAGAAGCAGAGAAGCTATCTTATGTGCAAACAGTGCTTCACACGTTGGACCTGGTCGAGTTGCAAGACGCTATCATTGGATCACTGGACATCGAAAAGAAGAAGCGCGTGACAATTGGAGTAGAACTATGCGCCAGACCCAAGCTGCTTCTATTTCTAGATGAGCCTACAAGTGGACTTGACAGTCAAGGCGCGACTAGTATCGTTGCTCTTCTTCGACGTCTGGCAAACCAGGGATTGGCGGTTCTTTGTACCATCCACCAGGCTAACCAACAGCAATTCGAAGAGGTATGCATGCATGCCCCCAGTGACCCCCAACATTGATCAGGCTAACAACTACAGTTCGATCGTGTCCTTGCTTTGAGTCCCGGTGGCACCACATACTACTTCGGACCAGTAGGCAAATCTGGCCATGCAATCTTCGACTACTTCAAAAAGCACGGAAATATCCCAGAGAAAGTCACAAACGCAGCTGATTTCCTCATTGAGGTAGTCGTCGATGGTATGAAATCTTCCGGAAACCAAGTAAGCTGGGCATCTGTCTGGCGCGAGTCGGAAGAATGCAAGGAAGTCAAGAATATGATTGCCTCCATTCGATCCGACAAAACTCGTGCACCATCTTCAGCACCATGCCCCCCATCTCTCGGCCGCCAAATCAAACTCCTTACCCAACGAACGTGCCGCCAATTCTGGAGAACGGCTGAATATCCCTACTCTCGTCTCTACGCCTCTTTCCTGCATGCCCTTATCAACGGTCTTACATATCTTCAGATTGGGAATAGTGCGACAGATCTGCAGTCAAAGGCTTTCTCCTGCTTCTTGGTTCTGATGCTGGTTCCTGAGTTTATTAATGCCATTTCCATGCGGTTTATTCTCAACCGGGATATTTGGCTAGCAAGGGAAGGCCCCAGTGGTGTATACAGCTGGGTTGCTTTCTCTACCGCGCAGATCGTTGCTGAAATCCCCTACGCCATCATCGGCGGAGTGGTTTTCTTCGTTTTGTATTATTTCATGGTTGGATTGCCGCTTGGATTCGCTGCGGGATATAGCTTCCTCATGTTCTTCCTCTTTTTCTTATTCGCTACCTCTTGGGGACAGTGGATTGCTGCTATGAGGTGAGTTTGCCAGTCTTCTTTTCCAAGCTTGTTCACTGACACAATATTTAGTTCTGACTCCTTGGTTGCTGCGACACTCATGCCATTCTTCATTATCATGGGCGAGCTCTTCAATGGTATTCTCAGACCACATGAGCAGATGCCTGCCTTTTGGAAATATACCATGTACTACGTCACGCCGTTCACCTACTGGGTTGGAGGTGTTCTCACATCTGTCCTGCGCGGCACCGAAGTTGTCTGTACTCAAAGCGAGTTGACCTTCTTTGAGAGTCCACCGAATAGGACATGCGGTGACTATGCAGGCTCTTGGCTTGATACTAAGGGCGTTGGGTACTTGTCCAACCCCGATGATTTTGGACGATGCGGGTATTGTGAATATAGTTATGGTGACGATGTGAGTTTCTCTCCAGGACCTGGTATTTTCTATGCCTGGATTTCATACTAATATTGCTACAGTATCTCTCTGGCATTGGTCTTGACTCTTCCAAGATCTGGCCGTACTTTGGCATTTTCCTTGGTTTCACGGTGGCAAATTACTTGATGGTGTATGCGCTGGTCTACATACGCTCGGTAATGAAGCCTTTCTGGCGATCAAAGTAAAAAAAAAAACCTGGGCGGGTACGCATCTATTTTGACCTAAGCATAGCGTTGCGAACACGAATGTATATCATAAGTCGAATTTTGAGACATATAATGAAAGAGTGGTGACCAACAAAGTTTATTTTCACATTGAGGGATCAGACCCCTGTTTCTTTTAAGCATCTTAATAGGCTCTTAGCCTGCTTCTCCCCCATTCTGCTCCATTCTGACTCATTTGAAGCCTTTGAAATCCACAAAACTTGGCTTTTCTTATCAATCAGTTCGGAGTTAAGCACACTTGCCTAATGCGGTATCCCCGAGACCGGAGACTACTCCTTCCAGCATCGCATCGACTTCGACCTTATACAACCAGCGTCCTCGAAGCTTGTTCTTCAATTTCAACTTCTGTCAACTCGCTTCGGCTCTCACATTGTCGCCTTTGATCCTGGGAATGGCCACGTTGCTCGAAAGTCTTGAACTTGCCCCCCCGTCTCACGCGCATCACTAGCGTCATCGCAAGGCTACCAACAAAAAAAAAAAGCAATTCCCATTTCACTACTGTTACAATGGAAAGCGATGCAAATTATTATCAAGATCCTCCTTCACCGGAGAATACAGAGGCACCAGCACCTCAGCGACGACGTCGCCCGCCCCTGTCTTGTACGGTGTGTCGCAGGCGTAAACTAAAATGCGATCGCTCACTTCCATGCGGGCAATGCCTTCGCTCCAAAACACCACACGAATGTGTCTTTGTGGGACCTAAACCAGGTCCTGCAGAGACACAGCATATGTCGCCACCTACATCAAAGCGAGCTACTAACGAGACAGAACGCAAAAGTGGCATGTTCGTTTTTGACTCGAAGTTGGGGGCCACTTCGTCGAGGGGTACGAAACGTGCGCGGCCTGATGAGCTGCATGAGCTCCGAAATCGGCTGCGCACATTGGAGAACTCTGTCGGCAGGCCTGCTGTCCTTCAAACGCCTGAGACGTCTATTGGTGACGTGTTCTCTCCCTCTGAGGAGGGGACCGCTAATAGTTCGGAAAATGTGGGTGTCGAGGACCGCGTGCGATACTTACCTGATTCGAGTTTTCGAGGGAAAAAAGCCAAGACGAGATATTTTGGTCGCAGTCATTATACAACGACTGTTTCATTTGTGAGCAACATACCGGGACATGTGAGAGTCGTGCTAACGGAATGTAGTTCCAGGATATTGGTTGCTTTTTGCGCCGTGGTCGCGGATGTCGACAAGGTAAAGACCAGGAGTATAATGAGATGAAAAAATTCAAGACCGAGCTTTGGTCGCGCGAGACGCAGGATCACCAGCGCGCGTTCCGTGAACAGCCGTTCAACTTGCATGAAATGGTGCCATCGCGACAGGTCGCAGATCACCTACTACAGCTCTATCTAGATACATTCGAGACGACATATCGCATTCTACATACTCCGACCTTTTTAAAGCAGTATGCCGACTACTGGGCAGGCACCGAGCCACCCGAAGCGGCATTCCTGGCCCAGTTACTAGCTGTGATGGCTGCCGGGAGCTGCTTCTACGTGCCGATACCAGGCCAAGACGAGCGAGATGTATTCCAGAGACCAGCTATGACATGGATCATGGCTGTGCAGTCTTATATCTCATGCACATTTGTCAGTCCGGAGATAGATCTGCGAATGTTGCAAACACAATGTCTTCTTCTGGTGGCTCGTCTTGGAGTCGCAAGTGATGGCGACGTAGCCTGGGCATCTATGGGGTCGCTCATTCGATCTTCAATGACTATGGGACTCCATCGCGATCCGGCACGTTTCCGCAAATGCACTCCCTTTTATGCCGAGCTACGGCGTCGGCTATGGGTTACGATTGTCGAGCTAGATCTCAAAATCTCTCTTGACCGTGGAGTCCCACCATCCGTTGATCTGGATGAGTGCGATTGTGATCTACCGTCTAATTGGAACGACGCAGATCTAGTACTGGACATGGAGCAAAATCCAGCGCCTCTCAGCACTGCGCTTTACACGCAAAACTTTTACCAGACTCTGTTAATGAGGACTCTGCCATTGCGTTATCGTATCGCCAGGAAAATCAACACCCTGCGATTTAATTTGTCTTACGATGATGCCTTGAGAATGGGTGACGTGCTATCTCGCAGCATGCAGAGCGCATCATCCTTATTCGAAGACAACGCACCTAGTACATTACCCGAAGAAGAAACTCGCCACCAATTTGCCCAATCTCTACACCTTTTTATAATGCGCAAATTTCTTCTCGCTCTGCATCGTCCCTTTTCTCTCAGTGTCGTCCGACTGCCCAAATGCTCTTTCTCGCGCAAAGTCTGCTTGGAGGAATCGCTCGGTATAATCTCGCAGATGGAGCTCCCACTTTCACTTGAGGATATCCAATATCCGCATATTACACAACTTGGCAGCGGGATGTTCCGCGATGAGACATTCCACGCTGCAGTCACAGTCTGCGTGGAGTTATCACTCCAAGCAAACGAAATGAGGAATTCTACTTCGTCAGGAATGGACGGTGTGAACTCTAGCGTTTTGATGAGTATGGTTCAATCACAGCAAGGCGTTATGATGCAGGCCGTCGAACGGACAGCTGATAACTTCGGGAGACGAATCGGTATCGGCGGCAAGGGATCTAAGCCATTCTTTTTCTTGAACATCATCATAGCATCTGTCAAGTCCCGCGTCAAGGGCGAGGACCCCTTGTGCAATGTTGAATCTGCCGCAAAGAGAACGGTTCGGATTTCTCGGGCGTTGCTGGATGGGGCTTCATATCGTGATGCTCAGATTATGGTGGACACTCGACCGGTTCAGGTTAGTATCTCCAGCTATGACTATTTACCAGTCATGTCTAATCTGTTCATCCAGACGCCCATTCCTTCGGGTACCACTCCTATATCTGGGACACCGAGTGATATTGACCCTTCCTCCTTGTTATCCACTGACTTCAGTGACTTCACAGTAAGTATTCTCACTCTTCAAATAGGACCTTCAAAGTGATACTGACCGTCGCAGCCAATGGACCTAGGAGGTTGGTTCGACACATTGGATTATACCGGCCCAGAAATGTGGGATGTCGAGCTCTTCAAAAGTGTCCCAACATTCCCCTAAGTCGCCTGCAACCTCGCAAAAGGGTAAAAAGAAAAAAAGAAAAAGACTAAAATGCTGAACATTATATCGGTATATCGTTCTATGGGTATGGAGTATGGCAGGTTTGATTTGAGATATCCCATTGTATATATAAAACTCCCCTATCAATAAACAACCACGCATGGTTCCAAACTATCAGGCTTTAGCCATTTCCATTTCTTTGCCCAACTCCCTCGCAACAACCTGCGTACAAGGCTTATCTTCACACATCGTCCTCGGGATCATGACATGACTCTGCAGTAACCTGTCGCAAGAAATTAGCCAACCCATTCATTCATTCCAATCCGAATCAACAGAAAGAGAATACTCACGCTTGATATCGCTGGATATTCTTCATCTCCAACTCCGCTAACGCCCTCAACGCCGCCTGGATATCCTCAACCAAAGTCTCACACCGACCCAAGCTAAAGTCTTCCCTGACAACAACACGCATCATGCCCATCGTCTCACAGTCAGCTGCCATAGTATACGCCGGAACAATCCAGCCCTTCTCACGCAATTTACGAGACAGCGCCCACTCATCGAAGAAGACGTTTTGTGTGGGGTTTAACCGGAACGCTACCACCGGAAGGCCGTGGCCACCTCCTTCACTCATGATGATGAAGCCGAGGTCTTTCAGATGCGTTGTCAGATGATCTGCTGTTCTGGTAAGGTTTGCCATGATCGCGGTGTATCCGCTTCGACCCAATCGGATGAGTTGGTAGTATTGAGCTATGATGTGGGAGGCTGGTTTGGAGAAATTCAGGGTGAAGTTCAGCTGGTCGGCTCCGAGATAGTTGATATTGAATATCAGGTCTTTTGGGAGTTCGGACGGAGAGCGCCAAAGAGCCCAGCCGATGCCGGGGTATACCTGATGAATTGTTAGTCGACAGGACAGAAGAACAAGTTCGTGGTTTGCAGTTGCAAACTAACTTACCAGTCCGTATTTATGTCCGGAGACATTAATCGAGACGACGTTTGAGAGTTGGAAATCCCACTGTAACTCAGGATCGATAAAGGGAGCCACAAACCCTCCACTGGCGGCGTCTACATGGATAGGCGTTTCGAGGCCTCGCTCGAGGAGAAGGTCGTTGATGGCTCGCACATCTTCATACTGTCCAGTGTATGTAGTGCCCAAGATGGCGCAGATACCAATTGTGTTCTCGTCGACCAGATCGACGGCTTGAATGGGATCAATGACATAGCGTGTTTCGGTGCATGGGACGAGTTTCTCGTGGATGTCGAAATACTTGCTGGCTTTTTCCAGCACAGCTGCACGCCTGTACTCATGATGATGTTTGGGCTGGAGGAATCCTTTCCTTGGGCTTTGCGGTGATTCTCCCATTTATTTTTCATGGCTAGCACTGCGAGCATGATGGCTTCTGATGATCCAATGCATGATGTACCGACGGCTGTTGGGGACCCGTTTGATAGAGGAGAATGGAATAGGTCGGCTAGGATGTTCAGACATCTGTTTTCGATTTCCACGGATTTGGGATATTCTTCGTGGTCAATGATGTTCTTGTTGGCTGATTCGGCGAGGAGTCGCAGGGCTTCGTCTTCCATGTAGGTGGTCACGAAACTGGCCAGACTGTTGGATGCGAGGTTAGTTCACAGATCATACCTCGTGCTTTCAACGCGATTACGTACTTCAGCATTGGCTGGCCGTCAAGGACAAGATCGTCTTTGATCAGCTGGTAAGCTATATCCTTTGGCATTTCTTCGTCTGGAAGTCGCTGGGATGGCATAGATCTGGCGGCATAGCGAGAACCGTAGACATGAGAGCAATCGCTCTTGGTGGTAAGGGTAGAGAGTTGTGCTATTGAGCCCATTTTATGGATGAAAACGAATTGAGTAATTGAATACAGACTAAATCGACTGCAAGTGTCCTATTATATAGCCCTACCTTCTCGCCTGGATCGTCGAGCCCTGGAAAATCTCTCATAGTAAGTAGCCTGAAGCCGTGGTGGAGCATGAGGGATTTTGCTGCAAGACATCTCGATCAGGACTATTGTAATAAAGGGGTCATTACGCCATCCTAGACCTGGAAGTGATCCATTCCACTCAGGTTACTGATCCCGGGGGAGCCATCCTATTATATCTGAACATATGGATTCGCAAAAGGGATCACGATGACTTCAAGAACCTAAGTCTATCAAAATCTCTTGGCAAGGTAGGCCAAGACCTTCCAGAAAGCATTGGCATCGTGAGAAATGGGCTGGTCAATGTTTCAACTCCTAGCTACACAGGCTCCAGCATTAGCAGTGCATCCTTGCCATCCCTTGTTCCAAATTTAGAGCATTCTACTCCTGGATTGTTAACATGACGATGCGGGAAAGATTTCATACGTGTACACCGTACAGCAGCCTGTAAATACCAGGCTTGCCAATAAGTAAGTTTGCGCCTCTTGCGAGGCATGCATATCCACTTCATATTTGTGTTTGTTGCCCCTGTAGATCCCGCTGGCGCGTAGTCCGCAAGGAACCGTCCAGCCGTACGACCAAGCTTCTCGGGAGCGTCGATCCCGATGCGCCAAGGGCTAAATAGATGATAGGCAGAGGGTTATTACTGGCTGAACTGTATGTACTATTTAAAGACAGATGTCGTGGCGCCTATGATGACGAGCCTAGAACCATGACACCTTAGCGCTGTCAATCCCTTAGATTGATGCATAAGAATGTCACTTGGGATTTATTCAACAATTACTCTGTACTTTATAACCAACCATTCATGTCTGCGGCTTCGATGGTCAGATCTATCACAATTACATGTGTTAACCGATACATGCAGTGCGTGGAAGTACCACCTCTTCCACCAACAGTGTTATCTATGACACGTAACCAGTGACTCTGCAAGGGATACATGCAGTTGGCGGTTGTGGCACTCGATCACGATAAGAATCCCTGAGTGGCCAAAGCCCAGGGAGCATTCCCCAGCACGAAATTGACATAATGGCGGCATTCGCGCAATTCGCAGTGGCATGGCCCATATCAAGTTCCGACCCTGTCCTTTGGGATAGTCAACGTCAGCTGGCCCAAATCACCACCCTTTTCTGGCACAAGAACAATCTCCAAAGACAGTGCCATATTCCAGCTGCATGGAGAGCAGATATCCCTCGTTTCTAGCCAGAATTCATCGACTTGGCTCTTAGTTCTTCGCGGCTGCGGGAATAGGATGCTTCATCCGATTTTGGATCTTAGTAGTGTGAATGTTGTCCTTGCGTTGTCAGGTGAGACCGTTGCATATTACGCAGCGCATGAGGTGATCGACTGACCGATCCAGGAATCTACATTTTGGTCTTTGGATTCATTGCTGTGAAGATCAAACAAAGATGGTACCTCGGTGAAGCACGTATGTATTGCACATCCTTGCCAAAGAACAGATACTGACCTTGTACAGTACCATCATTTATAGTTGGCGCTATCATTGGACCGTTTTGTGCTAAATTCATCAACGTGGGCCAATGGACTGGCAACTCTGGAAATGATGTCGGTGACATAGCCTATGTAAGTATCCACAACTACGAGCGTAGATACCAGAGCTAATACTGTAATGACAGGGCTTGAGCCGACTAGTGATTGGTATCGGAATGGTCAAAGTTGGCTATGAGCTACCAAAGCGATATCTTCGGCTTCGCCTGGTCGAGCTCACCATCTGTTTACTGCCTTTGATGACCATTCAATGGTTGATCACATCAGCATGTATCAAGCTCATGATTCCTCAGTTGAGTTTTGTACGCGATGTGGGTTCCTTTCAATAGCAGCGTGCTGACTTCGCCCAGTTGACTTCACTCATAATCGGATCTTGTGTGATATGTATCGATCCCGTACTGTCGCAGGCTATCGCCAAAGGCCCTTTTGCAGATCAATACGTCCGAAGACATCTTCGAGAATTCATCTCAGCGGAAGCAGGAGGGAATGATGGCTTCGGATTTCCATTTCTTCTCCTCTCGATTGCGCTCCTTCGTTATACCGATACACCGCCAGGTGCAATGAGCTCCGTCCAGACAGACCCCACGACACAGAAGCGAGATTGGATTGGAGAGCCTGATACTGGTCGGTTTGGTGGTGATGTCAATCGGGCATTGGCTCACTGGGCCGTTGAAGGCGTTTTATACATGCTGGTCATGGGCGCTGGGTACGGTGTACTTGTTGGATTCTTGAGTCGGAAAGCGTTGAACATTGCTTCAAAGAGGTACATTACAATGATGACGGTGAAGTTTGACATATTGACTGATTAATGGTAGGCGATGGGTCGACAAGGAGAGTTTCGTTTTATATCCCGTTGCTATCGGAGTGAGTGATGCCTTCTCATGCTAGACTTTTCGCCCACTAACAAGATACAACCGTAAGTTATTTATTGTTGGCACATGCGGCTGCTTTGGTTCCGACGAGACTCTCGCCTGCTTCGTTGCCGGCTGCGCTTTGAATTGGGACGGTTTGTACCATTTCGAAATTGAAGAACGACATGATTCTTTCAATTCTGCGATTGAAAACGTCTTGAACATTGGGACATTCATGTTCCTCGGTGTTATCATGCCCTGGGATCAATTCCATATGCCGAGTCAGAGTGGGATCACCATTGCCCGACTAGTCGGACTGGGATTCTTGATCTTGATATTCCGTCGCATCCCAGCGATCATGATGGGATATCGATTCATGCCCAAGGTGTGCAATGATTGGAAAGAGGCCTTGTTTATGGGTTATTTTGGGCCTATTGGTAAGTTCACGGACTGATTGTTGTATGGATGACACTGACAACTTAAGGAATTGGCGCGATATCATATGTAGAGTATGCCCGCCGACTATTACCCGATCCCGGACAAAGTGATGCTGAGATCAACATCTTGACTTCGACCATGATTCCCGGTAAGACGAGTTCCCCGCTTCTCTTAGCTCCTCTCATTCGTGCAATCTAGTGGTTTACTGGCTGGTCTTTTTCTCCATCGTCATCCACGGGCTATCCATTCCAGTCCTGAATGGTCTCTATAAGTGGTTCAGGGTTCCCATCATCAAAGACCACCCAGTGGAAATAATCCTGCTCTCTGAAAACGAACCAGTTCCGAATAATAGCGTGGTCGATCGCCAAGGCCACTCGATTGTGCTGAATAACCGATTCTCTTGTGCATCCGGTCATCGTCAGTCAGATGATGACAATAATCAAGAGCCAGATATCATCATGTTACGACGCAGTGGAGACACAGATTATACGGGCTCGCTGGAACGAGACTCCACCAAGGCGTCTTCGCGGGAGCTGGAGCGGACGATATCCGTGAAAAACGTGGTATAGATCTTCGTTTTGTACATACCACATAGTTATGAAGAATTTATGATCAGGTTTAAAGCGACAATTTCTATGTACGCAGCTCTCGGAGTATCGAGCTTCCGCTTCCGCTTCCGCTTAGTCGTTCGGATGTGGAGTTGATATCTTCGGATATACGCTGGAAATGCGGAGGAATACGTGTGGACGGGAAGTAAAGGCGCGTATATTGATCGCTCTATATAAACCCCTCTCTTTTCTCTCCCGTGATAATCAGTATCTAACAAAATGGCTTCTCCAGACTTTGAAACAGCGTGGAAACAACTCCCTCATCCTGCCAATCACCCGGCTTTTCGCTACAATGGATTCCATCCAGGCCGCATTACAAACCTCCCCAAAGGCCATGTCAAGAAAGCAGGATTTCAAGCGTTTCCCGTAGATGTGACCTGGGAGCAAGACTGTGCGATTATTATGCGCGATGGGATCAAGCTCTACGGGGATGTCTTCCGACCGAGCCATGCAGACAAAGTGCCCGCTATTATACCTTACAGTCCGTATGGAAAGGTTGACTCGGGAATTTTATCCTATGATATCATGGGCCCCTACCGTATAGGAATCCCATACCAGCGTCTGAGTGGGTATGAGACATTCGAAGGTCCTAACCCTGCTGAGTGGGCCGAGCGTGGATATGCAGTTGTGGACATTGATGCTCGGGGCTGCGCGCATTCCGAGGGAAATGTCGTTTTCTGGGGTCAGCAGGAGGCAGAGGATATCTTTGATTGTATTACTTGGGTCTCTCAACAGTCGTGGTGCAATGGATCAGTTGTTCTAGCGTGAGTCTTTGTCAGAATGTACGTATATCCAGTATCGAGACTGATTGAAGCACAGTGGAAACTCGTGGCTCTCTATTAGCCAGACCAACTTCGCCTCTCGGCTTTCTCACCCAGCCCTGAAAGCAATCGCTCCATGGGAAGGTCTTTCAGATCCATATACTCAGCAAAACTGCCGTGGTGGGATCCCCAATCCATTCTTTTTGGATATGATCACAAGCGCATTTGCCGGTCCAGCCAAAGTAGAGGATCTGGGGAAAATGCTGCAAGAGCATCCATTGTATGATGCATACTGGCAGAGCAAGAATATCGATACCAAGAATATTCGTGATCTCCCGGTATACTTCACAGCCTCTTACTCAACGGGCCTCCACTCAGAAGGATCTTTCGGTGGATTCCAAATAGCATCTACTCCTAAGAAATGGATTCGGATTCACAATTCTCAGGAATGGCACGACATCTACACTGTCGCAGCGAACGACGACCTGCAGCGCTTCTTCGATTTCTACGCGAAGGGTATCCAAAACGGCTGGGAAGAGGACACTCCCCCAGTCCGACTCACCTTGCTGGGCTTCGAAAATAGCCCAGCAAAAACAATTGTCGAGCGACCTGAGGCACAGTGGCCTCCCGCAAGCCTGAAAATGGAGAAGTACTATCTTGACGCTACCACCAAGTCCCTCCGTCATTCCAAACCAGACGCCGTCGCCACAGCAGCACATGAAAGCCACTCTTTGACCGACTCCTCGGACTTCAGCATGATGTTCCCCGAGTACACAGAGCTCTCCGGACGACCATTCGTGAAACTCTTCATGTCCGCCCCCTCGCATGATGATCTTGATGTCGTCGTGCAGATTCGCAAGCTCTCTGCCACTGGAGAAGTCCTCGAGTCTCTCAATTGGTCTCCCATGCCACAACCCCAGCCAGAAGTGCCCAATATAAATGTCGCCAAGCATCTCGGTCCCCAGGGCATGCTGCGTGCATCTCATCGCGTGAGTATGGTCCCGCGATGCAATGAGGACGAGTATCCGTCCTATGACCACCGTTCTCGGCAAGCAATTACGCCGGGTGAAATTGTGGAGCTACTTATTCCCATTTGGCCCATGGGAGTGGTGTATGAAGCAGGCGAGGGATTAGTGCTGAAGATCGCAGGCCATGATATGGCGCTGCCAGAGACTGAGTCGTTGAGACCGACTGAGCCTCGCGATGAGAATAAGGGACAGCATATTGTCCACACCGGCGGAGAATATGATAGTTATCTCGTTCTTCCGCGCATTGCATAGTGGCCGGGGAAATCTTTTGAATATTTGACAATCCCAATCTTGACAGGAAACCCCAGAACGCCATGAGAAAGTTATGCCATGGAGCTTATAGATCATTTCAAACATCCTAATTAAAGCCCTCCTCTAGCCATTGTGACATCTCCATAGCAAAACAAGCACGTATTGTCCACGTCAAGTCTCGCGTCGACCTGGAAATCTAGTAAAATGTCACTACGGTCGCTCAGTTACTTGGCGTGTAGTCCAATAGAGCAAAAAGAAGAAAAAAAAACATACAACAGTAAGGATTCGCTAGTGGTCACCCACCTAACTACTAACTTACCGGCGTGTGGCTTATGTGTAGTTAGTAGTTGGGTGGGTGTCGCCCGGGTGAGTTTAGAGTGAGGGCCGCTTTAATGTCGCGCGACCAGGGGTGAGAGGCTGGGTGAGAATCACGTAAGTCGCGCGACTAGTGCACTGACCTGTTACGCACTGCTAGCGGGTCGTCGCTATGTTAGAATATTTCCTGGGTTATACTTGCCTGTCGTGCTGACTTCCAACCTCAACGATCTGTCTCTCAACCGTACCGTTGCCTAACAGGCCTTATACGGGCTAAGTCCTTTTGAGGGTATCGAGGAGCGATGCCAAGTAGAGCGCCGAGTCAGTCTATACAGAGGTATAGGCCTTCCCGTGGTGTTGTCAAGTTATAATCAAGTTATACGAGTCACAAAGGTTTCTGAACAGTAGACACAAGTAACAATGGATGATTGAACACGAAGAACTAAACTAGATAGATGAGGTCCTACATATATATCCCGAGTTCTTCCTGTAGATGAGTAGAAAATAGAACAGTAGAACTGTTCTACTCGACGACTGTCTACCGTTCTACTACTTGCATGATCACGTGGTTGCCGTGAGATGATTAATTGCAGTAATCATTGAGACGGCGAATCGGAGGCCGGAAGTGGCCTTACCGTCACCTAGCGTTGTGGCGTATTCTGGGTGATGGTAAATCAAGGGCCGAAAAAGGCGCCCGCCTCTGACTGTTTGTCACGTGATCCCAATGGGTCGGTCGATTGACTGGTCCATGACCGCCCATCAACAAGTTGCGGCCCCATACTGATTGGTGCCTGGTAGGTCCGTAACATGACCCTCTAAGCTGAGCTAAATTATAACACTATTGGACCATGGGCCCCTTTTTGAAACAGCTAGTCTCTTGGCATATGTAAGCAGCCTCGAATAACTATCGACGATAAAGTAATTTCAAATACTAACTCTAATAGATGCGAAGCCGCTTCACTACAACAGACTAGATCCTATGAATTGTGAATTAAAGCAATACAACCAAAAAATATAAGTGATTTAGAGCTAGATAATATATGAGTGCCGAGTTCCTCTTAGCCTATTTTTTTTATGCTACCGGCTAGCGAGCTAACCGCACGAACCGAAGTATTCGTATCTCGTAATCTACGTATAGCTATATCGGAACTTTGCTTATCGGTCACTTTAGGGATACTCCCTAACCACTGCTAACCATTGGCTAGGGATTATGAAATCTTGGAATTGGATAATTCATGGTCACTTACATATCTTCTGGTGGCCAGAATAACAAGAGTGGATTCAAATTAGGCTTTTCATGAAGCGTTCGCATGGTCATTGAATCATCCATGACATAATCATATGATACATAGTTCGCTTCTAAACTCATTTTCAAAGTCACGGTTTCTGCCTCTCTCAAAACTGCCGATTCTCTTCAAATGATGGTTGTCACTGCCCTGCTTCTCATCGACAAGAAGCAGTCCTCTCACCCCATAACCGTCATAGGCGTCCTTCCTCATAGTGATAGCCGCGCATAATACTAAGCAAGGCTCAGGAAGTACTGTCTCATCGTACATACCGCACATGTTGCGGATCCATGTGCCGTGCAAGTATGTCCCCTCCGGGTCTTCTTTAATGACATCCCGATCAATCTCTCCATTCGCATCGAAGTACTCTTTCGAATGTCTTTCAAATGCCTGCTCAAAGGTCATCACACTTTCGTCTGGGATCAAAGTTGTTTTTATTGATGTGATAAGACCAGGGAGCAGAAGAACATTAGATGTGGCCGGATTGAACCAGGCCCTTTTAATGGGACTTTTCAGTATGAGCTTTGCCGACAGTATCTCTCCAAATGGGTTTAATTTGGGAAATGCCGCCGCTGTCGAGCAATCTATGATCTCACAGATAATATCTGGAGGCGTCTCATCTTCGTCGTCAAAATTGAAATCGAAATGAATTATCCCTCCATCAAGACTTGCCCAAGACCAAGACGGTGCCCGGTATGTGATGGGCCGGCGAAAGGTAAATGTCTCATCTTCTTCAAGCGTTCTATGCCGGTCCGAGGTATACCATGTAAGTTGCCTCGCAAGATTATGCTGCCAAAGTCCAGCGAAGTATCCAGGTCCAAGGACTTCGGAGAATGATGGATGAGAGGCAACACCGGCGACTGCATTTAATTTATCCCGCTCAAGACTGGTGGCTCGCAGTGAGTATACCGTGACGAGCCGGAGCCAGCAACTCAAACACTTGTCTTTAGCAGAGTCGGCTTCTTCCCCCTCAGGTAGAAGTGAGTGCAGGTTAAGGCTATACTTTTCATCATTTTCGTTATATCCACTGTCGAGATCATGTGGAAAGTATAATGAATTGCCAAAATTCTGTACCCTTTCACGGCACCTCCACGTCATAGTTTGTGTAGTAAAGGCCAGGGTACGGTTGCTCAATAATTGCTCCTGCAAAGTCCAAGCCCTTTTTGCTATGGACTCAAGTCGCTCATCATAGCATGCACCATCCAGCTCGTTGATAGACATGGTACCAAATCTGCCAGGCCCTAACCGAACGGGTATCGTGTGAAGGGTCTCCTGTTGAACACGAGGATACAATAATCCTTGATAGACATTTTCCGCAGCAGAAGCAATTATGGTTAACGCGGAAGAGGAGTACAACTCCTTCATATTGGCAATCTCTTTAACCTTCTGTTCTTCATTATCCTGGATGATACAGAGAGCATCAACCCACAAATATGGTATGGACAATGCGCGAGTAATTGTTATAGCGTCCTGAATGGTGGGTGGTAGGCTCTCCATGTCCAATCCTTCCGTTAATTGACCATGATTAGCCTTGGAAAGGGCAAGAAACGGTCGTTTACCCCAGCAATAAGAAACTGAGGCATAAACTCCATGCATGCCACTAGACTCAACAATGCGTGGGCGCTGGTGTTCTGATGGACTAACTTCAATAACTCTGGGCGGGAGAACAACCTCCTGTTGTGAAATGCTGCAGAGCTCATGCTCCTTGCATTCCGTCAACCATGTTCGCATTTGCTTCCAAGCATCGTAACTATCGACATCGGTCCTCAAAGGTCTAGCAGTCACATAAGCCGCTGCGGGGTCATCGGCTCCCGTGCAAGCATGAATAAAGAGACTATAGCCGCCCTTATCTTTACCGGTTGTTGAAGACGTACATGCACTGCTGAGGTAGAATATATTGCCGCCTGGGGGTAGAGTCGATGCGATACGAGTGGGTGAAAGCAAAATGGTAACTTTATCTTCTGTTGTCCAATCGTCGCTTATAAATTCACACATATAAGAGCACCAATTGCATACGGAATTCTTGATCTCACCAACTGTGGCAGTTGCTTGGATCAGTGTAGACCCATAGTCAATTTGAGAGCGATCGAGTGTGCAAAGGTTCTCGAAATCTTCGGTGTTGAACACGGTACTCCAACACCTGTCGCACACAAGCTCTTTAGGCAGCATTTTAAGCTCCGTCTTCGATGGCAGCGTATGCAAAAACAGCGGTTCTGAGGAAGGTCCACAGCTACTGACATGTCAAAATGGAAATCACGTGTATTTTCTTTACTCCAGTCACTTGCTACCCAACCGTGCTCAACATGTGCCTAATGGAATCTTAGGTGGGCTTAGTTACGACACAGCCCGGGGCTGTAGTGGGGCCGTGCGGGGCTTGGATGATACGCCGGTAGCGCGGTGCTGAGGCAGCAGCCTAGGATCTTGAGCTTAGCTAGCTGTAAGGTGTTTAAATAGCTCCATACTATGTACCACACCCCCTTATAACTTACAGTACCGGAAAGGATGACGTAAGCGGGACATAAGCGCATAAATGAGGATCATTCTCTAAGGGCATTAGGCGAAGGGCCCGAACTTTGTTTGCTCCTCCCTACAAGCGCAAGAACTTTCCTTGGACAATTATCACGAATATTCGCGATAAGATATGACTCAGTGGTATATACTACTTAGGAATGATATTTCACGACCGGAGTTCCGAGCTGAGCGATCGTCTTAGTCTACTTGTAAAGGGTATACGTTATTACAGGTGTATGGCCTGTCAATCAGGCAAGGGAGGAATGGTCCCAAGGGGAGGAAACGCTGTAGTCTCGTATTGTGTTCAAGACTGATTCTTGGCGGAATCAGTGGGGTCCCGAGGGGGGCCCTGACTATACCCATTGATAGCGTCGAAGCCATGGAGCAATACCGCGACCTTATCATTCTCTAACCGGGGAGTGCACGTCTAGTAAGAGAGGCCGCCACCACGCTAATTATTTTAAGATTCTACTTCGAGTTAACCGACCTACCGGAAGACACCGCGGCTCTATTTTAGTATCGCGGGGTAATACGTTATAAGGGGTTAGCTCGGGATCTGATTTTGGGACTTACCCGCCTATATCTAGATGGGTTAGAGTTTACTTCTAGCAGTGTGCTGATTAATATATTCACGGGTCTAGATGAACTTTATACCTCTTATAGAAGTTATATCCACCTGCTGTCCTTTTTGACCTATCATCTTTATGACAAAGTGGACGTCTTCCTACAAACCCATCCGAATAAGCGCTAGAGGATAAGTGGGTTCCTAGAAAGTCTGGCTACTTTTGCTAGTAAGCAAGGATTAATGTCTTTATTTGGCTATAGCAACCACAGGCATCTATCCCGAGCATCTTGTAGTTCATGTGACGCTGTTAGTGGCCTATCAAAGAGGAGGCGACATACGCAGCAATCTACGGAGTTTGAACTAGAGCCTAAACGAATATACACTAGAGAATCTAAATAGAATGATAACACTAGTATTTTGATTTGTCACCTATGTCATGAAGTGCAATATATATTCTTTCCGTTATTGCGTTTTGCGATATACTAGATCTCCTTTGTTGAGATTTATGGTGGCCGGCCATGGTTTATGCCATGAATGAGCCATGACGGCAACCGCAGTAATTCATCAGCTGGGAAATCTAATCAGGACTAGCTTAAGGCAGAGTTTTCTGGTATATAAGGAGATTCTCACACAAATGAGAATCTCCAGACTTAAACACCTCGGTAATCTATTGTTAGATTATCTATATTGTACGGTCGTACCGGTCATCATTCCTACTTGCATCGTAGCCTTTTAACATCCTTATCCTAACTTATCGTTAAGCGAAACCATAAGTGTGTTAAAAGGCTACGATGCAAGTAAGATGACGACGGTACGACCGTACAATATAGATAATTTAACAATAGATTATCTATATTGTACGGTCGTACCCGTCGTCATTCCTACTTGCATCGTTGCCTTTTAACATTATATACCAGAAAACTCTGCCTTAAGCTAGTCCCAATTAGATTTCCCAGGTGATGAATCACTACGGTTGCCGTCATGGCTCATTCATGGCATAAACCATAGCCGGCCACCATAAATCTCAACAATATTATCCTCGTTTTCCCGCTCGGTCTAATACTTGTGAGTAAAGCCACGTGATGCGGCACGTGGAATACGCTCACTAAGAGCTCTTGGGAGATCTTGAGGGGGCATTTTCGTGAAGGTGAAAGTAACGCGAAAGAAAAGATAACGACAAACTAGAATCAAAGCCCTAGTCAGATACTTATCCCTTGAGTACGGGGCAATCTATCATCTTATCACCTCCTCTCACCCTTTCTCACCCCAAGTCTCACCCCGTTCACCTCTGTCACCTCAGTCTCGAGAATTCTCACCCCTATCACCCGCACTCACCCTAAGACACTTTTTTTTGCCATTTGAATTTTCAGGGCGCTTCAAGGATTGGCCGCGCAGAGTATATAGCTTAAGTACGGCTGAGCGGACGGGAAGCCCTGTTCTCCACACCCTGTGGTCGTATGTACTTGCTTCAGTCTGAAAGGGAGATATAAAGAAAGAAAAGTGAGACTATCGCGCGACCGAGGGGGTCAGTATATAGGACAGCACGCTCAAGGGTCGGATTCAAACCCCAATTTCTGGGGAGCATCGATCATCAGTAGGTCAATTACTCTGCGACGATACCCTCAGACCTTCACAGAGATTGTCCGAACAAATACGTCATCGGCGACGCCCAGGACCTTGTCGCCCTACTTAACCGCTGCTTCGGGAAGGTGATCTCCCAAACCGGATCATCGTCACGTGTTATTGGATCGCCCCGCAGAAGACGAACATCGATCTTCGATCTTGTTTCTCCTTTTCCTGCAGCAACCCCATATGGCCTTGACAGTTGCAGTAGCGGGCGCGACTGGTGCTGTAGGAAGAACACTCGTTGAACAGATCCTGAAGGAGACCAAATTTTCGGTGGTGGCTCTGACACGAAGGGTATGTTCCAGTAAAGCAAAACCCCCTGATTCCTCAAAGCATACCCAGTGACAATTGAAACTAGGAACATGTCGAATCACCAGTCAGCAACGTACAATATGTACAAATAGACTATGATGATCACGCAACACTTGTGCAGCAGCTAGAGCGTCATGCAGTGCAGACGGTGATCTGTGCAATTGGCATGTTAGGAGATGACTGTTCACAAGCCCAAATCAGTTTAATCAAAGCCGCCGACGAAGCAAGCACGGTAAAAAGGTTCATAACGAGTGAATTTGGCTATTTCACACATGAAGAGTACCGCCTCCCCAGCCCTCGCCCCGGTTATATCCCAGATACTCTTTTTGTACCTGAAGCTTACACACACCGGCAGGAGACGGCATATTGATCCAGGGATTGACTGGTTCTTGGAGGCTGCAAATATTCTCAAGAACAGCAGTTTGACCTATACTCGCCCTGTTTGTGGCGCATTCATGGATTTCCTGGGAATGCCACACGCTCGTTCAAATATTGCCCCAATGAACATTGTCGTTGATGTTCTCAATCGTCAAGCTTGCATTCCTGGGGATGGAAATACGCCTATCACCATGATTTACAGTTATGATGCTGCAACCTTGGTTGCCAAGCTGTTAGAGGTCGATGAATGGTCTGAATTCAGCTTTTGCAATGGGGATGACACTACTTTAAGTGAGGTGTTGAAGATAGCGGAGGAAATCTGCGGTAAGTACTCTTTCCTGGAACGATATACAGTTTGTTCTAACTGTCATATGCTATATGAAGGCGAAAAGTTTCAAGTCAAATATCTGAAGGCCGAGGACGTCAATAATGGCAATATCCCTATACTAAAAGTTCCCGACGGAAGTGGCATAGAGCCAAATGAACTTTTAGACTACAGTATATTCGGGTATCAACTTTACCTTGCAAGAAGCTTTCAGTTACCCGACGAAGGGCGAATTGGAAGCAGATTCCCCGGCTTTAAACCGAGGACTGTCCGGGACTTTATAGAGTCGACTTGGAGAGCTCATGTATAGTCAAGTCATTTGGGCGGAGGCGTTCTCGAACCCTCAATCAATTTCGAGTCCGCCTTGAATTCTCAGGTTTCAGCCTTGTATTCTTAATTCCTAGCAGAGCAAAGTTGATTATTTCAGAGATCTTAGTATTGCCCTTTCTCGACTGTGAAGCGGTTTTCGCCTATTTCTCACCGAGGCGGGGCCTAGCGCCGATCATAAACAAGCCACACACGTAGCCTCATACAATTTGTGGGGCACTTTGAAGCCTTCGCGCCAAACAACACTCGAGAAGCATGCTAGACGATTCAGCCTCCGCCCAGTTAGTAGTAAGCAATTTCTCTAGAACTACAAGAAAATCCCCATCGAAGATCACGTCCGTGATATTATTGCAGAGCTTTGTATATTCAACGCTGCCCGAGACGAGTTCGGACTTGGAGATCGAATTTGCTTCGACAACCACACCAAATCTCTCAATACGTGCGGCGGTATCGAGGAAAATGCAAACAAACCATCAGGCATACATCTGAAAGAAAAAGAAATCCCATGAATACTAAATATTGCCTTTATTCGATGGTCTTGGTATTATAGCACTACTTTTCCGGAATGCATCTATTGGATGAGAAGGTTAGCTAAAGTTAACGAAAGAATGGATACCGGACTACCTTCATCGACGACTGAAGCATGGTTTCTTGCTAGCTCCTGCCCGTACAGAATTTTAGGAGCTGCCTGTGGGATAATCAATAGGCCTATTATTAGTGATCCATATTATAGTATTCCACACGACGGCAAGCAGGGGGCACGAAAATCACGCGTTGTTGGTAGGATACCACTTGGTGAAGAAATTCTTTATTCAAGGTATTTTATTACTATGTTCCCAAGTGATTGATCAGGAGCTCGCCTCACGAGGCCCACGAAACGGTCATTCAAAGGGCTGGCGACCATCTTCAGCTTGTCGGTAGGCTTAATAACACCCCGGCATAGTAGAATCATATAGTTAGCATGAGCAAAAGCAGACAAATAAATTTATTATCATCAGCTGAGCTCACCAGGGGGGTTCGCTGTGAGAAAATTTCATTGTCTTGGGTCTAAGCCTGTCGTAGGGTTGCAAAACAAGCTGCCTCCAACAATTCGCCAATTAGTATTGCCTGTCCGTAACGAAAAGAATGAGATAATAGTTAGATATTTTCTCTTGAAGTTTGAACCTTCCGAGCTTCTTGCTTAACTTATTAGTCGTTGTGGCCGGCAAATGGATTTTTGGAGTGCCGTGGGACATTCGGATTATTCAACAATCCGATGCCTCGGGGGTGATGATTAATCTTTTGCCCTAAAGTCCGCTATGCTGCGTTTTTCTGAGCTACTTCAGTACGTTGCTTATAGTCTGCACAGTACGAAAATCAGTCAAGATCAGACACGTGAAAGCAACGACCAATGGCTGAAGCAAACACAGCTGTGGCCGGGACCCGAAAACGGGGGCGCCCTCGCACCATGGAGGACGACCATCAGCCGCATCCTGCTGAGGAGGTAAGCAGATAGATAGAAACAGATCAACTGTGCATCAGCTGATTATATGCAGCGACGCCGCAAGCAGATTCGCGTGGCCCAGCAGACGTATCGCCGGCGCAAGGAGGTCATGATCACTAGCTTACAAACGCGCGTGCAAAAGCTAGAATCGAGTATTGAAGAGCTTAGCGAGTCCTTCCTGTCATTCAGTGATCTTCTCCTCGGGGCTGATATACTTGAAAAACAACCACGGGTGGCCTCCGCTCTCCAGAAAATTACGGAGCAATACGTGTCGCTCGCTAAAAGCGGATGTGAAGATCATGCTCAAGCAGGAGCTGCGAGCAACGCCCCAGATCTAAAGCTAAGCGTTGCGTCAAATTTCAATTTAGATTACAATCCAGACATCGCCCAGCACGGTACCCTACCGATTCTGGAAAACATGAAGTCGTCACTTCCCACAATGGTTCAGTCACAGTTACCTCCAACGCCACCCTTTCAAGAACAACCCATTCTCCCAGTTGACATCGATCTACTTTCACCTACGATTCCAATATCAACTTCAGGCCCTCCTTTACATAATGCACTGACCATCAAATCTCATGCAACTCATACAAAGCAAGGGTGGGCGTTATCACACAGTCTTGTTCGACAATGCTACGAAAATGGATATCGGTTGCTAGTGGATTCACCTGATGATTTCACAACGATTCAGAGCATCTTCGGCCGACAATTGACCACTCCTGAGCGCAACAGCCTGATTTCCGCATTTTATACTGCTATACATGACGAGATTGGCGACAAGGTTAAGCACGATGCTAATTTTCTCAGTTCAAAAATAAACGCCTTCGCTTCAGAACGACTTGAAATATTATCTAGTACATGGCAGAATGAGACGAGGTTTGTCTCAGAAGAATGGCTGGATGCAAACGAGGTGCAGAGGTTTTTGAAAAAGAAAGGCATCATCGTTCAGGACAATGGCTTTGTGCGTTCTAGTTCGCCATTCGATTTCCTGGCGAAATTTGATGTGCTAGCTTTCATCGGGTGTAAGTCTTTCCATTTAATAGTTACAGCTCAGCCGATCAGTCGTTAACACCTGGCAGTGCTGTCTCTCGGTCCCATCTGCGTTGGTTGTGGGCCAGCATTCCGAATGCGTGATGTTGAATATGCGCTACACCTCGCTACTTCAGAGAATGCCTGGCCTTTTGACGTTGGGTGTCATTTTGCTTCTTAAATTCATCTATACTGTAAAAACCTTGTTCGATTTATAATTTTTCTTAATAATCGACTGCATTTTGTAACGTATATCACAGTAGCGGTATAAAACAAAAGGAGTCACAAAAGGTACCAACTACCTTACTTATCATCATGGGACGCTCGAATTTGTTAAGAATGGACGCTTATACTACGATCAGTCTAATTCATTCAGGTATCACCTTTATCTCAGTCAATGCTTGAATATGGCTTTTGTTGGGAACACGTCGTGCGGTTGACTCTTCGATTCTGTGTCGGACAAACTGGTAGGTCCCAACATGCCTACTTTTTTGGCCAACTATTCTAGAGATAGGAATAGATAAAAGAACAGCGAGTTTTCAGCTTGCTTCAAGCCGAGCAACCCTTCCGTTTCGCCCAGCGGCCTGTGCAGAAATTAACAAAAAGCAACGATGACAAAGACTCCGGCTAACCGTGGCAGATATTAGCTTTGCTAATGGCGCACTGCGCTAGCCGCCTTAGCTCCACAACGAAGTCAGCCACGAGCTTTATGTTGGAAACTTTTCCTTTGGACGTATCGGGATTGATTAGTAGAGTCCAGCGTAAAATCCTCCGAGATCCAGGGGCTGAAGGTTACGAGGTCCCACCCAATTCCATGGGTCCATCAACCGAGCCGCACTAAGAGTAGCCATATTTCAACTTTATTTAGTTGGCCAAATCTGAGCTCGGGAGCCGGGAATGTTTAATAATCACTCCGATCGGACATACCTCTTAATTCAGGGGAGACAGATGTATATATCATCATGCCGAAAGGAGGTGATTTGTTCAGTAATTGAGCCCAATTTATACTTATATCTTGTACGTGATATTCCTACTCTCTCATCGGAAAGCCCTCCGGACGACCAACCTCCCCAATGGCGGACTCTATCGTCAATTCCAGCGCGGAGCAGTCAGACGACGAATCCGGCCAAAAGACCGACTCCCGGGACATCTCACAATGGCTCATAACTCCAGATATAGTACAAATACGACAACGTAACGAGACCAACGGTGGGAAATTGAAGAAGCTGGGTGTGACATGGCAGAACCTCACAGTAAAGGGTATCAGCAGTGATGCGCTTTACAACGAAAATGTTCTCTCCCAATTCAACCCATTCGGGAAGGGCAGCAAGAGCCCACCATTGAAGACTATTATCGACAACTCTTCTGGATGTGTCAAACCCGGTGAGATGTTGCTTGTTGTTGGAAATCCAGGAGCCGGCTGCACAACGCTGCTTAGCATTCTATCAAACCACAGAAATGGCTTCGCAGACATTACTGGCGACGTCTTGTTCGGTTCCATGACCAGTCAAGAAGCCAAACGGTATCGTGGTCAGATCATCATGAACACAGAAGAGGAGATCTTCTTTCCAGCTCTTTCAGTTGGTGACACCATCGACTTCGCCACACGTTTGAAAGTGCCCTTCCACCTACCACCCGACATCGAAAACGAGCAGGAGTACGCCCAAATATACAAAGAGTTCCTCTTGAAGTCTCTCGGTATCACACACACAAAGGATACCAAGGTCGGAGATGAGTTCATTCGTGGTGTTTCGGGTGGCGAGCGCAAGCGAGTTTCCATTCTCGAATGCCTTGCGACTAGAGGCAGTGTCTTCTCCTGGGATAACTCCACTCGTGGTCTCGACGCAAGCTCCGCGCTAGATTGGACGAAAGCCATGCGTGCCATGACAGATATTCTTGGCCTCACTACAATTGCCAGTCTATACCAAGCTGGTAATGGCATCTACGAGCAGTTCGACAAGATTCTGGTTCTCGACAACGGCAAGCAGATCTTTTACGGACCTCGAGATGAAGCTGTGCCATACATGGAGGATCTTGGCTTCCTATGCGACCCTGCAGCCAACAAATCAGATTTTCTCACGAGCGTATCGGCACCTGCTGCACGCACAATTGCCTCAGACTTTGAGGACCGATTTCCTCGATCAACAGAGGAGCTGCTCGCTGCTTATAACAACTCGCCCATCAAGCCAAGGATGATGGCCGAGCTCGACTACCCCAATAGCTCGGAAGCCCAGCAGAATACAGCGGACTTCAAGGAACAGGAGGCTCGAGAAAAGCACAAGAACCTCCCAAAGAACGCTGCAGAGTCCGCAGGTTATTTCCGTCAGGTGCAGACGGCTACTATACGCCAATTTCAGATCCTCTGGGGTGATAAGCAAACTCTGTTTATCAAACAAGCCACAACTATCGTTCAGGCGTTGATCGGTGGCTCACTGTTCTACAATGCTCCGGACAACACGGCGGGCTTGTTTATCAAGGGAGGCTCACTTTTCTTCTCTCTACTATATCCTACCTTCATCGCTCTCGCCGAGGTTACGGATTCGTTCGTCGGCCGACCCGTCTTAGCCAAACACCGAGATTTCGCTGTCCACCATCCATCTGCCTTTGTCTTCGCCCAGGTCATGACCGACATCCCGATCATGCTCTTCCAAATCTCGCACTTTGGAATTGTGTTGTACTTCATGACTGGATTCCAGTACACCGCCCAGGCTTTCTTCATTTTCTGGCTCATCAACTTGATCTCGGCCCTGGCCATGACACAGCTGTTCAGGTTCATCGGTGCCGCTTTCCCGAGTTTTGACGCAGCAACTAAAGCTTCTGGATTTACCATCGTCGCTGCCTTCACATATGCAGGTTACATGATTCCCAAGAACGAAATGCACCCATGGTTCGTTTGGTTTTTCTGGATCGACCCCATGGCCTACGCGTTCGAAGCATTGCTCGCGAACGAGTTCCACGACCAGGTGATTCCTTGTGTAGGCCCATTCCTGGTTCCAAATGGTGAGGGATACAGCCCCGAAACAGGAGGCGGACAAGCATGTACCGGTGTCCGCGGTGCGCTTCCAGGAACAACCAGCGTTACTGGTGACCAATATTTGGCTTCCATGTCCTTCAGCCACAGCAACCTTTGGCGCAACTTTGGCATTCTCTGCTCCTGGTACGTTTTCTTTGTGGTAATGACCGTCTTCTTCACTTCCAGGTGGAAGCAGATGGGCGAAGGTGGTCGCGGCCTCCTCATCCCCCGTGAGAAGCAGAAGAATGTACCTAAGGCTGTGGTTGCGGATGAGGAATCCCAGGCTGTCGAGAAGCTATCCGAGAACTCCGGCTCCGATTCCGAGAACTCTGACGCAACCATCGACAACCAGCTCGTCAACAATACATCGGTCTTTACCTGGAAGAATCTGACATACACCGTCAAGACGCCGCATGGCGATCGTCTTCTTCTCGACAAGGTTCAAGGTTTTGTCAAGCCAGGTACGCTCGGTGCTCTTATGGGATCTTCAGGTGTAAGTGCACTAGCAATGCGATTGACATATGGATATATGCTAACATTCTCACTCAGGCCGGAAAGACGACACTGCTCGATGTTCTAGCTCAACGTAAGACTGACGGTACAATTCATGGCTCCGTTCTAGTCGATGGTCGTCCGCTCCCCGTTTCCTTCCAACGATCTGCTGGTTACGTTGAACAGATGGATGTCCACGAGTCATTGTCCACGGTGCGTGAGGCTTTGGAATTCTCTGCTCTTCTTCGTCAGAATCGTGAAATTCCCCGGGAGGAAAAGCTCCGCTATGTGGACGCGATCGTCAAGCTTCTACAGTTGGAAGATCTCGAGCACACCCTCATCGGTCGCCCTGGTGCCGGTCTTTCTGTTGAACAGCGCAAGCGTAAGTCTGAATCTATTGAACAGAGTCAAGACAGACATTAACAACTTATCAGGTCTCACAATTGGTGTTGAGCTCGTAGCTAAGCCCAGTATTTTGATCTTCCTCGACGAACCTACTTCTGGTCTCGATGGCCAAGCCGCAAAAAACACAGTACGCTTCTTGCGCAAACTCGCGGAAGTCGGACAAGCTGTCCTCGTCACGATTCATCAGCCGTCGGCCGACCTCTTTGCCCAATTCGACACTCTCCTCCTACTGGCGAAGGGTGGCAAGACCGTATACTTTGGCGATATCGGCCATCATGCAAAGACCGTCAAGAAATACTTCGCTGATCATGGCGCACCGTGCCCCCGAGAGGCCAACCCTGCTGAGCACATCATTGAAGTCGTATCAGGAAGTCTTTCTAAGGGCAAGGACTGGAACGAAGTCTGGCTCAACTCGCCAGAGCACGAGAAAATCACTCAAGAGCTTGACACTCTTGTCGCCGATGCTGCTTCCAAACCGCCTGGAACTGTAGATGATGGCCATAATTTCGCATCGCCCATGTGGGAACAGATAAAGCTTGTCACGCACCGTATGAACATCTCTTTGTTCCGCAACAAGGAGTACATCAACAACAAGCTCATCTTGCATATACTCCTGTCTCTTTACAACGGCTTTTCGTTCTGGTCGATTGGTAACAGCGTCAGCGATCTCCAGCAACGCCTCTTCACGGTCTTCAGTTTCCTGTTTGTCGCCCCTGGTCTCATCTCCCAGCTTCAGCCTATCTTCATCGATCGTCGCAACGTGTATGAGACGCGCGAGAAGAAGAGTAAGACCTACCACTGGGTGCCATTCGTAACTGGCTTGATCGTTTCTGAGCTGCCCTACCTGGTCGTCTGCGGTGTGTTGTACTTTGTGTGTTGGTACTGGACTGCTGGATTGCCAAATGATACCAAGTGGGCAGGCAGTACATTTTTCGTCGCAGTAAGTTCTCTCCTCTTTAACTGACTCTTCGCTCCGAACTAAAAAACTGTCTAGATCTTTTACGAGCTGTTGTACACCGGTATTGGACAGTCGATCGCCGCGTATGCTCCCAACGCAACCTTTGCATCTCTCGTCAACCCGCTGGTCATCACCACGCTCGTATCATTCTGCGGTGTCTTCGTTCCTTACTCCCAGATCACGGCGTTCTGGAGATACTGGTAAGCCTCATACGGCTATCAACACCGCCGAGATCAGTGCTAAAATTACACTTTAGGATCTACTATCTCGATCCCTTCAATTACCTCTTCGGCGCCTTCCTCACCTTTACCAC